AAGGCGGGAGGCTAGCCTCTTTCCGCCAATGGAAGTTGACAGGGAGGTTAAAGATGGGATCGTGTATCTGTCTTAATGTATATTTCTATATATGGGGGTTGTACAAAATTACTTTGCCTGGGGACCCCGCAATCGCCGGCCAATCACGATCCAATCGCGATCCCACAAATGCCAGTTGGTCATCGTTGCTGTTTCTGTTTCGCTTTTCGCTGTCTGAGGTGAAACTCGTCCGGTCGCCGTCCAATCGCCGTCCAACCGCGGTCAAATCGAAGAATTCGTCGGTGAAACTTCGGTTTGCAGCTTCCAGCCTTTGCCAGTACGCAGATTTAGAAAGCACAGCCTGGGCCTGCGCAGGCGAAATCAACATTCAGCTTTCCAGGAGAAGCTTTTGTGCGAGCCCGTGCCGTCAAAATGAGCGAGATGCGTCGGCACCACGATCTAAACACGATGCTGCGTCTAAATTCGCCATAATTTCGTTGCCCTTTCGCGGTCCAATCGCCGGCCTTTCGCGGCTCGAGTTTTCCCAATCGCGCAGTTCAACAAGTTGCCGCTGTTCATAAGTTTTAGACATGCAATTATGGACGGCCCCCATATGGAATATGCCCTCTTCTTTTGTGGGTGAGGAAGCTTCTCCTGGAGGAAGGCATGCTTGTCAAACCCACTAGAAAGAGAAAAGAGAGGGCCCTATACGCGACACTTACCCAGGTCCGGATAAAATGGACCGCGTTGCAAAAAGTCTTCCCACCGAAAAAGGGGGGAATACCAACCCTTTTCAAGGAAGACGCCCGCAAAAAAGGGGGGGGGACTCACCGGCAGCCAGCGACAGAAAGTTAGCGCCACCCACTCCCCGGGCTCCGCGCCCAGCGTTGCAGGCACCTCCGGTCGCTCTGCCTGAGCTCGTACATATGGCCCCTACTCCAAATACCCACTTTTTCTAGGGTATTTTTTGGAAATTTGGTTTTTTAAGGTAAATACCTCTAGTAGAGGGTCGACATGATACCCTTATTAATTAAAAAAAAAAAAAAAGTATTTGGAGTCGGGGGTGGGAATCTCAGAGAACCGTCGACCAGATGAGTGGCGCCCGATTTTTGGACCCTGGCCCTTGTCCTTCAAAAGAAGCGTCATTTGGGGAAAACACCTAAACATGGACATGTTCATGGTAGCGGGCCCTTGTACCACATGGCACCGAAACAGGTTCCAAAAGGCCACAAGTCTCCTAAGCAGGCTCTACCTTTCACCCACCAAAGAGGAGGGCCCTGTCGGCTACGGATTCGAGTGACCAGTACCAGGTCTTACTTGGCTCAAATGGGTGTGTGGCACACATGCAACCATCAGTCAAAGGGTTGGGGTATAGGAAATTCTGCAGGAACACAGCTGATTTAGGCCATTTCCTGCAGATTTTCCTGCAATCACCACCCCCTTTGAATCAGGCCACAGCAACATTGACACTACGGGATGTCTGGCTGTCGCCTCGCGGTTTGGCCGTGGCCATGGCCTGGCAAAAAAGAAACGGACCCCAAAGAAGGAAGGGGAGGGGAGGGGAGGGGGGGTCCTTCTGATGTCCCTTAAACCCCCGAACATGGTTCCCTTATGAAAGGAAAAAAGTCCAGGTAGAAATTCTGCTCGGCCACTCTTTGCAGTCAACTTGGTTCAAGTACTTCATGGAGCAGGCAGTATTGAAATTATGGCCGGGTTGGGGGTGGGGGGGCCTCCAAATGATCCCGAGTTCCTGCTCAGACGCCGTCCCAGTCCCAGCAATTGCATCCTCCTCAACGCTTGCGTGGATGTAGAGGTGCAAAGGGAAGAAGGTACATGCTGAAAACATTGCAAGCTCAGCCACGTCCAAGTCCTCTCCACTCTGCAGGGTTTGCTCGAATGGTTGACTCATCGCCCTGGAACTGGATAGATGCGGCCGAACCGGGGTACCACTCAGCGAGCGCGCCTCACAGATGGCAGCGGCCCTCGCTCTGGCGCGCGGGTCCTCAGGGCTCGAATGAAGTACCAAATTCACACCGCGGCAGCCAGACAGGCAGCCAGGCAGGAAAGCAGGCGGGCAGGCAGGCAGGCAGGCAGGCGGGCGGGCAGCAGGGAAGTAAGAAAGATAGAAATACTCAGGCCATGACTCATTGAACGACCGTGACTACAAAATAAAACTCGGTGGCCCCAGCTTTCCCGCCTCCGCTCCGGGCCCGGGGACGGGCAGCCTGGCAAACCCGAAAAACTTCCAACTGCACAACATGTTCCAGTGTGAATTTCAAGGGGAATCCTTTGGTGGACATCTAGTTCGGGTGGGTCCTGATTCATGTCCAGCAACCCCACATTTTGGTACCACATTTGGCAGGTTTCTTCATGTCCCCCAACCAGGGTTCCACTTTTTGAGTATCCCAAGATAGACTTCAACCCAGAAGTGGTTGATGCCCCCAAAGGGAAACCCCTGGTTTTGGTCTATCTGGGGCTAGTCCTAAAAGTGGAACCCTGCCACCAGCCACTTTGGAGGTGTCAAAATTATGAACTAATCACTCTAGGGCTTGATTCCCCATTCTGTTCAACCATGGTTCTTTTCCAAAACCGGCCATTTTCCCTGGGTTTCTGGAGGTTTCTAGAAAGATTCCCGGGCTAAGAATGGTTGGAAGGTAGCCCTAGAGCCACTTCTTGCACCCGCATCGCCTGCGATGGCGGCAGCCTGGGCCCGGGCATCCGCCGCAGCGGATGTGGCGGCGACGATCTGAGCCGAGCCGAAACCAAGGTGCTTGGGACCCAAGTTGCGGCCAAGTCCCAGCCAGCATCTTTAAACCACGAAAGAAAACAAAAACAAAATCAAAATCAAAAACGACTTTGTTATGGGGTGTCCTTTCGGGAAAAAAAGAAAGAAAGAGAAAAGACGCGCAACCGCCTGGGGACAAAGTGTGCAACCCACCCTGGACCCAGGGAGCCAACCCCCAGTTTGAACAAGTCTTGAAGAAAACGGCAAAGACCCGGCAAAGACCGGCCAAGTTCCATGTTCAACCCGAGTTTTCTTCTCCTTAGATCCCTTCCGGCGGTTTTTTTCGGATCCCTTCCGGTTGCTGCTCCTCGCCCTCTAGGCCCCCCTGCCACAGAGGCTAGGGCTGAGCCAGCTGGAAAGACCGCGCAGCCTGATGTGTGGGATATGCCGAATGTTGATAAGCTCAAAGCAAGGCAAACTAGGTGAGGTCGGGGTCCCCCATCTATGCCAATGAGTTGTCGCAAGGAATACCTTGCACATGCTTGGTGGAGTCCCTTTAAACACAATCCAAATGGGGTCCATGTCTAACTTCGGGAATATATACCCATTGACTGCGCAGTGGCAAAGGGGCAAGTTTTGCGCCATCAAGGCCCAAATCCGCCAGAAAAAGACTGACTGGATTTAGCACTAGACGCGCATGGCCAACTGCACCTGTCGCCCCTGGGCGGGCGCCTTCCCGCTTGCCCACTGGCTTCCGCCTGGTGACCTTCGCAAGAACAAACCAAACAGAACACTTGGCAGAGCCACTTCACATCGGGCGAAAACACTTGGCAGAATCAAAGGCTCCAGGAAGCGCCCATAGCATCAAAAAGTATAGGCCAGGAAACGTGTTTGCAACGAACGCTTTGTGCATTGCAGAAGGCCACCTTCAATGCTTCCTCAAGGCTGGGGGCACTAAAGAAAGGAGCCCCGTTGGGAGCCGGATTCTGCTGCTACAAAAAGGGATCCCTGGCATGGACTTACCCACGGAGACGGGAGGCACAAGAAAAACATCGCCTCGCAACTTGGCAGGTACTATCTTCCCGCCTCCGTCCGCCGCCTACTGCGGAGGCCGGCGCCTGAGCTGTTGATGCGCCGAGCGGATGGAGCCCGTTCGAGCCATGCGCGAAAGTGGCGGGTTAACAGTCTGGCTTGATGGTCATGTCAATGCTCGAGTGGCTGTGGGTCAAAACCCTGTACCCCTGGTGAACATCAAGATAGGTAGCAAATGGATGTTCATCTACCCCAAAATGGTGACCCATGGCCAAGTGTGCCTTGCAGGGAAGAATCAGCCAAGTGAATCTATGACACATCAAGTGCCCCTTGGCTGCTGCACTTGCTTATGCTGTGCTTGCTTTACGGGGTCGACAAGAGAGCCGCGCAAAGCAATCTTCCTACATGCACAAAAAACTGCTCCTCCTTTGTAAGGTTGTCATTTTGGGAGGGCTACGGTACACTTCCACGCTCGTTTGAAAGAACATCTCTCATATCCTTTCTAAATTTCCTCTTCGACTGTGAAATCAAATCGCACTACTTTCCAGCCAGTAAACTCACCCACACCCACACCAACACCCACACCACACCCACACAAGCAAACAAACAAACAAACAAACAAACAAACAAACAAATAAACAAACAAACAAACAAGCAAACAAACAATAACCAAATCCACCAAACAAAACCAAACCAAGCAATCAAGCAAACAAACAACAAACAAACCCACAACCACAGAGGGAAAGAGAGAAAGAGAGAGAAACAGAGAAGAGAGAGAGAGAGAGAGCGAGAAACAGAGAAAAGAGAGAGAGAGAGAGAAGAGAGAAAGAGAGCGAGAGAGAGAAAAGAGAGAGCGAGAGAGAAAGCGAGCGCATGCGAGAACTAGAGAGAGAGAGAGAGACAGAGACACCGCGCACGCATCACATTTACAGAACAATCGGTGCCACCTGTGGTTGCCCTGCACTTGCGCACCGCGCACCATCCCCAGGTCAGATCCGAAGCCAGTCTAGGCATCCCTGCTGTGCGGGCGCATGCTGCGGCCGCAAAAATGGCCCAAGTTGCTGCGAGCCAACAACCAGGCGCTCTGTGTGGCTGCACGGCTCAAGACAAAGGAAGTTGACCAAAATACTGGGAACCCTGGCTTCAAGTTGTACCGCCTTCCACGCGAGTCCGAAAGGAGTCCATGTCCATGATTTTGACAACCGGCATCAGACTGCAAGTGCAGCACAGAACAAGCAGAGCGGCGGCAGTCCTGCGCTGTTTTGCTGCAAGCTGGCGGCTCCATGCTCTCCTATTCAAGACGGTCGTCCCATCGAGGAGCATGACCCAACCGCTGTGGTCCTTGGCTCACTGGCGGCTCGGACTTGCACGGGCTTCGAATCAAAGTCAGCCGCCAATGGCCCTGATCGGGGTATTGAGCTATTTACAAGGTATGTACATCGGTCAACCAGCCCGGGTCGAGGACTTCGCTGTGCTGTGATATGGAAACAAATCACAGGAAGCGACCCGAATGATGCGGATTGCTTCATCCCTCACAAAGAAAGCAACCCGGCACCGCTGCATATCCAATTAGCAAAACGGTCCGAGCTATGCTGCTCAATAGCGTTGCATAAAGGCTAACGACGGTTCAGGCCGGAGCCTTGCAAAAAATGCTCGGTTCAGGCACAACGTAAATGCTGTCCCTGTGACGTAAGGACTTGAACGCCCTTTAAAATAGCCAAATTAGGGGTTCGCGAATTCCATTTGCTGTGGTCTCAGCAAAGAATGGGTATTGCCATGCAAACGCTGTGCTTTTCACAGCCGCGCCTTTGCTTCGGCACTGACGCCCTCGCAAAAGGTTCGCTATGAGTGCGACACCAAAAAGGAAGCTTGGAACCAGCGGCAAAGCCTCTGGTGACGCCTGCGGCATCTTCTCTACACCGGAACCGCCCGAATCGTCAACCCATCCAGGCCAGCGCTCTGGAGCAGGGCAGGGGCAGTAGCCACTGGAGCAATCGCCCTCAAGCAGGTTGGTCGCCTTGTACGCGTGGTGGGAGGACCCCTCACCAGCCGGGAAAAAGCTGTTGCGATAGCAAGAGTCCAACAAGTGGTGCTTCTCACAAACATCGTAGTACGCTTGGGTTTCCATGAAACGGCCAAGGCACGAATTCACTTGCGCAGGCACCTTAGAGCCTTTCTTGGCCATAGCCAAGGAGGTTCCGTTCACCACGTACTCCAACTGTCCGGTTTGGACATAGGCATAATCGGTGCCGAAATTCTCCCAAAGGGAGCAGTTCCAGTTGGGTGGAACCGCCCCAGTGCACTGGTACAGCTTCGCCTGGTCGGAGTAGATGAACATGGCATCCGCGCGTCCATCGCGGAGCATGCGCATGGCGTCGTCGTTGCCATCGCCGACCAGAAGCGTGTAGTTCTCTGAATACTTCTCACCTGTGCACTTGTTCCTCACCATGCCCAGGCAATCCTCTGTGGGTGCCCAGCCGCCCACATCCACGATGTTCAGCCCAGCCAGGTGACTATTACCGTCCACCCTAGGCCTACCCTCCTCCAAAAGTGTCAAAAGCCCCGCAGCCTTGTTGAAGTTCAAAATGGCGTGGGAAAAGTCCACGTAGTGGTTGCGGATGCCCTGCGTGTGCGTGAAGGTCATGCATGCGTCCAGAGTGCCATTCTCCAGCAGCGCCCCCAGACTGCCGCCCTCGTCAGAGGACCAGCAATCGGACCATGAGGTTTGCACCACCTGGCCAGGTGGCTTTTGTGGGTGTGGCACAGCTTTCTAGTAAGGTAGTCTCAAGAGGGCAACCATACCACTTGAAGGGATGCACAGGATACGGGCGTCTGTGTCCCTCTCGAGAAAGAACGAGCAGCATTGAAGGGATAAGGACTAAACTGAAGGCAGAAAGGGTATTCTGCTACTCCAAATTGCAATGCGAGACTTGAACATGTTGCAACTCTGGGAGGAGGGAATAACAAGAAATGAAAATAATGAAACACGCTGCGTATTGGAAGGAGAAAAGATAAAGATTCAACACATGGCAAGGTGGCCGTCCCAACAAACAATCTCGACTAAGTATTTCAGAAGGGCATGTGGTTTCCTCTGCGTTGGCCGTCTGTTTTGTCCCGATGTGCACAAACGGTGCCTGACACAAGTAATAAACTATAGACAGTGTGGAAACAAGGTCCTGCAAATACCAGTGGCCTTGCAATGTTCAATGTTTAAGTAGAAACACATCGCCAGCATGCTCGAGAAAATGGAAGCCCCGAATACGACTTTGAGACACACTTGTTGGACCGCCAAAAAGTTAGAGTATGTTGATTCGTTTTGCGAGGGGTGCAACGAGCGGTGCAATTCATCCTATGAACAATGTAACTCTGAAGTTGGGCAGCTTCGGTACAAACTTCCCCCGCTGACCATGAAATTGGGGGTCCCCCAAGGCGCTAGCCGAGAGATTCAGGGCAGATGGGAGATGATGGGAGATCGCGCGCGCGAGCAAATCTTCGATAGCATGGGCCAAAACAAGAAATCGTTTGCGGATCCAGGCCTCAAATAGCTTCGCGACGCATTCTGTCGCGCAACAACTGTAGATGATCAACATGCCTGCCTTCATTTTTCCGCTCAGCTAAGACGATGTTTTATGCCAAATAGAAAATGACATGCAGTGGGGGCAGCGAGGCTCAAAGGAAAGGGTGCGGGTGCGCCAGGTGCGACAGGTGCGCTTTCGAGGGTAAATAGTCGATGAAACCCACAGAGCTCGGTTTCGTCGCTCCATAAGCAAGGCTCGTCTTGACGGATGCACACCTCACCTACTTCCATAGGTGGTCTCAGGTCATTCCGTCTCAAAAATCAGGGCCCAGCCTCGATCTCCAGCGTAGAGCAGAGGGCGTTCATGCCTTTGACCACATCCACGCCAAAACCTGCGAGCTCACCAGAGGCGTCGAGGTAAGCATAGGGCGGGTAGTTCACATCCTGGCCAAACTTGAGCTTCGTCACACTGGCGGCGGCCACGGTGAGCAGGAGACTCCGCAACATTCGGCACTGCTTGGCACCTCTCACGGAACTGTGGAAGGAAGAAAGATGTGACCAGTGATAGAAACATGAGGAAAATTGCCTAGTACAAAATGGTTGAATAGTTCTATGCCCGTGCTCGCATCTGGTCATCTTTCTTCCATCCATCATTCTCCATGGGAGGTTCTAGCCAAGCGTGTCCAAGACGAGCCAAAACGCTGCCGCATTCGTGCTCCAATCGATCCCTGCGGGCAAAAGCAGCCGGGTTGACAACTCTTGAACTGGCCGCATTCAAAACTTGTTCCGGAAGCAGAAAAGCAGGGCCCTCGGTAATGGTGCAGCTGAAAGCGTTGCAAACATGAAGCAAACAAAATGCAAAAGTGCTTCCATCTGCAAGAAAAACACATACCGGGGGAGGGGGGGGGGGCAAAGGAGCGGCAAAGGAGCCGCCGCTCATTTTGGCCATCGGCATGCACCGACCTTTCGGGGCTCCAAGCGAGCACCGACTCACGCTGCACCTTTGGCAGGCGGTTCAGCCGGCCCGGAGAAGCATTCGGCAACTCAAGCTGGCCGCTTCCTTCCGTTTGCGTCCGTTTCCCTCTTTTGGTGGGTCTTTTTCTGTCACTCAAAGTCGCCTCGTATACTGATTTGTTTGTTCAGCGCAGGTTCCTTTGCGACTGCTCTCTGGCTCCTCTTGCAACAAAGGCTCTCCGAATTGCCGAGGAAAAGAACAAGGCCGTTCAAGCATCTCCGCCTACATGTTACAAAGCATTCTCGATGATCTGCTTGGCAAGGACATCCTCAGCCATCGGCCCCTCTCTCTGAGTCATGCGGTGCCAAGCCCACCCCAGGCATTTCGGGCAAACACTTTGCGGAGCAGCACGCAGCCTAGTGCTTGGCCCCGACGGGCCCCGATGTTTTGCCGAGCAGCCGCCCAGGTCGAGCAGACGACGTGGAAAGGCGTCCCAAGCGAGCCTCATCAAAGGTGCCTGGCGGAAAGTCGCTGGTTCTGGAACCCACCACATGCGGGTATGGGTCAAAATTGAACCACCAGGGCACCACAGGTTTTAGTCCATGTTTCCATTTACCGATCGGTTTCCATTTTGGAGGTGACCTATTCTTGACCCACAGCCATGTCTTCCCGTAACAAAACCCGAGTCGGGATTTTTTCCTGACGCATCAACAGCCTCGCGCCTGCACCAAGTGCGCCAGGCGCTGACAGTCGCGCGCGTGGGGCGTCAAAACTACCTGGGCACAAGGGAAAACTTGCTGGCCAGCCATGAGAAATGCAATGACCCCCCATAAACCATCCAACTGGTGGTTTACTTTATTCGGGAATCCCAAAACGGCTCATTTTTTAACTCATTCCCTACCCATCGCACCGATCGCAAGGGAAAAGGACTCCGAGAACCCAAACGCCACTCGCGCCTTGGCGCGCATATGCCACCTGCGTTCTGAGGCCCCCGCAGCCCATCCCGCTGTTTCTGGGCTCCGGGGAGGCGCCGTTGGCCTCCTTTCGGCTGGCCGGAGACAGTCACAAGTCTTGTGGAAGGCCAGGCAAAAACTTACGACTCTCAAGCCCAGAAAGGAAACGCAAAGAAACGCGCAGAGCGCTGGGAATGGATCGGCCCTGTCGAACCCGAGCGCCTCAAAAAGACTCATCTCATCTTCGGCAATGGCATCCTGGGTCATTAGCCTCAAGGGGCAGGCAATCGAAATGTGTCACGCTTGCAGGCAACAAATCCGCTTGGAGTACCAGACGCAGCGCATGATTCATGGTGCTTGCTGGTTATCTCCTTCCTTTAGACACATCTGTTGCTGGGGTATCGCGGCACGGGGTATCGCGGCACCCACCGCTGCCAAGGCGCAACTTCTTCAGCCTGCCGTGGCCGGGAGAAGCCGAAATCGGCGCACAGACGCTACGAGCACTCGCAATAGGCAGATTTAGCCACTCTTAGACTTAGACAAACCTGAGCCATGAACTGTAAAGAGGCGGGTGTGAGAAGTGCTTCCATTTGAACGGGAAATTGCAACATTGGTTCAGAGGAAATATATCTCGCTGTCTCTCTGTTCTTTCTTGCGATCTTTGCTTCTGGATGCCTTTCTTTCCTTCGCTCTTTCTTTCTTTCGATCTTTCTTTCTTCCTTTCTTTCTTTATTTCTTTCTTGATTTCCGTTATTTAGTCCTTTCGTTCTTTCTTGTTTCTTTCTTTATTTCATTATCTATTTCTTTCTTTTCTTTCTTTCCTTATGTCCTTCCTTCTTTCTTTCGTTCTTTCTTCCTTTCTTTCTTTATTGGCATATTTTATGTTATTTCTTTCTTTCTTTCCTTCTTTAAATATTTAATTAGTTCTATATTTCCTTCTTTGCTTCTTTCTTTATTTCCGTTCTTTCTTTCTTGCTTTCTTGCCTTTCTTTCTTTATTTATTTATTTTTCTTTCTTTCCTTTCTTCCTTCCTTCCTTCCTTTCTTTCGTTCTTTATTTCTTTCTTTCTTTCTTTCTTTCTTTCTTTCTTTCTTTCTTTCTTTCTTTCTTTTCTTTCTTTCTTTCTTTCTTTCTTTCTTTCTTTCTTTCATTTGTTCTGTCTTTCTTTCTTTCTTTCTTTCTTTCTTTCTTTCTTTCTGTCTTTCCTTCTTTCTTTCTTTCTTTCCTTCTTTCTTCCTTCCTTCCTTCCTTTCTTCCTTCCTTCCTTCCTTCCTTCCTTCCTTTCTTTCTTTCTTTCTTTCTTTCCTTCTTTCTTTCTTTCTTTCTTTCTTTCTTTCTTTCCTTCTTTCTTTCTTTCCTTCTTTAATTCTTTAATTCTTTTTTTCTTGCTCTCTTTCTCTCTTTCTCTCTCTCTCTCTCTCTATGTTTCTCTCTCACGGTAAGAATCTAACCCTGAGTAAATGCCCCACGCGCCCTTCAGCTTCTGAAGCTCACCGTTCTGTTCATCAAAATATCAGCCCGCCCAAGGGAGCTTCAAAGCGTTTTAAAGATTCGTAAGAAACAAGCATCAGAACCAAATAACCAGGATTGCTGGGGACTCTCCCTAGCAAATCCTTCCCAAGACACCCTGCCAAGCTCACAATGGTATCTCAGAGTTCGAGCACATGTTGAATGTTAAACCTCACTGCTCAATCAGAGCACGCTGACAATGTTGCAGACCATCGCATCAGTGGTTGTTAAGACTAGTCCCTGGCAACATCACAGATCTGATCTTCAGACTGCAGCTCTCTTTGCAAAGGGTCTCGCCTTGCATTGCAAAAGAATTGCTGTCACTCTTCCGAAAACCGATTTTCCTCATTCTGCAAAAATACCTTCGCGGACGGATGTCGCTTTCCCAGGAACTTCCAGCAAGTTGTCAACTGCCTCTTTCCAAAAAATGAGACGCTCCCCACCCTCAGGGTTCCTTGCCCTCAATGTCACAGATTGGCCGCACAGGTGGGGAAATGTGTCCAGTTGTTCAGTGACCTTTTTTGGGGTCAACGATTTTGGGGAAGCCATACAATACAAAGAAAAAGCGACTTGATGGTACTGAACAATACGGAACAATGTCCTAAACATTTGTTTAAACATCCTCCGTCCTACCACATCGCATCCAACCAGCTTGCTGGTTCTCAATCAATGATCCCAAGCTGAACCATGCAACTTGTGGTTTCCATGGGCTCCCAACCGATGCCTTCCAACAAAACCCCTTTGGGGCCTTTCTTTCCCTGCGGCTCCCCCTTTTCCCGTGTTTTTTTTTTTTTTCCTCCCGGAAAACGAGAGGGTTTTAAAAAAAACAGCCCAAATGGGGAGAATGGGGGGGGCCAAGCCTTGAAACAGACATACCCCTCCTGATCCGAGCCCAAGCCTGCCACCTCCCCCGCCTGGCCGAGGCTTGCCGCACCGAGCCGCTGCCCGGGAAGGCGGACCAGGAGGTGCGAGGCGCCCGCGCCGTCTCGGCCTGACGCACGGAGCGCCATGCCCCGGTCAAGATGTATCGGAAAAAGAAGAAAAAAAGAAAAAAAGCCCGTGTTGGAGTTTCCAAAATGGGATGTGTCAAAACTTGGATGTATCAAAGCAGAAATTTGGCGCCAACAAGTGTTCTCCTTTTGGTTTCTCCCTTTCAGCCAACCCCGAAAAGGGCACAAGACTCCTGTGGGCACAGATCTTGACGATATATATATATATATATATATGTGTGTGTGTGTGTGTGTCCGTAAGTATATGTTTATTCATACACATACCACGCGCAGGACATGCGCCCGTCTGTCTCCACCCTCGCCGGTTCGCGCGCCCCTTGCGCCCCGCCGCTGGCCTCCGGCGCGGCGTCCAGGCGGAGGCAGCGGAGCACGGGGGCCGTGGGCCAACCCAGGAAGACCAGGGACACCATCACGGTGATGACCTCGGAGGCGACCCACCCCGGGAGACTCCGAAAATGTGCTCTGCATACCCGGCCCAAAGCCTAAAGCGGCATTTTCTGGTTTCTTTTGTTCCGGTTCTGAGAGGTCCCCGACCCACTTTCAACCCCCCACCCCCCGCTCAGAACTGCGCACAAAGACACACGCCGATCAAATCATACGCGCGCCGGCTCAAGCGAGCGAGCTTTGCTCAGCGTTCCGCGCGCCTGCCAAGCAAACTGGCACGTCGGCTAAAGAGCACTCGCTCAGCACTGCGCCCACAGCTGCCAAACGAGAAGCGTGCCCGCTCAAACGCGCGCCCGCTCAGCACTGGGCCCGCACCGGATCAGCGCTGCACTACTGCACACACGCCTGCCACGATAAGCGCACCAGCTCCAGAGAGTCCGCTCAGCGCTGCGCGCAGCATAGCACTTGAGCGAGTTTGCTCGTGCAAGCTTGCTCGTGCAAGTTTGCTCGTGGTAGTGTACTCATGCGAGTTTGCTCGTGCAAGTGTGCTCGTGCGAGTTCGCTGGCGATTTGTTCAACCCCCGAAATTGAGTCCAGCTTCTCCCCAATCTTGTTAGCATCAGTCAACACAGCAGCAATGGCTGCAGTATCAGCTTCCCTCTCAGTGGTGGTTGGGATTAGTGGATTAGTGGTCCGGATTGATGCTTTCTCCAGGGGTGGCTTCCTATTTGGTGGCTTCCTATTTGCCCTCATGTCTCCAAACCACAAATCCAAACCGCCGAGTAAGGTAACCTGATGGTTGGTATTGAAACCTAGCCATTGCAGGGAACCCCTGTTTTGAGAACCCCTGACAAGGATGGGGCGGGTGGGCCTTCCATGTTTGAACAAGGAAAGACAAAAAGGAGAAACCCATGGAAAAACAGGCAAAACCTGATTCCATCGAGGCAACCAAGGACTTAAGGAGTGCAAAGGGACAAGAGTCCACGGACTAAATGCCATCTGAAAACCCGAGTGGTTCGAAGAAAACCTCGGCTCTGGAGCTTCCAGGAGTAGCCGCCAAAACCGCAAACAAGGCTTCCTTGAGTTTTCTTCCCTCCGACATTTTAAAATGTCGGGCTACGAAGAACCCAACCGCTCCCATGGACTTTTTCCTTGGCAATGCGGCCTGGAAATTTGGAGCAGGTTGTTTCTACCAACACCTCAAAAGGGCGTCTCTCAGAACGAAAAGGTCGGCTTCTCTTTGGTCTCTTTTTGAGCCAACCCCACGGGTTACTCAAAAGACCGAGCCAATTGTACTCCACGCTCCGTTTGCTGGTTTACGAGCCCCCTTTCAAGCTTGGCTTAAAGGGAAGCCACCAGGAACTCCACCAGTTGGTTGGTCCCCCGGCTTTGACAAAAAAAGGACCCAGAAACCCGGGCGGCTAAAATCCGAGCACCAGGCGGTGGTACAGAGCAGCTGGTCCTGGTGCCCGGCCTGACGTGCCGATGCCAAAGGGAAAAGTAGCGATGAATTGGTCCCTTCAATCAACCCTTCGGGGGGGGGTCTCAAGATAACAATAGGGAACTTGAAGAGTTGAAATCTCAAAAGGCAAGTGTCGGCGGCCAACAAAATCGTCGCAGCCCTCACTCCGTTTGGGAATTCCCTTTGAAAGCGCGTTGTTTATAATGGCGAGATCCCTAGTTACTCCGTAATCCGTAGGGTATCAATGTCGAGTATTCGGGGGAAGGGAGTAAGAAGGTGTCTCAAAATGGATGGGAACCCCACCGAAAAATGGTGCTATTTCCCTTTAAGGTGTTCCTTTAAAACCGGGCGCAAAAACACGGCGCGGGGGGGGGGGGGAGGTTCCTCGGGTATTCAAAAAAGGAAAGACACGCCCAATCCCTCTCTGTGCCTCGTTGGGGAAGCCGAGGGCGCAAATGAAGGCGATAGTCCCCCGCAGCCCAGCCATCCAAACCATATGCAGCTCCTCGCACGTCCAAACCACAATAATGAGGCGCCTTTGGGTGTGGCTCAACATGAAAGAGCTGGGGCAAACCGCAAGCTTTAGTCTTTGGCTCCATTTCCCAAGCTGCGATTTTGGCAATTACATGTTTTGAGCCACAGCCATATCACAATCATAAGAAAGACTGGGCAGCAAAAGAACACCTGAAGCTGTCCAAGGTTTCAGGCGCTCCCATCAAGTCCAGAAAAACTTGAGACACAAGTTGACGATTGGCCGAACGCCCCAGCAAACCGGCACGTCACTGAGCTCCCGGCATTAAAGGACATCTTTGGCCCTGAAGAGAGACAGTTTGCCACCAGAGAGAGGGGGTACACATTCCTCGAAACGGATCGCTCGGCTGTGCGACTTGAAGCGACTTCAGCTGAACAGGAGAGGTTTACTTGCTGCTCTCCAGCATGTCCAAACATGGGAAGCCATCCGAAGGCTTCGTGTGGCTCTTGCGTCACATTTTCCGGCTGATGCGAGGGCCCTTTTTTCTCTGTGAACAAAGGTCCGCAATCATCCCTTAAGGTAGGTCTCAGAAAGCCACCTAAATTTAGCGGCTTCCAAAAGCTAAGCCCAGGTATCCACAACAGCCCCGGAACCAATGGAACCCCCCAGAACCCTCTCCCTAAAAGCCACCCCAAATTACCCCTTATCGCCTATCCGGGCAAAGACCCGAAGGCCTTTGGCTGTTGGGAAAACAAAAACCATCTGAATGGGCTCAATTGGCAGTCTGCAAAAGAATTTCGCAAGTGGCTCTTTCGGAGGCGGCTGGAGTTGGCATTCACTGTGTCACAGCGCGCGGGTGTTGAGTGCGCTTGGTCCAAAAGAAGCGCTCGCTTACAATGGTTGTCTAACTAGGCTGTCATGCCTGTGTTATGACTTCCATTCCTAATCCTTGCAAGTGTAGAAATCACCAGTAATCTGGGCTGGAATTAGGACCCCAGCAAAAAAAATAGCTGTTTGCCTGGTTCGTGGAAAACAAAGAAACTCCAAAAAGCCAAAAACAAAAAAATGGTTAATTCTGGAGAAGTAACACACCCGACCCGCGATCGGTCGGTTGGCAATATCTGCAAGCTCCGTCCCCACCTCAAGTGACAGTCCTCTTGACGTCCAGCCTGGCTTGACCTACTACAGCTCTCCTTTGCAGCTGTTCTGTTTCGGCAAGTTGTGGACACCAGTACTTCCGACCCAGCTCTGCACGTCAAACTAGAGCGACCCAAAAAACGTGTGGTTTTCCTGTTGGTTTCTTTTGAAGCCACCTTTCTTTGGTCTTCCTGCTGGTTTCTTTTAAAGCCGCCCCAAGAAGAGCAGTTTCTTTTGAAGCCACCTTTCTTTGGTCTTCCTGCTGGTTTCTTTTAAACCCTCCCCAAGAAAGCACCCGCCACCTGCGGGTAAAAAAAAAAAAAAAACGGTCCGGGGCGCAAGGCGCGGCCCACCAGGCAGGCCGCCAGCGTCCACAGGATCAGCGGCAGGCTGAAGGCCTCGCGCAGCAAGAAGACGCCCAGGCCCAGCAGGATGAAGACCTCGCGGTTCTCGGCGCGGTTCGGCTCTCGGCGCGGTTAGGCGCCGAAAAAAAAAAAAAGAAGGGGGGGGGGGGGGGGGAAGGAGTCCAGGCCCTGAGCCGGCCCAAAAAATGGGGCGCCGACAAAAAGAAAAGGAGAGGAACAGGAGTCCGGGCCCTGAGGAGTTCTTTGGCTATTTTCTTCTGTAAGAGGAACTGGTGAGATAGCGAGGAAACGGGCTTTTTGGGAATTCAAGGCCTTGCTTTGGAGGATTTGAAAGGATGTTTGTGGAGGCCTTGCGCTAAGTGGTGATATTTGGAAGATCGGAATAAGGAGTCTTCTTGTTGTACGGAGGTGGTAAGTGAGGCGTTGGGCGGCTACCCTTCCACGAAGGTTCTACACTTCTAAAGGGCGAACCGTGCAAAAGAAATGGGGCAATAAAAGCATTCCAACTCTAAGACTTGCTTATTGTCCCAGCTCTCATGTCCCTTTTCTTACACTTCTCCCGCTTCCAAGCCTACCAATCATCAACAGCGGATGGGTGAGAGAGGGAAAGGAATGCATCTCATGGGTCACCATCCCTTTATAGCCTATCTTTGGGTGACCAAGAGATGAGAGATGAAGGAATAGGTCTCTCATCTCATGGAAATATCTTCATCATCTCACTCTCCTACAAGTACCATTCTTGTAAACAATCTTTGAATGGGATGTAGGAGGAGACAAGAAATTTCATTGCATTCTTCAGCTTGGAATTGGTGGGATATATGTTAACCTGTCCCTTTCCTTTCGTGGCTTACACAATATTTGAAATGCAACGGCAAGCTGTGAATATGAAGAGGGAAATGATGGGAGATGATATGATGGGAAGGGAATTCTGAAGGCACCTTCATGTCGGTACAATCATCCCTTCACTCACCATCCTCTCTTCCGTCTCCTCCAGTTAGCATTTCCAGAAGGTCAGAGCGGGAGTTAGCAAGCTGCTCATTCGCCTGCATGTTACTAGCAAACCGACTAAATGTCCCACAACAATGTGACGGATTCATGGGTCTCTTGCAACATCGCCTAAGGGAAGCATGTGCTTCCAGCATAGATTTGCCTGTTTGGAGCTTCCTGCGCGAAGGCAAACCGCTGCTCATCTGGCAAGGGGCATCTGGCCTTCATTTTGACACTGCCAACTAGGCCTAGCAAACCTCGCGGGGCGCATTTCAATCAAGGTCCAGACCGTCTTCGGAATGAAGGAGACATACAGAATAAGTAATAAGGTACAAACTTCATGTTTTCCCTGGATATCACGGAGGCATGGCAATTGCAAAGAGCCCTGGCTCTTGGGAACTGAGTGAACCAGGCAAACCCAAAAATGAGAGCGTCCTTTTGGCATAGGAAAAAAGCCAGCCTAAACCTCCAAGATCAAACAACCTTTTGGCATTCCTTTTAAACCAATCCAACCAAAACTCGAGTAAATAATTTAGCCCCAACGTTGCCCAACATGGCTGCGGCTCAAAAAGCCTGGTAACCCCAAAATGGGTTGCCCAATCGGTAAGTGGAAACATACATGGACCAGGACCAACACCTGCGGTTTGCCCCTGAGATTGTTTATTTTATTGCCACACCCACATCGTTGCCCATCGAGCCGCGTAGGTCTCGCACAGCGAGGCGATGAGCTCCACCGTGGGCAGAAAGATCTGCCGCGTGATCTGCGCGGATCGGCGCCATTCGCGGGTCTGGTGGTTGGGGCTGATGGCGGTGGTGGTGGGTATGTTGGTTGTTGGAGTGGACTTGGCGAAGGCGTGTTTTCTGGGAACTAGTTGTGGGTCTTGCTGGTTTCGTGCTTTTCATTCGCTGTCTCGCTTCTGTTCAACGAGCTTGGCGCCAAGGTGCTTGAAACTGGTGGCCCAAGGCCGGGAGAAAGGATTGGCCGCTGTAGCGCGGCAGTATGTAGTCTTTGCAACGGGCGCCCTCACATTGGCTGTCTCGCTTCTGTTCAACGAGCTTGGCGCCAAAATTCTTGAAATCGGTGGCCCAAGGCCGGGAGAAAGGATTGGCCGCTGTAGCGCAGCAGTATGTAGTCTTTGCAACGGGCGCCCTCGGGCGGGCTCGCATCCCGGCGTGTTTTCTGAGGCAACGGGGCGCAAACGGGCTTTGCGAGGGGGCAAGCTTTGTGTGAAACTCTGAGACACGCTGCTAAAAAGCACGCCTCGGTTGAACATGAACTTGTTTCCAGCTGTTTGATAAACATATGCGCCCCCTATGTGGGTGCATCCCAAATAGGCTCCATCCTTGTTCAAGATGCCTTGTTGCCTAAACAAGGGCCCGCAGAAGTGTGCACGTTTGTGAAAGCTCATAGACACGAGAAGACGTTGCTTCAAGCGACCCTTCTTTCGCCACGCGATTGGAGCCTCATATTTGCCAAATCCGTGTCAACTGCTCTTGCACCTGGCCGCTGTCTCCGCCGTAGTCTGCACGACCCCAGGTCACAACTGCCCCTGATTCCAGAATGGCAGCAAAAGCACTACTAGTGGCTTGGATGTGATGAACGTTCCTCAGCTGCTCTTGCACTGGGCTGCTGTCTCCACCAAATATTGGATCACCCCACGTGACGACAGCCCCAGATTGAAGAATGGCAGCAAAAGCACCCTTTGTTGCTTGGATATGTTGGACGTTCTTCAGCTGCTCTTGCACCTGACTGCTGTCTCCGCCAAATTCTGGACCACCCCAAGTCACAACAGCGCCTTCTCCCAGAATGGCAGCAAAAGCACCGACAGTTGCTTGGATATGCTGGACGTTCTTCAGCTGCTCTTGCACCTGGCTGCTATCTCCGCCCCAGCATGCACGACCCCAGGTCACAACTGCCCCTGATTCCAGAATGGCAGCAAAACCTCCATGAGTTGCTTGAATGTGCTGGACGTGCATCAAATGCTCTTGCACCTGGCTGCTGTCTCCGCCACATGTTGGATCACCCCAGGTCACAATAGCCCCACATTCAAGAATGGCAGCAAATGCATACTTGGTTGCTTGGATGTGCTGCACATTCCTCAGCTGCTCTTGCACCTGGCTGCTGTCTCCACCCGTGCCTTTCATACCCCAGGTCACAACATCCCCGGATTCAAGAATGGCAGCAAACGCGTGGCTACTTGCCTGGATGTGCTTGACATTCCTGAGCTGCTCTTGCACTTGGCTGCTGTCTCCGGCGGACCATGCCTTCCCCCAGGTCACAACAGCCCCGGATTCAAGAATGGAAGCAAAAGCCTCATTATTTGCTTGGATGTGCTGGACATTCCTCAGCTGCTCTTGCACCCGTCTGCTGTCTCCGCCTTCTTCCGAATCACCCCAGGTGACAACACCCCCAGAGTCCAGAATGGCAGCAAAAGCGCTCTGAGTTGCTTGGACGTGCTGGACGTTTCTCAGCTGCTCTTGCGCCTGGCTGCTGTCTCCACCCTTGCGTGTAACACCCCAGGTCACAACATCCCCAGATTCAAGAATGGCAGCAAACGCGTGGCTACTTGCCTGGATGTGTTGGACATTCCTGAGCTGCTCTTGCACCTGGCTGCTGTCTCCGCCAGTGTGCGGCTCTCCCCAGGTCACAACCTCGCCCCCCTCGCCATGCCAAGCGAACGCTGGAAGAGAGGCAGCTAGCTTGCCGCCAAGCACAACAACCGCAGTCACTATCTCGCCATCTCGCAACCCGGCCTCACTCAGCGAGGCAGTCAAATCGAGCTGCCGGCCTTTCGCAATGAGCTTCAAGCGGCGCTGGAGATGCTTCTGCGCTGCAGCCTGCAGCTCGCTGATGAGTGTCGCCGGCGAGACTGCTATGGAGCAACCTTCACCACTGGGCAAGTGAACATCCACCTTCATGCCGAGGGAATCCTTCAAGTGCTGCAACTTGCCGAAAACGAACCTGAAACACAAAACATGCAAATCGAGGGGAGGACCCCTTTTGAATAGCTTTTGAAGGAAATCCTTAGAATTTCCAAGGGTTCATATTCTGGGACCACGCATGCGAAAAACATGGGTCTGCAACATCCCCCCTGTAAGGATCCTCGCAGCTGTCTAAGCGGCCCTTTTTGACTGAAGTTCTTCAGCTGAAGCCCGAAATCATTGTCAGCGGTTCGTGAGCAAGCACAACGATACCAATTCGTTTGCAACCAAGCCTGAAGAGAGGCGGATCCATGGTTTTTGGATTGGCCTATCTGATCATAGCTGTCCTGGGCGCCCAAAATTCCCCCACAAAAACCAAAACACGCACTCAGGATCTTCAGAAAGCTTCCTGCACTGAGGTTTTGGCTAAAAACTGGGTTCTTGTTGGGGCTGACCATGTGCAAGTTGGTGGAAAACCCAACTCTTGCATTTGCGGCATCTTCCTGTCAGGCATGAACCGGCTGAAGCCTCTCCCCAAAAAAAAGAAAAGAAGAGGAAAGAAACAGGGAAGGCACATTGCCTTTTTCCTTGGAAGGGGAGCGCATGCAATAAACAGGCCTGCATGAGAATCCCGAAAATCCTGAAGACCTCAAGGACAAAGTTCAGTGTCTGCAAAGAAAAGCCATGCTTCTACGAGTCACAAAAGCTCAGAGAGATCACTCTCGCTCTCTCTCCCGGCCTGCGTCAAATTAAAGTGCGCATATTGCCGGGTGGTGATGCCTGTAAACCTCGAGTTGCGCGTGTTTTGCGCCGGCAACGCGACCGGTGCGCCTTTCCCCAAATGGCTGGGACGGGAGTGGGAGTACACCACCAACCAACAGCCACCCCCCTCCGATGGAACCCAAGCAGCATGATGGCCACGATGCCGGACATGTTGCAGGCCTCTGCCACCAGGAACGGCACGTAGGCCAGGACCTATGTGATTTGTGTGTTTTGATCGTACCCTTTTGAAGGTTGGTTTAAAGTTTAAAGAGAAATAACAACAAAAGAACTAAGTTGGGTGCGACCCCTCCCCATACCCAAATCAAAGCTGCGACTGTGCACGACACCAGGGGTCATCTCACAAGTCTTCCGGCCACTTTTCATCGCAGCGGCCAGCGCCACTCCGATCTCTGGGATGTTGAAATAGAAGTGCTCCCCCTCGCCTGAGTGAAACAGAAGCCAGCCCAGAAAGTCGAGGAAACCTTATGCTCTGACAACTATTGGACCAGTGGTCATGCTTAGGAAGCACAGCTTCAAGACTCCAGAATTGCGCGGCGCCTTTCTTGAAAGCTAGTGGACCGGACGAATCAAAAGACGACTCCATGAGACGCTCCATTGAAAGATACTGCGCAGGCCAACGGCACACACACACACAGAGCAATATCCTATCCCAGCGTTTCTGCCTTGAGAGCGCTTTCGCAAAGAAACCCTGGTTCATGCTCGATCCCTTTGCCACTACCTCTAGGTGACGTCGTGCGACTCACGGTCAATTGCATCTCCAAAGGAGGTTGACTCAAATTCGGCCCAATTGCCAAAAATGTCCTTGTGTAGTTGTTGCCGTTGCCCGTTTCGCTAGTAATTCAGATACCCGCATCGCGGTATCCTCGACATCAGCTGCAACAAAATGTATTGTTTTTAGCTTTTGAAAGGAAACCAAAAGGAAACCAAAAGGAAACCACTGGTTTGGAAGGGCTGCCCCTTGAAAAAATCCAGACCCCCCCTCCCCCACTTCGAGCCCAGGGCCCCAGGGCCCTGGCTGGCCCCCGCTCCCAGCCGCGCCGACTTCAGCAGAAACGCCGTGGCCAACCCGCCTCACCGAGCCGAACCGAGGCTTCCCCGAAATGCCAACTGTCGGTTGGTCTGTTGCTTTGCCCTCAACAGAATCGCCCTCAACAAAAAACGAAACACACTCGTCTGGGGTCCGCAAGAAACTAGACGCCGCCAAGGGCCAAGGGTTCAGCTGGGGCATTTTTTGACTGAATAGTAGTGGCCTCGAGATGTTCCGCGCGGGAAACTCGAAACTCAGGCGTTCCATGGCCATGCAGCGGATCCAAATGCGCACAGTGTCTCTGACAATGATCTTGGCGTGGTCAAAACTCCTCATGTGGGTCGTGGTCATGCCACCCTTGTCATCCTGGTTGTCCAGCCCCCATTCGAAACGATCCATGACCATCTGTAGCTCGTTTGGTAACCGGCACAAGCCGTGCATATGAAAGCACTAAGGATCTTCTGTGACGTGGCCCCTTGCTTCCTCCGCTAGAGGCTAAACGGCCATCTCCAAGTGTTATGTCTTTGTTTGAGGGTACCTCTTTTTTTTTGGGGGGGGGTTCTTAGAAGGGAAACCAATGCAAAGCCGCAAAATGTGTGCATGTTCCTTCATGTTGAGACTTACCACATGTGAAAGCGTGCTCCGCCTGCGACGCCGATGGCCGTCGACGCGAGAAAGACTTCGCAAAACTCCAGGAGGATCCTCCCGATTTCGCCATGGTGTGGCTAGTGTGCTTTCATACATCAACACCCACCAAAGACTAGATGCGTGAAGGGAAGTTGCTCCGAAGGTCAACTCTTGACGGTTGGTCGCCATAACTTAGGGAAGAAGCCCAGCTAAATTCATATTGTTCAAACTCACCGGCTGAAAATACCTAGCATCCTTCCAATAGGTGGCCACATACCTCAAACCGCTTACTTCCTGGTGAGCCGGGCCGTGTCCTCAAGGCTACCAGGCCATTGAGGGCCTGGCGATCAGAAAGGATCATCTCGAAATGGCAGCAGGTTTCTTGCGTGTATGTATTTCCTTGCGTAGTCTTTCAAGGTTGTGTATTTCTTCTGTGTATTTCAAGATTGTGTTTCTCGTGTGTTTGAGCTTGTGTCTCTTTGGCTGAGCTTGTGAGACACAAGCTCATCGCCTCGCCCCCTGATCTTGAACTCAGCGAACATGTCCATGAGTCTCATGCTCGTCTCGGATTGAAGGGTGTCGGGTTCAGAAGGGAAAAGCGGAAAACTGGGGCACTTCTCTTGCTGGCTTTCTTTTTTCAACCGGGCACGAAACCAGCCTCGCCAGACCTCACTAGGTTGCAGAAGCTGTCAAAGAGGGTGATGGCCACAGCATCATTCAGGATGGACTCACCCAAAACCTGAGAGCCGGTGCTCCTGTTGGTAGGCGTTCTGATAGGTCAGAGTTGATTGAGCCAGCATCCGAAAAGATGAATGCTACTACGTAACCCATATGGCATGCCCTCCACATTGGGGCTACTTGAGAGCTGCAAAGCATTAGCATGCACCGCATGTTCCAAGCCAACTGCAAGTCGGAAAGTGGAGCTCATCGCATCGATCCTTTCGACTGCCCTCCCGCCCTAAGAAGGGCGCAGAATAGTAGAGGTGGCCCCTGCCGTTCTCCGCCAGCCGCTGCTCCTTGAAGATCGCGAGGGTCGTGACCTAAGGCGATTCGGGAGGAGCAATGACAAGTTTGCTCCTGGCAGTTGCGGGGAAAAAACACCTGGGCCCGCAAATCTCTATGGCACATATGCATGTGGGCAGGCGGGCCTTCAAAGCAAAGCCCTAGATGGATCTTCTGAGCTTGCACATGTCGCGTGCAAACCGCTTGCCCCCAGCAATAGTTTTCAGGTATGAAAAAAAGGCAAGTGCCGGTGTTTCCCTGACCCCTCCAGGCCACTGAATTAACGGCAAAGCCACACCCACAGCTTTTTCTGTTCAAACTTGCGACCCCGCAACTCGCGGATTCCCGAAAGAGAGAACCAAACACCCCTGTTCCGCCAAAAGGAAATCGCCCAAAAAGTCTGTGAACGTCAGGAGGATATGATTTGCATGCTAGTTTTCAGGGAACCACTTGAAGGTTGAAGAGTAAGAAAGCAATGGGCATATCCCAACTTGTGGCTTCTCTTTCAAGCAAACCCCGCACAAGGAAGAAAACCGCCCCAACATGCTTGAGCAATGCCCACCGATGCGGTTGGAAGACCAACCCATAAACATTTGGGGGTGGCTTTCAAGGGGACGTTCCTTCGTTTCCTCGTTAAAACCCACCCGCAAGAAGCCTACCCTTAGCAAAGCACCCGCTCATTTGGAGACCAACCCATGCCCGTTTGTTGAAAGCCGTGAATTGTATGATACCCATTCTGGCGTCAAGTCACCAGAATTCCGAGGGCCGAAGCCGACTTTGAGAAACAAGCGCAGACATCGACCCTAATCGTGTCCCTAACTGAATATGGATCTTGGTCAGATGCCCATCCAAATGAACATGTCGTGAATGGGGAATCAAACCACTTTTGGAGCGGCCCCCCCTAGAAAATATAAAACCGTCGTTTTATCTGCTTTTTATGTGTGTTCCTTCTTTTTTCCATATGGGGGTCCACATGATGTCATTCCCTACACCGCCTCACCCAAACTCCGGACTCGGGCCAAAGGGCGGGGTCCGTGGAGCTGATCATGGCCCCGAAGGCCAGGCACTCCGCGAGGCCCAGCTGAGGCCCGCCCGTCAGCGGCGCCAGGTACTGCAGCGCCAGGCCCACCACCTCGCTGATCGGAGCGGAGCCGCGGAGTCGCGCGGGCGGCGCGGCGGATTGGCGCTTTGGAGTCGTCAGAGGATGCCCAGAAGCTCGGTGCAGATGGTCCTTTTGGAAAAAATCCGAAATGGGATGGGGCGAGAGCTGAAGCTTGAGGCCAACATGAGGGGATATATATTTTTATTTATAACCCTGAGGGTGGAGAGATGAAGGCAAGGGGAAGAGACTGACACAGAGGAGAGAAATGGATGCGGAAAGGGGTGGGGTCGCTTGACCCTGCTCCCAAGCATACAAAATTTGAGCGCAGGTGCCTGGATTGAATTTCTTGAGGCGCGTCCCAAAACAAATGAAGCCCAAGCCTGGCGACAGCTGAAAGAGGTGATCTCCTCAGATAGAGGAATCTTCTCTTGCTCGGCCAAGGGACAAACAAAACTGGCTACCTGAAGGAATTGATCAAATTTGAGAACACCTTAGACTCTTGCAGTTCCCCAAGTTCTCTTGATTGGTCTCTCAATGAGCCACCTGCATCCCCACCGAGCCGCCCCATCGCCTAGGGCTTTCTACTGAGCCTCCGGCCAGTGCTGAGATCAACGTGCCCAGAAAGGCGTGCAGCAATATGCCTTGGTAGCCGGAGGGAAAAAAGAAAGAAGCGACCATGCCGCCATTGGCCGAGGGGCGTGTGATGTTGTCGAAGAATTGCTGGCTCTTCATGCCGTAGCCTTCGGCAAAAATGATGGGCGCGATAAAGACCAACCTGAGCCCAAACTCGGCAAGCACGTCCGAAGTGTGTTTGGTCTGTTTGTTGTTTGTTCATTAATCAATTCATCACGATCGCCGAAAAACATATATGAAATGTTCATCGTTGGTGAAAACTGTTTCGACTTTTCGAAGTGTGGAATCGTTGCTTGAGGCGGGAAACACAAACGAGCTTCGCCTCTAAGACTGTGGCAGCTCCAGAAACGGCACTGAAAATGATATCAAAACGATCTTCGGGAGTCAGAGGCTTGCTGATCCCTCACTCCACTGTTCTGCAACCTCCTTGAATCCCACACGCTGAGTCTTGTTCACAAGCATCGCGGAAACCCAGATTTGTCTCGTCTCCGAGGCACGCGTCCTCGCCCTCCCATGCCAAGCTGCATGAACTGCTTGGCCGACATGTCTTCCAGTTTCCGGAAGGTATTCCGATTGACCTCGCGGCTCCCTTTGGGACCAAACTACTTGAGGCTCCGAACCTTCAAGGCTTTTCACATGCGAGGACCAGGGCTCACCTCCCAAGTTTGACCTTGGCTCACGGGACTTCACGGCGTAAGTTCGACACCACAGGAAAAGATGCAAAAAGCAAACAAGCAAGCGAGCAAGCCAACCGTCCAAGCAAACAACCAACCAGCCAGCCAACCAAATCCAACCAACCAAATCCAACCAAACAAACAAATCCAACCAACCAACCATCCAATCAAACAAACAAGCAAACAAGCAAACAACCAACCAACCAAACAAACAAAACAAACAAACAACCAAGAAAGCAAACGAACAAACAAACAAACAACCAAGCAACCAAACAACCAACCAACCAAACAAGCACTCGGCGCATGTCACCCGTGTCCTCGGGGAAGGCCACTGCCACCGCGCCCATGGCGATGCCCAGGGCGATGGTGGAAATGGCCTCCGGCGGCTTTTCCCCGTGCGCCCAGGGCCGATCCACCCGGTCTTCGGAGGAACTGAAATGGTTTCCAGGAATGGTTTCCAGAAACGGTTTCCAGAAACGGTTTCGGACATGGTTTTCCGGTAACTTAGTTTGTTTGTTTTTTCAACGTAGGAAACAGTGTTTGTTGCGTGCGGAAGGCAAAAAAGGGAGCAGGAGCTGGTCCTTCAGAAACGCCCTGGGTGGATATGGAGTGTGAACTTTAATGAGGGACCCTTTGGTATTCATCATTGAGCCGGGGGTGTTTTCATGTCCGACCACTTTGGAGTTGGTTCCCTCATTTGGGATTGTCTCGAAATTTTCGGGGAGCCCTCAAGATGGGTACCCCATTTGGTTGCCTGATTCAAAACAAAAACCATGTGGTGGGCCCTCCTATTTTGACACAAATCCATCTATATGGCTGTAAACTCAATTATGGCTATGAATCTTAAAGGGGAATACCCAAAACATGATTGGTGGACATACATCCCCGTGTAAATGAAAGCTCATACCCATACAAAAGTGTGTTTGGTTGGCATCTGTTGAGCGCACCAGAATCAGCACACAAACGTGCACCACAAACAAACAACTGAAATGATGCCAGTTGTTGCTGGCCATACCCAAATGAATGCAAGTGAGTCAAGAACAAAGAGCACACAACCATTGGTGTCCTTTTTGGTAGAATAGATGGGACTGGTAAATGGGTATGGGTCAAAATTAAACCAGCAGGGGACCGCAGGTTTTAGTCCTTGTTTCCATCTACCAACCGGGTTCCGTCTTGGGTCCTATGTTTGATGGAATAAGACCACTCCAACCCAGTTCTCCGGCCGTCAGTCAATCTTCCGCTGAGATTCCCCTTTCGCGGCCTCCGGAATCGGCCAAGACTGCTTCTGAATGACGTTGTTCACCACTAAGCAAATGGCCTGAGACAACCATTCAAGCGGGTTTGTCTCAAAATGGGGTGAGCCCAAAGATGGTTGGTTTGAGTTCCTTTGAAACCAACCACAAGGGGATTACCAAAACAGAAGACACGCGTGAAAATTGGCCAAAGTCGACCCGCCACTCCTATGCCACGGGGCAATCATCTGGACAAGGCGTCTGTTGTGACGTGGCAGGTCCAAGAGTCCAAAGCCCTGCCGCCCGAGTCTGAGGCTGCGAGTCTGAGGCTGCGACGAGCAGGCTCACCTGACAGAAGGACATGCGCGACTTGTGGTCTCCCCTTTGTATCCGGCAAAGCAAACCTCACAGCTTTTCTTTTTCTGCCTTCCCCCATGCATTGAGCGGTACTAGGCAGTTGATATTGCGGCACCAGAGCTAGAGAGCTTTGCTCGTTGAGCACGGTCATTGCACCCCAAACCCAAGGGCTGCGCGTGAAACAGGGCTCCAAGGAAAAACGCCCGCTTTGAGGGAAAAACCTTTGGAGACTAGCAAGAAACACAGGAACGTCCGGCCTGCCGTGCCATGCATTCGCAGAAAGGAAACCATGGAGACGTACATCACCTAGAGTCCGCTGAACTATGCTTAATGTAGAATGTCTGTTGGAAGCTGCCGTGAGAAGCCCGAGTGCCTGCAGACCCGGCAAGCCCTGAATGACGCATCAGGGAGGCATCAAGGGTGCGCGACTGAAGTCATAGTTGCCGCTGCCGCATTGCAAAGCCTCATCTGAGGAATGCCCATCCACACCCTCCAGCATACCCAACAAACTAGCACACCTGACCCCCATTAAAATCACGCTCACCAGAACGTAGCACTGCACAGCCCGCCACCAGTGGGGCAAACAACTCCCCAAATTCCCACAATGGAGTTGGCCAGGCCAATGATCCAGAACACAGTGGGAGCCTGTTGCACCAAGAGCGCTCAACTGATGGTCAACACGCCAACTGTTCCAGCCGTTGTGTAATTAATAAAGCATTCCCCTTGGTCTGCTGCCGCCGCTGGGCAGCATCAACGGGATCTTCTCGCACGCGCTGAAGAACTGGTGCCAGTTGCAAGCCGCTATCCACAGCTGACAGTGAGTACATATGCTGCCTTCATGAGCCTGCTTTACAATTTTTCAGGCATCAACTGAACTGGCACCTTGCCGGGCTGCCGAGGGAAGCACCTGCAACTTGGAAGATCGGGTCTTCAACTTGCGCTGCTGGGTCTGAGAGAGATTAGGTTTGCTGCACAGCCCACTGGGCCACCTCCGGGCTGCGCAAAAGCTCCTGCAGCTGCGCTGCACCTTGCGCCATGGGTTTCCGGCCGAATGAAGCGACGAAAATGGATTGAGCCAAAATAGCTTCGGGAGTCCTCCCCAAGCTCGCAGGGGATGGGAAGAGATGGCCATTCTCAAAAAGGCGTTGAACAGTTGCGTAGCTCCCTCTGCCCTTGCCCCCCAAAAGAAGTACGTCGGCAGCGCTACCCTCATATGGACAATAGCCATGGGACAGCCCTAGATCGTCTGATCGCTTGGGAAAACGAAACCCAGCTCGGCGCCGCGCTAGCAGCAGGATGTCAGTGGCATCCAGGGTGAGGTCACTCATGGGGTCCGGGCCCGCCATGGCAGCAGACCGGAAAATCCACGGGGAGTGGGCAGGCAACCAAATGGGTCGGTCGGTTTTGTGGCTACTTGCTGAGATTGGTTTAAACGGAAATCTAAAGGAAACCCGCTTTTTCTTTGCCGGGGGTCCCCTCAAAAGAAACACACCCAAAATGTTCTCAAAATCGCCGGCAAATGGTTTCTTGAAGTTTGGCAAGCGGCCGGGATCAAATTCGGGGAAACGGGGCAAACCCAACGACTGCGTTTCCCGGCTTAGCTTTGCTTCTCTGCCATCCAAAGGCCAAGTTTCCTGGATTCGAGCAGAGAGTGATATGCCACAGGCTGGGTTCCAAGCAAAAAGCTGCACTGAGGCCTATGCTTGTGTGTGCATGCCTGTGAGTGGAAGCTGCAGGCATAGAATGCAGGAGGTTGCAGACATTCAGCCCAACTCAAACACCGCAAGTTGAAATGCTGCCGAGCTCCTTGGAATAGCGCGCCCGATGTGCTGCAGCGGCTTTTGTGAAATGCGTATGCAAAGCCAAGGGAGTCTGGCAACCGATTGCAACTGGCATACTGCAAGCCCCGAGGTGGTTATCGGTTGAATTCGAGCGCGGCCGATTCAACGCAGCCGCTGGCTGCTAGACAGCGCAACTCCTGCGCTTGCCTTCCCCCCTGACCTGTTCCAAAGCCGACACAAGTGTGGATTGACCCAGGCCAAGCAGGGAAGGCAATCGCATCTGCCATCTGCTCGCTGATTGGGGTGCAAACACGTTGAGGGAACACCACAAGCAGTCTGCACATGCCCATGGTGTCTTTCTTCGCTGGGGGTGCCACGGGTGTTCCCTCAGAGAACTCGATGGTGGGCCTGCTCCCATTTCCCTTCACTTAGCCCCAGAAGGCTTCAACAACTCAAACAGGTCTCGAACACAAATGCTACCATGGGGAGCAAGGTCCAAGTGGCTGTTCCAACCAAGCCTGTACAACCTAAGCTAAGCTTGCAGCTTGCGCGAGAACGTCTTGTTCTGAGCACATGTACTGAGGGGAAGCGCGTTCCTGTGAAAGCAGCGTTGTCCACGAATTCGACTTCAATTCGCACGGAGAAAGTATCATGTCGACAGCATCAAGAATTGCTGGAGCTCGACTGCAACATCCTGCAAGAGGATTCACAGGCTCCCAGTATGCAATCAAAGCTGGTAGTATCTTTAAAAACAAAACAAAAAACTAAATCAAAGCTAAAGCATCCAAATGTTATTTATGGTTTTCTGCTCCTCACTGCAATCCAATCATCAGTTCCAGCCTGCAATTGATGAGCTGCTGGACCTCTGCGACCAGCCGCGTCGGGATCGGCATCCACACCACCTGCTCTATCCCGTGATAGCCTGGGTCCCAGATGGGACAGCAGAAGTCACAGAGCAAATCGGGGGAAGCGGATTCGGGGGGAGGGAAAGGAGGGGATAGGATGACCAGCCATTGATCCTATGGTTTTTGTGCCCCCCACTAAGGGGCGGGGAGGACTTCAAAATTCGCAATAGGGGCACTGAATTGCGACTCATACGGCCTGTTAGGAGCGACTTGGGTTTGCAAACTCCCCTAACAAAACCCATGCTTCAAATGAGTCATAATCAAAACCTGGTATTAAAATGGTCTACCCAGAACCACATAAAGAATTAAGAAGATGGCCGCAACTATGTATGGCTGGGAGTCTCCCTTACTAGCCTCCATCTACCCGGGTTTGGATTGTGGCTCAAATGACGGGAGGTGGCCAAAATCGAACATCGACCCCGTCCATCACGGCCGGGTCCCTTCCTCTTTGGGGACGGGGCCTGGCCTAACGCCAAGGTGCGGGGTGAAGCAGGCGGCGTGGACTCCGGCGTGGCTGGCCAGAGCTGCCCCACCGGGGAGCCCTGCGAAGTGCTTGGAACCGACTGATATGTGGATACATGCATACTATATATGTATATACCTATATATATATATAAGTATAAATATATGTATATACATACATATACACACCTGTGAATATATATATATATATACATGTATGTCGTTGTATAAAACATATCAGTATACATATGTTTGTCCTATGTACACTTGTGTATATATCTATGTATATATATATATAGTTTTTGTCTATGTAGTTGTTTGACGCCAAAATCAGATGTGAATAGGGTGTCCAAAGAAACCGAGTCCTGGCACATCCCTATTTGCACGGTCAGGATTGAAGGAGGGATGTGGCCTGTCAAGATGCCACACATGAGTTCTGCGAATGTCTGAAGGAACCCTCCCAAATTGGCCTCTGCCCCCGCAAAGGCCTACATGAATCACTTTTGGGTTTGTCGTCAAACTAGAGAACCCCAAAAACTGTGGCTTGCCCTTTGCCAAAAAATACGACACCCCCGCTTTGGTCCACTGGCCACGGTGGGGGGCCCCAGTCCCCAGCCTGGCGCCCAGCGTCTGCAGAACGGAGCCAGGTGCCGACAGAGGGCTGCATCTGCCAGCCGGAGGCACCTCAAACCGATGTGATCCGGCGCCCCAAAAGGCGCAGAAGAGCATCCCGGGAAGTGGGGCTTTCTGATGGGGAGAACATATTGAGCTTTGATGGGCGGCAACCAACAAGGAGAACGGATGACGTTGGATAACTGGGCGATGGAAGTAGTGCTTCCTCGATTCCAAAGCTGGCAACAGCTTCGTCCGCTCAGTCCGTTGGCCGACAAAAAGGGTCTCCCCTAGAAGACTAAGTTGGCGGCCAGAGCCTCCAAGGCGACTTGAAACCAAGGGCACGCTCAAATCAACCCCGCCCAGCTGCAAAACTACCGAGTAAAAGCCAAGTAGCTGCTGGGTGAGGCAGCATTCACTGCAGACACCTGGACTGTCATTGCACGTGCGCCCAGTCGAGCCTTGCAAATGAAACGAGGAGTGCCGCAGAATCAGAGTCATTGGTTGAAGCCAGCCCACAAGCAGACCTTATGCTGTGTTCCTGCCCAGTTCGGCTTGGCTGCGTGCGCTTTGCGACCATACCGCGCCTCTTCCAGCTCAAATTCAATCTTGATCATGCCCTCGGAGCGCGAGCGCCGACGGACCTGCACGCTTCGAAAACAGCTCACCAGCACGCGGGAAGTGAGAGCTTTGATCAGCCAACGGCATGTTCACTGCTTTGCTTGCAGGGGGAGGTTGCTGTTGGCAACGAGCCCAGCTCCAAGTGCGCCAACCTAAGATCCAGGTTGCTTTGGGCAGGTTTGGGGAAGGTCACTGCCCTGAAGCACACAGAACCGCCAAGCCGGAAAACGGCGGGGAAGATAGCAACACCCACTCTGCTTGAAGGGAGCTTCAAGTGCTGGGAGTTCGCAGGATAAGCACCGGCGCAGCAGCAGCAGCATAAAGCTGCATCAAGAAAGACTACAAGGAGCCAGAAGAGGATGACAAGAGGAACAGGAAGACAAAGAAGACGAGCCAGACTTTAAGAAGAGAAGGGACGAGAGGCTCGCACGTTTTCTGCCTTAGCCTGGCACAGCTTGTCGCCTCACAGAAGGCTGATTTGGGGGCAAGGCTTATTCGGTTCAGACACTGCCCGGTGGTCCTTTCGAATGGTCGCAAAAAGCAAGAATCCCCTCAACAAATTACACCAGCATAGACCCCAGATAGCACACCACGGCTACGAACCATGACGCAGCATCACAATGGTTCCCGCGGCATGATGATGATGTTGACAGCATCTTGGTGATGTTGACAGCATCATGAAAATACCACAGCTACTCAGCATAGTGCGCTACATAGACGCGCAAACAACGCCCTAGTGAGTCCATCAGCAAAACCATGATGTTGACAGGATGATGCTGATACACCAGCCACGAACGATTCCGCGCTACATATCTAGCAGAAAAAAGGCAGAGACGGCGTCCTGATGAGTTCGACAGCATCACGATGATGCGGACAGCATCATGGTGACGCTCACAGCATCATGGTGATGGCAAAGGCAGCATCCTGATGACGCCACAGCCACGAATCATCTTGCGACAGTGTAACGCGGCATCGCAGCGATTGCAGCAGCATCATAACGTGGTTGACAACATCATGATGATACACCAGCCACGAACCATTACGCGGGACAGGTAGAGAAGCAGCAACATCCGAATCGGTTCAACAGCATCATGATGCTGCTGACAGCATCATGATGCTCCGGCCAGCATCATGATGATGCGACAGCCACGATACCCCAAACAGCACCTGCCCTAGCACCCTGCCGTCACGTTCTGTCACCAGCACCTGAACCGAACACCCCCAAAGTGCATGCCCCCTAGCTCCCAGCCGTCGATCTTGCAAAACAATTTCCCTTCTTCATTAGAAGTCTATGGTTTCCAGTTGTCTGGGAAATAAGCCCACTCCAACAGCAACACAAAACAGCACCTGCACCACCACCCCAAACTGCATGCCCCCTAGCACCCGCCGGCAATCTCCAAAAATTGCGCCCACAACGTCAGCAGCACCTCAAACAGCACCACAGAAAGTACCCCAAAACAGCTGCATCAGCTCCCCAAACTGCATGCGGCCATCAATCTTGCAAGAATGCGCCTGCACCATCACCAGCACCCCAAACAGCACCCCAAACTGAGTGTGCCGCCCCGCTGTCCATCAGCGCCTTAACAGCACAGGCACCAGCACCTTAATCAGCACCGCAAACTGCATGCCCCCTAGCACCCGTCCGTCAATCTCGCAAAACAGCACCTCCACCAACACTCCAAACTACATGCCCCGTATCTCGCAAAGCGGCACCGCCACCAGCACCCGAAACTGCATGACCCCTAGCGCCCGGCCGTCAATCTCGCAAAACAGCACCTCCACCAACACTCCAAACTACATGCCCCCTATCTCGCAAAGCGGCATCCACCAGCGCCCGAAACTGCATGCCCCCTAGCAACCCGCCGTCAATCTTGCAAAACAGCATCCACCAGCACCCCAAACTACATGACCCCTAGCACTTGGCCGTCAATCTCGCCAAAACAGCACCTCCACCAACACCCCAAACTGCATGCCCCCTAGCACCCGGCCGTCAATCTCGCAAAGCGGCACCTCCACCAGCACTGCGAACTGCATGCCCAGTAGCACCCGGCCGTCAAGCTCGCAAAACAGCACCTCCACCAGCACCCCAAACTGCATGCCGCCCAGCACCCGGCCCTCAATCTCGCAAATCACTTTCCCTTCTTTATTAGAAGTTAGAACCCCTATAGCTTTCAGCTATCTGGGGAAAAACCCTCGTGACCACTCATCAAACTCCCCCTCATTCAAACTCCCCCTCAACCAAAAAGTGAGTTTCCCACCAAGCTGACGAAGCAGCCTTGTTCGGACTTGTCAACCATCCTGCCCTGGTGGCCATGGCAATGCCAAGAAACCCAAGAAATAACCACCACCCCTTCGGAAGACACACAGAACTTGCAAAGAAAAAAGTTCTTGAAGTTCGGTTTGGTCCAGTGGCGAATGAGAATCCTTCAGACACAGCCGCCCAACCGCCCAACCGCCAAACCCCGCCGCGCCTGGGAGCTCTCGCCCTCGCTAGACATGGCGCTCTCTACCAAGCCCTCGGCCTGGCGAGAGCGCCCGGGCCGCGTGCGCGGGGCTCGCAAAAGGGTCATAGAGTTTTTGCGGTTTCCATGTGGCCATGGGTCAAAAGCCAAATCGTACCCCCAATAAACATCCCAATCACTAAAATATGCTGAAATGGGTGGTGAAGTCACCCACCCTAAAATGGTGCCATTGGTTTTGACCCGGGAACTCAAATTCTGGAATCCAAAGGATGCATCAAGAAACATGGGGAGCCGAATGAGCGTGTTGCAGCGCCGCAGTGGCTGGCTTGAATGGAAACCAAAACGACCGTGAATGGAAACCACGAAAAAGAAAGGGCCCTCATCAATGGATGGACAACTTTCATGTGCTTGTCTTCAACGAAAATGTTCCGGATGATCTCGCACGCACGTTCGCAGCTTTCAGGATTCCTGCAACAGGTCTGGTGCCTGCTCAAAAGTCGTCCTAGTACAAAACAGTTTTTCTGAAATCCCGGGTTTCTCAGCCAACATTGGCGACTTCGACATCTACACCACACTTGATTAGCTCGTTCCGGGTCTCTGTGGTATCGGGGTCGTGTGTCTGTGTGTGTCTGCTGTATTTGTGTGGGTTTGTGGGTGTGTGTGTGTGTGTGGGTGTGTCTGCGTGTCTGGGTGTGTGAGTGTGTGGGTGTGTCGGTGTGTGGGTGTGTGTGTGTGTGTGGGTGTGTGGGCGTGTGGGTGTGCGTCTGTGTGTCCGTGCATGTGAGTTTGTGCGTTGTTTGTGCGTCTGCAGGTTTGCACGTGTCTCTGCAAAGGTGTGTGTGTGTGTGTGTGCGTTGTAAGTTAAACATTCATGCTCAAGACAATGAAGTAAATCAATGCCACATCCAGCCAGGCGCACCCCTCTCGGAAAATCGCGAGAAAGGTATTGACAATGCTCATCCTGCCTTGCGATTCAAAGCCTGAGGCCCTCATTCCCCTTATGCGAACTCCTACTACTGCAAATGGCCCAAAGGTAATATGGAATCTGTGGATGGACGAACTCCTGCACCACTTGAGATGGATGAAACCTATAAATGATGGAATAAATCGCCTACCAACAGTTGCAATACTTTGTCCATCCACATCATCACTGCAAAAATGAAACCTTTGCTGGAGCACTGCTGTTTGACGTGAATATGACATGCCTAACTCTTGCCTCCGTGCTCGGAGATGCCGTGATCGACTTGTCAGTCTCTGTGGTCACTGTGGCAAGAGTCTTGTCCACCTCCTTGTCCTCTCCGTCCTCTTTGTCCTCCTTATCCTCCTTGTCCTTGTCTGAGCAGGATGCCTCTGTCGCAGTGTCCTTCGCACAGCAGTTGGAAGTTCACACTCACAGGGTTGATTGCTCTAACTGGAACCATCCAATACATACATTATCTCAAATCGTAACCTGCACTAACCAAAACTCTCTGGAAATGTGTGCTTCCTGACTTCCACCTGTATGCAAGTAGCACATGTTGGGCCAGCTCTCGGTTCTCTCACAGAATTTTGTCCCAAACCACAACACCTCAGGGCACTACTTCCCACAGGGATCCTTACATTATACACCTAAACATTCCCTTAATTTTGTTGAAAAAACAACATGTTTCAAATGGTTGCAAAATCTTTTAAGGAGCCCTGTTCCCAAGTACTTGAGCAAGCGAACCTGCCTCTGTGCTTGGCGTGACTGCCGGCTTTTCAGCCGCGGCATGTTGCTTCGTGACCGGCGGCGAAGGCTTGGCCGCCTGCACCGAGAGGGTCTCAGTGGGCTCCTTGGAACTTGCAAATCGGCGCAGTCCCAGGTTTATCTAACCCTATGGATAACGAATTAACTGTAGAGTCAATAATGGTTGACTCTGGTATTCACTCCTTTTCCCAACAAACTGGCCCTTCAATCGGCCCCCGGGTAGCAGATTGAATTTTTCGAAAGCATTGGCCATCTTTTTGTTGTGCTCCTTGACATTGTTTGGCTTGTACCTCTCATTTGCCTTCCGTTTGTCTAACGAGTGTGCCCCCATGTCATCACCATTACTGTAGACAAAATGCCCTTGGTATTCAACAGCAGCTGAGCCGCGCATAGCTGGTGCTCCAGACTGGTGCTAGAACCCGTGCAGCTCGAATCCTGCGAACACGTCGATCTGGACTCGCCCAAAACGGAATCTGGTTGAAAGACCTGGCTAGAGGTGTTCCTGTTTTTCCTGGGGCTGGTTTTAGCCTCACTTGGACCAGTTGCCTATTGGCTCTGATTGGGCGGTAGTTGGGAGTTGCTCGGGGTTTGCTTCATTTAGGGGGGTTTAGGCTGGATTAGATCTTCATGAGGTTCCCTTCGCCTGAATCAACCCCAAACCAACCAACCAACCACCAGCCAGGTTTGAAACCAGACCTAAAAGAAAACAGCCCTAGGAAAAAAAAAAAACACCGTCCCGAAGACCAAGCCTTGCCAAAACGGCATGAAGCTGTGAAGTGAGTTTGCCCAGACAAATGCTGTGGCTCAATGGCACAAGAACGAGTACATGAGTCAGGCGCGGCACTTCTGAGTCTGTCGGCTCATCGATTCCAAACCGCAACTCGGTTTCCGTCTCATCCACTTCAAAACAAGCATTCAACACAAGGCGCTTCGATACGCGACCTGCACAAACAACGAAAAACAACTATGTTCTACCAGGTGAGTTACCCCACCCAGCCTGTCGAGCAAGGCAAAATACCCTGAAGAGCACGTTTCGGACTGCAAATGTGAAACTCCACTAGTATGAGCTGATGTTGCCGAAATGCAAAATCCAAACATACCAATTGTAACAATCACAACTACATGAGTATAAGATGGAACTGGGCGAATGCTAAAGGACATGAGATGAACAGTACACACCGCAAAATGCATACCTATGAACACACCCAAGACAATGTTTTAACAGCACACCTGTACCACCCAAAACCACCCCCTTAAGGGGAAGCCTAGGGAAATCCGCTAACATGGGAATAGTCCCGGAGAAATGTGATTCGGAGGTTCTCTGGAGCTTCTCAAGTCTGTCCTGCGTCTCTGCGCGCTTGATACGAGCGCGTGCTGCACGCTCTGCCATAGCACTCCTTAGCGACAGGAAAGCCAGCCAGCTGTTGGCTCGTGGGTCCAACCACCAAACTGGGACTAGCGCGCCCAGTCAAATCTGGTGACGTTCAGCAGAGACGGACCGGAGCGTGGGCCAGTATCCGGTAAACATGAAGCAGCAAAAAGGCAAAGTGCACAGCCCGAAGAAGTGTGGCAAATGCAGCGTGAATGGCCTCTGGGAAAGTGCCACCTTCACGGGGTTCTGGGAAATTGCCACCTTCAAGATCCGGCGGCTTCATTCATACCGCATTGGCCTTGTTAGGCTGACTCTGTGAATTGTGGGTGTGTGTCGCCAAGAAACCGACCGCAAACTGTGGTCATTCCCAGATTGCACCAGCTTTTGCCCATCCATCAAGTTTAACATGCTCAATAAGCCACGAGTTCAGAAACAAAGACTGCGAACATCATGCTGCCCCCGATCTGCCACATTCCCCCAACTGCCCCAGTCATATACGGGGTCGTCTCAAAATGGGGGCAACCTCCCAAAATGTTTTTCCCTTTGGTTCCCTTTACAACAAACAAAATGGGGTACCCTCAAAAAAAAGAGGACCCCCCCCCCAACCGGCCAAGGCGGCTCTGCCGCACGCTCCACCGCGAGCACCGCCGCCCGCTCCGCGCGCGCGGCCTTGCTGGCAGCCTCGGAATTTGGGTCCCGCCAAGTGGCCGGGTGGTGCCCTTTTGGTGTTGGTGCCAAAAGGAAACCACGCAGAAGCCAAAGCTTTTTTGGGGGGGGCTTCTATTCTGGAGACACGCTTCCCCTTGACTAAGTCACCCTAAGGGTCACTCTTAGCCCTAGCTTAGCCCCCGGCCCTTGCTATGGCTAACCACCCCATCCAGTTTGCAAAAGGAGTCTCCTGATTCATCCCAATCTTTGAGCTTCCCTTGGACTGAAGTGGCGCATACTGAAATGTCATGGTGTTGGGGCTTTTTGCGTCAAAGAGTCGTCATTCACAATCAGAATAGGTAGGCGCAACTTGAGCAGCCTCTCCCCGGTACTTCCTGTCCCAAGAAAAGCAGTTGGTGCCTTCCCGCAGGCACAAGTCCTGGCGGAGCATTGCTTGGTAGCCTCAGGTGATCTGATGGCCGATCTGATTGGCTCGAATCCAAGCCGCCTTTCGAGCTTCCTTGGTGGGCACGGTCTCCCAGCCTTCCTCCGGCACCGGAGCGGGCGGTTCTTCTTCTGCTTCGTCTTCTGGTTCAGCCGACGCAGCCTGAGCCAAGTCCAAAAGCCCTCCACGGGCGCCCCCGACAGGCCCAGCTTTCATGAAGGTGAGAGCAGCAAAGCGGGCGAAACGCACTCAAACCGATCCGCCTCCCGATTGTGACTCAATTCTTGTGCCTTATGCGTCAGTGTTGACTTCAGCGATTGAAGACAACACTATACTCCAATTGCTCATGTGAAGACCCGCAAACCCGCGCCTGCGGCTCTGGCTTGCTCTTGGCAGGTGCCAGTGGCTCCTGGCCCGAAAATGCGGGTCCCTTTCTTGGGCCCAGCAATAGACAGGCCACTGCAGGTCTGGGGGGGGAGCTCTCTTGGGGTCGGTCTGGCCCAGCGAATGGGAGGACAATGCGGATGGTGCACCTCGCATTGGGGGATGTCGACCCTTCACTGGCAAAGCGAAGAGTCCCTTCCATCTGAGCCATGAAATCTAACTCAAAGATGGTCCACTTCAAGGCCCACAAAGCCAACCTGTGTTGCCCGCTGCCCCCCACTATCAGCGGATTGACTTTTTAAGAACCACCGAACTTGGTGTCTCTTGGCGGATTTCTCCAAACCTCATTCGGGTGTGAATTCTGTCTTTTGCAAAGGGCCATTTTGACAGGGATCCCCAAATGTTGGTAAGGGGAAACCCATTTCGGGGGTTCCATTCGGAGACAAACCCATTCTCACACCGATCCCTGCGCCTGCTTCGGGGCGTTCGGCTTCTTGCCGGACTTCTTCTTAGGCTTAGGGCCTCGAATCGAGGTCAAACCAAACAGGGTTGCGGCCTTTTTGGGGCGCCAAAAGGGGCGCCGGTTGCATTGGGTGTTTGTTCAAGCAACTGGTTTGGGGACTTGGGACCTTGCCATTTGGATCGATCGGCAATCGGCGATCCGATTCGTTGGGCAATGAACTGCGGAGCCTGACATCAAATTTCAGGCTAGGGCTCTTTTTGTGGTTGAAGGGGAGCCCTAAGGCAACAACCCCCCTTGTCGGACCCCCTTTTTCAACCAAAAGGCAACCCCACTAACCATTGGAGGTGCCGATTCCTTTGAGAAACACATCTGAGGACTATGAGATGCATCGTTCGGCGCAACCTTAGCCAGAACAATATCTTTATTTCTGTTCTTTTTTTCTTCTTTTTTTTGGGGGGGGGGGGGTGGAGGGGTGGGACTCGGGTCCCGGGCCGGAGGTCTCGCCCAGGCCTCTCAACAGGTCCTCGGAAAAAAGGAGGGCGAGGACTGATTTGTGTTGGCGCGCTTGCCCTTCCCAAAACGGGAAAAAAGAAGAGAAAAAACGTGTTAAAAATCGGGGACTTGATGTTGGTTACTTGGAAAAACCGGGGGTGGCTACTTGAAGCATTCAGTAATTCTCTTGATAGGGTGAGGCTAAGCTCATGCGGTGAGAGCTTGCCGCGGCTCCAGAACTCTACAAGCAGCAAACAAGAATGGGCCCTGAAATGCCACACTCGCCCCAAAGAACCAGCCAGCATGATTCGAACAGGCAACGTGTAGCCTCACACTGTATCATCCCCCATTGCCCAGCCACTTCGGTGACGAAAAGCATACCTCTCACTGACCGACACTGTCACTCACCTTCACAGCAAGAACCCCTACCACTCCAGAGGGTCGTAAAAAGAAGAGGGGAAAAAAAAGGAGAAGAACAAAAAGAGAGGGGGAAAAAAAGAAAGAAAAAGGGAGAGGGGAAAAAACAAAAACGCGGCACCTCAGCCCCAACCGCGCTCCTCAAGCGGCCGGTCGTCCTCCTGGGGCGTCGTCTCCGGCGGCTTCTGCCGGCTCCGCCGTCGGCCTGCCAGCGCTCTTGCATGAACAGGCAACCAAAACCAAACAATTCGCTTAACCACAAACAAGCGTCGGGGGGAGGGGGGTGGGGGGGTTCAGCAGGTTCAGATTAGGCCGCCGAACTTGGAGATCAGTGGCAAACATGCAAGGAAAAGTTGTGCTGGTTCAACATACGCGGGGTCCCAGTGACACAGGATGCCCCGCCTGCAGCTTTGCAACTATCCACCATGCGTTCAATGTGCATTTGGGTCTTGGAATCCGACGTTTCGCGCATGCGCGCTTTACCTTTGCGTGAGCTTGCCGACCAAAGTCTTCATATATCCCGCACATTTCGTGAGCCGCACTCCAGCCATCTAGTTGAAGAATGTGCTGAATGTGCTCGGTTTCATTCATCTGAACAAACTGCGCTGTACTAAGCGGGTGTGAATCGTCTCCCACCTGCCATGGATGCAGGGCGGCTTTCCACCACATCTGGAGGAGCCTGGGCAGTCGAAGTGGCGTCGTCGCGGCGAGTTGCGCAGTTTGATGTCCCGAATCTGCCCGCTCCGCTTGCGAATGACTCCATCAGCTTCGTTTCACTCCTGCTCGCCACTGGCAGCTTGGTTGAGACATAGCCACACCTCCCTAACCACAAAACTAGCCAGCTTTCCTGCCTTGGAAACAAAAATTTGCCGCAGAAAGATCTGTCCGGTTTGCTCTCTTTCCCCGAGGCGCGTCATTCATCTTCGCCAGCAACGACGTCACGGTGAAGGCTTCCTCAGGCACCTTCTGGCTCTGCACAGGCCTGTCAGGGGGGACGCCTGGCGCACACTTTTCAGTGGGTCTTCCACTTTGTCGCAGGTTTCGGGATCCGGGGCGCTTTACACAAACCCCACAAACACCCCCCCTTCCCCACAAAGAGTCCCCCCCCAAAAGAAAAAGCGGACCGACTGCGCTTCCCTCGTCGTCAGCCACGCTTCCCCCCCTTTCGCCTGAAGGAAGTGCCCAGGAGGCCTTCTAAGATGGAGCTCCACCTGTGCCCCGTGGCGACTGAGGCAAGAGCCATGTGGCTGTGGTTGTCAAAGCCGTTTTGGGATCCCTTGGGGGTAGGTGAATTCACCACCAATTTTAGAACCTATTTTAGTGGGGATTGGGAAGTTCACTGGGGTACGGGATCTGACCCAAGGCCAAGTCTTGGAACCCTTGCAAATGGCGCCGAAATGAAGCCGCAGAAAACAACCATGAGTTCATCCGGGTGGCTCATCGGGCGGCGTGCTTCTCAATGCGTCCTCTACCGCTTTCTCCTCGGGCGCTGGCACTTTGCTTAGTCAAACAGTAGTAACATGCATTGGAGGGCAGGGGTTGGGGAAATGTCTGTGTGTGTGTGTGTGGCATGCACAAATGCAAGTATGTCCATCTTATGTTTGATATTTATATATGTATATATACATATATATATATATATATGTATATAGAGAGAGCGAGATATGCTTCAAACCCTAACGCAGCACATAAGCAGGACATGCATATTGTGCTTCTTCTTCAGTCGAAAACGAGGCATTGCAACACGTCCGGCCTTGTGCTCCTCCTTCACAGGCACAGAAGGCATGGCGCCGGAAGGACTTGTCTCAAGGCTGTTCCCGGGCATCCGCGACTCACGGCACTTCCGCCAAACGGGGCTGAGCCGGTGGAAAAACACGGGCTCCTCGGGTTCGGGAGAAAGTGCGCCGGGCTTTTTTGGGATTTTGGGTTGCACAGTCTCAAGCCTGCCCCCCGCTCGGTGCTTCCGACGCCGCGCTCTTGAGCCGCACCAGGAGAAGGGGCGGCGGGTTCATGCCCTGATGGACCTGAGCCTAGATCAACAACCGTCTTTCAAAGTTTCAAAGCATGCCAGGCCAAGCCGTCCCAGTCAGCAAAGGACCAACCCGCTTGGGCGGAGCCTATTTCACGCGCGCCAGTCCTCATGCCGCATTTCGGCACGAATCTTTGCCGGCGCTCCTTGGGCACGTCTTTTTTGAGGGGCTCCCTTCGAAGCGTTTCGCCCGTAGTTCTGTGTCCAAAGTCTTGAGACCCCTTTGAAGCGGCCAAAACGTAACTTGGGACACGCAAGTTTGGGCCAAGCGTCAGAGTGCTCCAAAGTACCAGTCTTTGACGGCTTGGAGGAACTGGAAGACTTCTGTGGCAACATCCTGCGAACGGCGAGCAGGGCTGAGGCGAATGGTGCACATCCTTGGAATGTCTGGTGCTCCAGTCCTGATGCTTCAGGTTCTTGTCGGGGTGCCAACTCAGGCAGGCAGCCTGGAGCAAATGTGGCTTAGGGAGCCAAAACCCCCAAATTCTCCTCACAGTGTCTCGCGGCCTCGCGTGTTTCTCTTGCGCAGCCAAAGCAACATGCTTCCCCCATCTTGCTGCTGCTCCTCCCTTTTAAACGGCGTCCTTTGTACCCTTGGAGGCCCGGGCCAATCGATTTATGAAACTCTGCCAAGCAGCCATGTAGGCCCTGCGTCGGTGTGCCAGGGGCTTCTCGCGGGACCTCAGCTGAAATGGGTCAACCGGTCAACGTCTAAAGTTGGTCCCTGTGATCCCCCCGAACAACCCGACGGGCTTGTTTGGAAAATGACATCTCTACGTTGTCCGAAGCCTCTCCAAGGTCACAAAGTGTTCTTCTGATGTTGGACCCATGACCGGCAACCTGAACATCTTGACGTCCACAGTGAGGTCTGCATGCTTTTCCGGCAAGGATGGGATCTCAGTCGAGGATTTCTGTGGCCCAATCGGCCCGGAATCCAACCATCGGCCTCTGCGCGCCTGGACATCCCAGGTAGTAACTCTTCAGACCACCACCACCGCCGGGTCAAAGATCTGTGAGGCCTCCCGAAGCCACTGCCGAAGCTTCTTGTAATCCTCCTGGTCAAAGCCTTTGTACGTGCGTTTCAGCTTGCGCATGATCTTCTTCTTCCCCAGCGGAACGAAGAAGCGCTGCCAAACCTGATAATCTTCATGCTTCGCCTGACGATCCACCTCCTCCGGGTCGAAGAGCTTCTTCAGCTCCTGGTGCAACTCTTCCACCACCTGCTGCTGCTGGCTGGCCAGGTTCCTCAGCTCCCCCGGGTCCTCATCCACATCAAAGAGCTGCGGCGTATAGGTGTCGGGGGAAAACGCCGACAAGGTGTGGCCAAAGCTGATGTACTTCCACTGGCCCTTGCGCACCATGAAAGAACCCGTGTTGCCCATGTTCGAGTGGTACTGCGAGACCACCGCCCGGTCTTCCCCGGCCGTCACCGCCATCGACGGGGGCGCCAGGGAGGGCGCGTTGGCGAGCGGCAGCACGCTCTTCCCGGCCAGCTCTGAGTGCCTGGACCAGTCGACCTCCCCGGCCATGTCCAGCAACGTGGGGAAAACATCCACCAGGGACGTCAGCTGCCTTACCCGCCGCCCTTTTGCGACGCCAGGCCCTGCGATGGCAAAAGGAACGCGAGAGGAGGCCTCGTACATGGAGTTCTTCCAGTCCTGGCGGTGCTCCATGTTCATCTCGCCGTGGTCCGACACATACATCAGGTAAGTGTTACTCAGGTTGTAGCCCTTGTCCTTCAACGACTCCCAGACCTGATTCAGCAGGTAGTCCGCCTCGGCACACATTGCGTAGTACGTCTTGCGGACCTTCAGGATATCTTGGTCTGTGTAGCTTGTCTCCTGCACATGCTTGGACACCGACATGTAGCTATCGTACGGGTGCCAGCTTTCAGGAAAGCCTGCCGGCCACTGAGGAACCACTATCTTGTCTTCGTTGACCTTGGCCAGCCAGGTTGCGTTCGTCTGGAATGCTGGATGGGGGATGTTCAGAGAGCAGTGCAGGAAGAAAGGCGCGTCATTCTGCCCAGCAGGCGGCAACTGTTTGATCCATTCCCGGCAACGCTCCACTGTTTTCCAGTCCTCCGGGTGGACCTTGTTATTTGTGTCCGAGGTCATAGACAAAGGCTCCCTCTTGGTTGGCCGTCGGATGTCGGCGGCGCGCGTGGTGATGTCGATCACGGGGCCGGGCCCGTGAAAGCCAGTGGCCGAGATGTTGGCGGCGGCCGCTTCGTCATTCATCAGCGCTGCGCCAATGTCCACCTTGCCATAGAGCCTCACCCCGTAGCCTAACCTTGCCAGGCGTTTGGGCCTTGTGTAGTTTTATCCCATGCTCGCAACTCTTCTCTCAAACCTCCTTTGGGCCCGGTTACCAACTCTGGCAAAACCCACCTGGCCACGCCAGAGAAGATGGTCTCGGAGTAGTTCTGCGTCTTGGCCCAGGCCGAGCATTGCTCTGGCCCGTAGTACTTCACGCAGCTTGCGTCCAGCTCACCGCTCGGGGAGGCCGCCAGACCCTTCTGGTTGGACCAAGCCCGGATTTGGTCCGTGCGCCTCCCGGAGCACATGGAGGTCCTGGGAAAGAGCGCAAGTCCAAACATGCCCCATTGCCTTTGAAACATTTGAACCCCTCTTTGGGTGTGAAATGTCCAAGAAGGTTCGGTCCCCTTCTGTCGCCTTGGTCCTCTCAAACCAACCACCAAGGTGCAAATCCGGCAAGCCCCCCCCCCTTTCCTCCCCGCCCTTTTCACCCGGCGCCTGGAGGGCACGCACTGGGGGCTGTTCGCGTAGCTCCGCACGAAGCTGGTGCCCTCCTCCGCGAGGCGCCGCAGAAACGGAAGCTCCACCGCCTGGGCCTCCACAGAGGAGAAATCCACCAGGCGCCCGTCCATGCCTTAGCCCCCCGAACCAGGGCTTTTTTTGCTGGCGCTGTTTTGTTCCCGAAGGGCCAAGAAAAGGCAATGAAATACAGAACTGTTGCCCCCCCCCCCCCCCCGTCTTTTTGCTTGTCTTTGCCCCCCCCCAACCAAGAAAAGGCGGTTCCACAACAACCTTCCCAAACAGATAAACAGATTGTGGGGCCATCCATCATGAGTCAGCCCCATTGGTCAAAGCGGAAACCTCGACAAAAGACGAGGGGAGAAAAGGGATGGCACTCGACCAAAACGCTGTCGGTCATCAGGAAGAGTATGTTGGGGCGCTTCGCCAGCGCCAGCAAAGGAGCCAGGGGCATCAAAAGAAGCATCTTGTGTGCCATGGCGCCTTGCGCGCCTTGCGCCCCGTAAAGACTTGAAACTGAAGCCAAAGCGGAGGAAAGGAGACAATTGAAAGAGCACTGAAACTTCAAAGCAAAACAGACCACCCAAACAGTCCCACACATGTCAGCCAGACTTCCAACAACCCCTCTGTATGCCTCAATAATAATAGACAAAACAGACCACCCAAACAGTCCCACACATGTCAGCCAGAAACTTCCAATAACCCTCTGCATGCATCAATGATTATAACAAAACAGACCACCCAAACAGTGCCACACATGTCAGCCAGAAACTTCCAATAACCCTCTGCATGCATCAATAATAATAAACAAAACAGACCACCCAAACAGTCCCACACATGTCAGCCAGAAACTTCCAATAACCCCTCTGTATGCATCAATAATAATAAACAAAACAGACCACCCAAACAGTCCCACACATGTCAGCCAGAAACTTCCAGTAACCCCTCTGTATGCATCAAGAATAATAAACAAAACAGACCACCCAAACAGTGCCACACATGTCAGCCAGACTTCCAACAACCCCTCTGTATGCATCAATAATAATAAACAAAACAGACCACCCAAACAGTCCCACACATGTCAGCCAGAAACTTCCAGTAACCCCTCTGTATGCATCAAGAATAATAAACAAAACAGACCACCCAAACAGTGCCACACATGTCAGCCAGACTTCCAACAACCCCTCTGTATGCATCAATAATAATAAACAAAACAGACCACCCAAACAGTCCCACACATGTCAGCCAGAAACTTCCAATAACCCCTCTGCATGCATCAATGATTATAAACAAAACAGACCACCCAAACAGTCCCACAAATGTCAGCCAGAAACTTCCAATAACCCCTCTGTATGCATCAATAATAATAAACAAAACAGACCACCCAAACAGTCCCACACATGTCAGCCAGAAACTTCCAACAACCCCTCTGTATGCATCAATAATAATAAACAAAACAGACCACCCAAACAGTGCCACACATGTCAGCCAGACTGCCAACAACCCCTCTGTATGCATCAATAATAATAAACAAAACACACCACCCAAACAGTCCCACTCATGTCAGCCAGAAACTTCCAATAACCCCTCTGTATGCATCAATAATAATAAACAAAACAGACCACCCAAACAGTCCCACACATGTCAGCCAGAAACTTCCAATAACCCCTCTGTATGCATCAATAATAATAAACAAAACAGACCACCCAAACAGTCCCACACATGTCAGCCAGAAACTTCCAATAACCCCTCTTTAATGATGATGATAGTCATAATGATAGTAATAATAATGATCATCATAATAATAATAATAATGATAATAGTAACAATCAATATTGATATGTATACACATATATACATATATACATATATATATATATATGTATATATGTATATATACATACATATATATATATATATATACATATATATTTCTACATATATATATATATATATTATAGATATATGTATGTATCGAGCGTGTATAATATGTACACAAGTGGCCATGACCCCGCCAAACACGACTGCCCAACGGCTCGCTCACCCGCTGGCCCGCTTGCCCGAGGCCCCGCGCTTCCGCATGTCCGCGAAGACCGCCTCGGCCACGCGCCGCGCCTTGGCGGACACCGGCCACTCCACGCCCTTCGGCAGCAGAAGCTCCGCCTCCGGCCGCGCGGCGTGCTTGCCGCACGGCGTGGCGGGAGGGCGCGGTGGCGGGAGGGTGGAGGAACCCGTGGAAAAACATATGTTTGAATCAACGATTCTTCGCATTTCACAGAACGATTTTGAATTTATGACTGCTAGTTGATGTTTGGGGCGAGAAAAACGCAGTCTCCAAATTTGGGGCAGGCTGAAGGGCATCCAAGGAGGATGCTTCTGGTTTTTAAGCTGCGAGAAGGCCTTGCTTGGATTCTTGAAGACGAATCTACCTTAAAGGAAGGCTGTTCAAACGGAAGGAGCCTGCGAAAGCAGGGAATCCCTCTGCTGTCCAGCACTCAAACTCACCAAAAAAAAACAGATGCTTAAAACAGGGATACCTGATCCCAGCACCCAAGCTGGAAGCCACGCTGTGTGCGAGATATGTTGCCTAAGCGTGTCAAAGCCACTTGGACTGGGTGTCCATGTTGGCTTCCTTTTCAACCCAACAGACCCACGCGGTTTTTCAGCCATCGGTCCGCGGCGCCGCCTTCGGCTTGGGCGGGCAGGCCTGCCCCGCCTGACTGCCCGCTGCCGCCTAGCCAGGCCATGACCCCATCTTGCACCAGCCGCAATCTCCCCTTGTCCAATCGCTCAATGTTCAAAAAGTCAAAACCCCAAGTAGGATGGTCATGGTCCAATCGCACAATGAAAAGGCAACACCCAAAGATGGGCATGGCTCACACTCCAAGAAATGCAGCAGCCTGTGCGCACGGCGCAAGAATCGATGCACTTTCTCTCAGACGAGGACCCTCGATTGGGTCGCCCGCCTGCGCCTTGGGCCCTGCAAGTTTTGGCTTCTTACCTGGCAAGGGCCCTCATAGGCATGCAAGGAAATCTGGGCCATGCCGGGAAGCCGCGTTTCTCGGCAACATCTGCCAAACCTGGAGTCTCCCAAACACCTGTTTGCACCTGAGGGAGCAAAGCTTCCAGAGATCCAACCCAACCTGGTTTGGTTCTCAGATGGTGCGAGCAGCTCGTTCCCAAAACCCGCCTTAATCCGGCACCCAAAGCAAGACTTCAACCAAATGGTCGTGTTTCACAAGAGGCGGGTGATTCGAATTGGCTCGCAAAGAGCCAAAAGGAGTCCCATCGACACACTTGACGAAGACATATCTGAACCAGTCTCCGCAAGATGAGGAAACTGGGAGCCTCCTCGCATTTTTTGCAAACAACCCGGGCTGGAGAGCCCTCTTATCCTCTAAAAGAAAACAAGAATGATCCTCTCGAGCTGTCAGGGCTCCCTGTCCCCAAGCGTCGCCGGAGGTGCCCGGAGCCAGGCTCCACTTCTTCTGCCGCGGCGGGGGCCTAAGGCCAAAAAGTCCCCAAGCTTGCCCAAGGGCTTGGGCTTTGGTGAGGTTGGGGGTTCCAAAAGGGGTGCCTCAGCTGTCTTTGTGGACTCCTTCAGACTGTCCACCCAGAGCGAGCGTGCGCATGGCCCCTCCAGGATGTGGGAAGAAAGAGGGCGATGGGCCAAAGGTAAAACGGCAACGGTCCCACGACTTTCTAATCTGCAAGGCTCTTTCGCCTTGCAGGTGGTGAGGAGCTGGCCGAAGCCAAACAATTCTTGCTACGCGTTATCGCAGCGTTCTCCACAGGAAATCGAGTTTTGGCCCCTTGGTCGTGAAAATGGGCAGGCCCCCCTTGTTCTCAGAAAAACAACCGTAGACTCAAGATAGCTATGTCAGCTCATACATTGGGAAGGACCAGGATTTTCCAACTAGGATGCTACAGCCAACACACTTTATTGACAAACGCCAAAACCGCCTCTCTCTCGCTCGCTCGCTCTCTCTCTCTCTCTCTCTCTCTCTCTCTCTCTCTCTCTCTCTCTCTCTCTCTCTGCTCCAATAGTTAGCTTCACACAGGTGTCGCTTTAAGCTCACCTCAGGGGGTCTGCAATAGATGGCTGTTTGATGGACCCAAATGACCTCTGCCAAAAGCGGGGCACCCAGCTTGCTGGGATCTGGCACGGCTTTGTAGATGAAAGCCTTGGGCCTGAGTGCAGGCAATGGGATTCGCATTGCAACTTGTTGTTCCCCACTCTGGCCCTCTCCCTCTCTCGCCCTCTCTCTCTCCCTCTCTCCCCCCCCCCCCCTCTCTCTCTCTCTCTCTCTCTCTCTCTCTCTCTCTCTCTCTCTCTCCCTCTCCTCTCCCTCTCCCTCTCTCTCTCTCTCTCTCTCTCGGAGGCGCAGCTCTTCCGTTCATATTCCCCGTCGTGTCCTTCCCATTCTGATACACTCTTGCGCCTTGTCATTCAGCAACGGAATCTCTCTTCAAACTCGCTCTCGGCATGCGTTTGTTGCTGCCCAAGCAGACCAAGCCCTCCAAACCTTCCCCTTGCAACATATGAAGGCCTCCTAGAGTGGGCGTGTCTCAAAATTGGGGGACCCGCATCGATTCCCGCTTCCCTTCAAACCCTAACCCCAAAAAGGCGAAACGGGGGGGCGGGGGGAGGCGGTGGGGGGACTCCAAACAGACCCGAGTCGACGACCAAAAGATCCGCCGGATTTTCCCCTCCCCGTCTCGAGCTTCCGCGCTTGCCCTTCGCTGTGGGCACCGCGCGGGGCTCAGAGGCGCCGGCGGCCTCACTGACAAATCCTTTCGCTGGTGTCCCTTCCGAGGGTCCGTGGGGGTACCTTCCAAACTTGGTGCATGTTTTCTGGTCAAACGGTCAAACCTGTGGAGCCTTCCAAAGCTTCCAAACCTGGTTGGCACACAACCACATGGTGGATCATGTTTGCATTGGATACAATTGCTGGTTCTTTTGTTTCAGTTTCAGCCGATCCCTTTCGTCTGGAAAGGGAGTGCCTCAAAAGGCAGAGGGCAGAGGGTTGGCAGAATCTGACTTGAGTCAAGGCTAAGCGCAACCCTTGGACTCATTTCATTTAGTTTCCCCCGGCAAAGAACAACAGCAGCTGGCCTGATGCCTGGGATCGCATCGTGGTTAGGGCTCCCGGCAAAAGCTGACTGCGACGGCTCGGCCTCCGCCTGCAAAAACGCTCCAGATGAAAATGACCCGCGCCAGGCTCAAATGCTACATCTGTCCAAATTGATTTTTATGAGCCTTTGGGCCACATGAGTTGGACAGGCTAAACCCATCTGAATTCCATCGCGACACAGAACGAGAACAAGGCGTGCCCCTGGCACACCTGGCCGCTTGGCGACTATTTCTGCGTGGGTGTCGCTCGAACGGTTTACTAAGCCAAGCGTCCGCCGTCACTGTACAGATCCCGCTTCTGCCCTTCTGTCCAAGCGCAAGGGCAAAGAAGCGGCTCTTAACACAACGCTCTGCAGCTCAAAGATCCAAGCCACAAACGCCAAAACTGCAAACCAGCTTGACTGGTTGAGGAAGGCCTTGGTCAGACCCACTCAGCGTCTGCCAAGGCGCCGCGCCACCTTCTTCCAGTTGCGAGGCTGCTGCGCAGGCTGCTGCGCAGGCTGCCCAAGCTCAATCGTACGAGTGAGACTCTCTTTTTGGTTGATCTTCGGCGTCAGGTTCTCGTCAATGTTACTTCTGTCATACGTGTGTAAGTCTCGGTCACTCGAAATATGTTCTTGTTGATCTCCTTGGCCACACTTGTTTCGTGGGGCTGCAAATCAAAGGGTGATGAGCCTTATGTTTCCCTTGGAAAACTGGACCGACACTGGGAAACCAAAAAGTGAAAAGGTCGGCTGAAAGCAAGTCGCCAATTCGGCGCCCGTGCCGGCACCAAAGCCGCCAAAGATCGACATCGCCATTTGCTTTCAACTCGGAACTCGGCTGCGAGCTAGTTTCGAGCACTCTCAGCACGCATGATCTTGATGTGGCTCAAAAAAAAATGTCAATTCTAGACATCCACCCCTCACGCCGAAAGAATCGACATCTTAAATTCAGGATATGTGCTGGGATTCCCGCGGTTCGCCCAGAGGAATGCCGAGATGCAAGCGTCGTGCCATGTGTCTGTGTGTGTGTGTTCCGGAAGAAAAGACAAAGAAAAGAGAGGACCTTGCAGCAAAACGTGCATGCTTCTTGTGGATGTGCCTGAAAGGGGGCCCTTTTGGCTGGAAAAAGCGAAAAAAGAAACCGCTCTTAGACCCTTGAAGCCCCAACATTTGCCGGTCCCGTTGGCTTCAACCGTGCCTGCGCATCGCCGGTTCCATGCTCCGGCCTACAGCCCGGCTCCGGCTCCTGGCGGGAAGCGCAAAATCCCGCGCAAGGGGGCGATCAATGGGTCTGGCTCAAAATAGGGGAAAAAATTGCTCGACACGGCGGGTTGTCCATCGCTTCCCGAAAAAGAAAACAAAGTGCACCTGCAAAACAAGACGAGCACAGAAATCTTGGCTTGGGCCAATTCTCTGCCTTCTTGACCCTCAACACCCTCCTTTACTCGCGCGGGCCCGCGAATCAGCCCAAGGCCCAAGGCCTCTCCCTCCACAGCGATCATCCAGCGCTCGCCCGTGCTCAGATTCGTCTGGATCATGTTCACCTACCAAAATCCAAATCTGCGTGGCCAAAGACTGGAGCTTGGCCTCAAAAGCCTTGATCAAACCCTTCCGCCCCAGAACTCGGAAGAACGCAATATCCACTTCAGCTGAGTCAGAGGTGGTTCTCCTTTTATTGGGGGTGATCAAGTTCAATGTTCGAAGGGAGTCTCGGACATCCAGATGAATCCCAAGCTAAAATTACTTGTGCATAGATTTTCTGATAGTGGGGTGGTTTGACCCCGGAGAGGGCAGATGTGGCTTGCCTGGACTGGATCCGAACATTGCCTGTCGACGTGCCTATTCTTGCTATCTTGTCAAAGGATAAGACTGCCCATATGGGTTTCTCTTTTTGCCCCTTTCAGGTGAGTTTAAGGGCAAACCAAAAGGAAAACCACCATTGAGAGAGTCCAAAATCTCTATTTGGACACATACCCAAACGACTGGGCACCGAAAAAAATACACAACATCCGTCCGTGCAACACATATCTCACTCGAGACCTACAGCCGCGTGCGCGTGCGCACCGTGTCGACTTCGAACTCGCATCCGTTGACCATGTAGCCTTGGCAAAAAGATGTCGCATGCTGCACCCCTTGCCAAGAATAGGGGGAACCCTTAAAAGTGGCTGGTTCCCCTTTTGCTTCTTCCTTGAACAACCTCCAGAAAGGAAGTCAACAAATTCAGGATACCCGGCCATCCAGGCTCGCCAACTGGAAGGCTGCTACTTCCCGCAAATTGCACCTAATGCCGCTGAACCAAATCCTCGCAAGCTCGCAGAGCCAAAAAGCTCCCTTAAGAGGCGCATCGCCACTCACGGCAGAGTCACCTGCAAAGGTCGCGAAAGTGAGCAAACAAAGATGGCCAATGGTTCGTTCACTGAGCAGCACCCGAGGCCCATTGGTTTTGGGGTTCTACTAAGATTCATCTGAGTTGCAGGCCTTTCCATGCGTCGCAAAAGGTCGATCACCCTGCTTTGCGGAGAAGTTCTTTGTTTCCCACAAGGTCCTCGCGCGAAGAGTCGGCACCCCCATGGCCCACAACTAGCGCCCAATACTCGACAGCTCGGGGGTCCCCGCGCACCACCGGCTGCTTGGACTCCAACGCGGCGAAGAGTTGCCGCTCTGCCTCCTTTCGCCGGGCGTGAACAAGGCAATGGGCTTAGGGAACCCCCTCTTTTCATTGAGGTGTTTTTTGGAGCGTTTTCAGGGGCTAAACACACAGGAAGGGAAGGCAAACATGTCTGTACTGCAGGAGTTTCTGGAAGAAATGTCGACAGTACCCTGCCTCTCCGGGATCCAGCCAAGGTGGTACATCCGGCGCATCTGGCACGCGCGGGGTGATCGAAAACACAAAATTGAACTTCTTCGCAGCTGGTTCCTGCACCAAAGTTTTAGCCCACAGGGAGTTGTCAGGGTAGCTCCCATGTTCGGAACCATAGGGCTGTGGGTTCCCTAGTGAAAATCACGCCCATAGTTATGTGCTGTGTCGAAACTCATTCTGTTGGCCATATGGTCATTAGTTTCTTTGAATGGGATTTCATCTGCTGTTTGTCTATCCTCCAATAGAAGTGACCCATGACCACTCTTTTCAGACGCATCAGGTATCTACGAGCAACAAGCGATGTTTCATGCCTATGGTTCATTTGGCGGTAGTCCCGCTCTCCTGCGGGAAATTGAGCCATAGACCGGCGACGTCCTCTCTCTCCCGATCGTCCAGGCCTTCGCTTGCATCGGTGGAAGCGACCGATCCTGGCTTGGTCGGCAAAATTGCCATTGGAGAAATGAAACTGCATCTAATTTGTGGGGCCAGTTGTTTTGCCTGGGGTGGTTTAGGGTACTGCTAGACTCACCCTAACAAAAATGAGACAAGGCCAACCCCAAACTCACCCACTGGTCAGTCCTGAACACGCCAAACAGCAGGCTCTGGCAAACAATATGATCCATTGGTTTTGAAAGGAAGCTACGAAGCAGGCACCCATCCATCCCCTAGCCTCTGGCATCATCGGGATCGCTGGAGTTCCTCAGCCGTTGGGAGGAGACAGATTTCCCTATAGGTTCACTCCCAGCATCAACCGACTCAAAGGAAACATTGGCAATCGAAAGGTAAATGACATGGGCTATCAAATCGGGGGGGTTGTCTTTGCATCAAACATCGACCACTTTCCATCTCAAGACTTGCTGACCCATTGACATGGAATGAAGGTACGGCCGAATAGCAATCAGCTGGGCGCTTTGCCAAACGATGCGCCGCCTCTGGCCAGTCTCCACATCTTTCTGCTCCTCGGACGGTGCGAAGGTGAGTCTCAGCACCAACACCCCCTCCCTCTTCTGGTGAAGCTCCAATGGACGGAAAGTCGGCTCAGCCCAAAGACAATCTCTCAGCTTCCGCCGGCTTCGTTCAGTCTCCACTCAGGGTGCTGCCCACACGGTGAGGTCCACTTCATAGGACCGACCCTGCCGCTTGCTGAACCCGTCGGACGTAAAGGCTTTCCCAAGAGGCTGCACAAGTTGATTTTCTAGTCATCACAAAACCGCTGCAAAATAACACAAGGTGTTACAGTTACTAGTTACTAAGTCCCAAGGTATTTCATGGCCTTTCAACATCGGCCTCTGAGACTCAGGTGTTTACAGCAAAAGAAGAAAGTGCTTCGCTTCTGCAAAGCTGGCAGCGGTCTCGCTTGCTCCTCGTTCGCGCTTCTTAGATCCACCTGCCAGAAAACTCCTGTACGTTCCTTCTTACACTGTATTCATTTCCCCCCTCCGCTGCCCCTTCCCCCACTCCTCCCTTCCCCCACCTCCCCCACCCCTCCTTCCCACCACCTCCCCCACCCCTCCCTTCCCCACCCCTCCCCTCCCTCCAACTCCCCCCGCCTGGAGCTCGTAGTGCAGCAGCTGCTCCCCGCAGTACCACGCCACCAGCAGCTGCGCCGAGATCTCCGGGTCCAGACATCGCCAGGCGCCCTCCTCCTCCCAAATTCTGAGCCGAGGGCCTCATCTCCAAATCGGGGGACCTTGCCCATATGTGGCTGTGGTTGTCAAAACCGTTTTGGTACCATTTTGGGGTAGGTGAATTCACCACCCATTTTAGAACCTATTTTAGTGGAGATTGGGATGGGCTTTTGACCCATTGCCATATGTCTCTCCAAGGATCCCCAGTTGGATATGCTGTGTTCTTGCAGGGAAGAGAGGGAACTCCAACCATGGAGTTTTGAACTACCCCATAAATAAACTGCTGACGGCAACCAGTACACCAGAGCTGTCCTCTATAAGCCATTCGCCACCTCGGTGCTTCAATGCTTCAAAGCAATCGGCATCTGGGTCTCTCCCCTTCTTTCGGGGACCCCCTATTTGGGTTGGCTTCGGGAAGCCAAAAGGACGCCAACCATTTTGGGGTCGCAAAAGGAAACAAACCCTGGGCCAAATAGATGCGACCTCCGAGCCCCTGGCCCAAATACACCTCGGGACGCGTCGGCTCCTGACGGCTGGAGGCTGGAGGCGGGGGGCGCTACTTGGGATTCCCCTTTGAAAGGCAGCACAAGGCAGCACTAGGTTGCAAAAGGGGCCATAATTCTTGACAACCCCTCATACCTGTAAGCCTCATTCCATCTGATTCCACGAAAGACCAAAAGTGGGAAGCTAGAAGCTTTCTCGCAAGTGTTGGCCTCTCGTTGGTGGCTGATGACACGCATCCCGAGAGGACACAAATCTGAGCGGACGCCCTTCGACCCTTCCTGTTGGGTGTGGTACCAACTTCATGGCGGAAAACTACAATCTCGCGGTGAATCGCAGCCTTCGCTGGGCTGAACGGGTCTCAGCACTCCTCTGCCGCAGTCTCTTCCGCACCAAACCACGCAATGCGGCACTGCCTGCAGTCTGCACTCGACACGGCTCCCGGGGCCTCTATAGTGGGAACGTGTCAAAACCTGGTGCAACCCAACCGGTGGGCTTTATGCAAATGTCCTTTAGAAATGAGCCCAACTGGGTGCAACTCGTTTTTGAACTTCTCTGCTCTCCGAGGTTTGCCTCAAAAGCCTGTCTGAGTCATTCTCCCTCGGCGCAGTCGTCCGACAAGGTGTGTAAGTCAACAAATCAACTCCTCCCTTGGAATCGAAAATGGGATTCCCTGACACACCATATCATCCTCTGATTATGGCGAATAGTGAAAATTGACTGTGTTGCTCACTGCTCACCTCTAGTCCCAAGTGTGCATCATTGCATCGCTGAACCCTAACTCTAAGCGACACTTGAACTGCACCTCTTCTTCCCTTCTTTCGCCAAGCGTTTGGAGCCTCAGATTTGCAGAATCCGTGTACAACAGCTCAACTGCTCCTGCACCTGGCCGCTGTCTCCACCGTAGTCTGCATGACCCCAAGTCACAACTGACCCTGATTCCAAAATGGCAGCAAAAGCATACTCGGTTGCTTGGATGCGCCGGACGTTCTTCAGCTGCTCTTCTACCTGCCTGCTGTCTCCACCAAATGTTGGGTTACCCCACGTGACGACAGCCCCAGATTGAAGAATGGCAGCAAAAGCACCGCGAGTTGCTTGGACAGGTTGGACGTTCTTCAGCTGCTCTTGCACCTGACTGCCGTCCCCGCCAAATTCTGGATGACCCCAGGTCACAACAGCCCCTGCTCCCAGAACGGCAGCAAAAGCACCGACAGTTGCTTGCATATGTTGGACGTTCTTCAGCTGCTCTTGCACCTGACTGCCGTCCCCGCCAAATTCTGGATGACCCCAGGTCACAACAGCCCCTGCTCCCAGAACGGCAGCAAAAGCACCGACAGTTGCTTGCATATGTTGGATGTTCTTCAGCTGCTCTTGCACCTGACTGCCGTCCCCGCCAAATTCTGGATGACCCCAGGTCACAACAGCCCCTGCTCCCAGAACGGCAGCAAAAGCACCGACAGGTACTTGGATATGTTGGACGTTTTTCAGCTGCTCTTGCACCTGACTACTATCTCCGACCCAGGATGCACGACCTCTGTTCGCCCAAAACCCCCAAAAATAAGACCACGCACCCATCTTCAGAAAGCTTTCTGCACGGAGGTTTTAGCGGAGAAGAGGGTTCATTTTGGGGCTAACCATTTTCAAGTTGGCGGGGAATGACCTTTGTTCAAAGCTCGACAGGCGAGATGGTCAAAGGTACCTGTGAGCACCCAAGATCCGGGCAGAGCGGCGTGGGATTTCAGAAGGACTTGCCATGTTTCTCGTTGACTCTGAAAGGGAACCCAGCCAAAAACGAGGTCATGGCGCCTGGACGGCTCTGAGCGTTTTGAGTACGGGGCGGACGCTAGAACTAGCTGAAACGCTTATTTGTCCAACACGGAACTGACTCAGCAGTAAAACAAGGTGGCTCGCTGTCGGCATGAGTACAAACCTCAACACAAGTTCATTGATGTCAACATGAATACCCCACCCCGGCCCACTAGAACCACCCCCCAAAACCTGCTAAGCTGCCAGCCTCCCGGTCTCATGGTGTGTCTGCAACTGGTTGTAAAAGTCCACATGGTAGGAGCCCTCCTCTGTGGAGTACACAGCCTACCAAGCACAGGCACTGGGGCCATATGGGGCCATCTTTCAGACTTGGGCCCAAGTTCGCTTCAGCCTGTTGGGTGCTGCCTTACGATTACCCTCCCAACATGGAACCTGACTAATTGGATTCCCGGAGTAAAGACATGGATAAACCCCTAGTTGATTAATAGGTTTTAGTGTTCATTGCTCTTGGAGGGAACACCCCCTACCTAGAACGGGTTTACAATGGGTCAACACTGAGGGGTCCTCGCGAGATCTTTTTCCTCAAGCAACCCACTGGGTTCCATCAGTTCGGCCATCGCCCAAATCCTGCCTCCAGCTCACCGCCATAGAAAGCATCCAGGAGCTGCTTCCCGACGTCCTGAAGGCCAACGCCGGGGCCCCGGCGCGTTGCGGCCGACCCCCAATCCTACTGGACCACCCTTCCTGGACCACCCTACCTGGACCATATCGTACTGGACCCTCATTGGTGCATCAGCGTCTCAGACTCTTGATTGCTTTTGAAGTCCCACCTCGCTGCTTGAGGCCAAGCATATATGCCAAGGAAATTCGACCAAAAGTGCCGTGCGGCTGTACACACCTCATCCATTATCTCTGCCAGTCTGCCAATGGGAGGGCTTCTGCATTGCCCCGTCCTGAGCGATGGGAGTCCACTCGTTGGCTGACTCCTGCACCAAGGCATCCTTGTCTGCAAGGTAGATGCGAAGCCACGGACAATCAATACTCTTGGTGTTTGAGGACATGGAACCAAAGAGCCTTCGGAACTAGGTGGCCCTAGGTGCGAGCACCAGTCGGCTGCTGAGACATGGCTCCTCCACGCGCCACTCGCCACAAGGCTCAGCCTGGACAGCCTGCCCCTCCTGACGCTCGAGAGGAATCAAGGAGCTCTGCAACCGAAGGGACGGGCCAACTTCAAGGCGACGCTCGCAAACATATCCATGTGAGTCAATGGGTACAAATGGCTGTGGGTCAAAACCCTGCACCCTTGGTGAACATCAAAATAGGTGGGACACGGGTGTTCATCCGCCCCAAAATGGAGGCATAGGTTATGACTATGACCCATGGCCAAATGGGACCCCGATCGGTAAATAGAACCATGGACTCCCCAAAACTTGCGGTGCCCAGGTGGTTTGACTTTGACCCATCTGACTCCCTGCCCCCTGAGGCGGCCTCCGAGCACTTTGGCTCGTACTTCGCGGCCGCGGAGCCGGCGCAGCCCATGGCATGGCGAAGGTGACGAGTCCGCCCACCCCTTTGGCCCCCGGTTTCGTCTGGTCCTCGAAGGCTTGGAGCGTAAAGACCAAGCTTCTGCGGTCCGATCAGGCGACCGTCATGCTTCACAGGACGCGGTGCGGATATGTTTGTTCGTGTTTGCTGACATCTTCTGGCGTTTGCGTGTTCTTCTCTCTCTTGACCCACAAAGCTCGGAAGCAAAGGGCTTGGCGAGACAGCGGACGCTTGCGAACCTGTGCGTCTTTTGATCCTCTGCCACATTAGCCAAGCATCAGCGAAGGAGGAACAAGCAATTCCCGCTCCGTAAAGCCATTGGCCGAGACGCATTTGCCCCTCGGCGAATCTGCGGTCCGCAAGGTTGGCGCTGGCATCCAGATACTCGCTGAGTCGAGTCTCTTGCATTCACGGGAGCTGACCGCCAACCCGCGGCTTGGATGGCAAATGGGCGGCGAAAATGAGGGACTTGACATCAAACCCCGTTGTTTCCCATGCATCGCCAAGGACATGGGAAAGGCAGTAAAGTATCCCTCCGTTGGTTTCCTTAGGAAGAGGTGCCCCTGTTTTTGCCACCCTGAATTACTCAAGTCGAGGCAGCCCCTGCGGCAAGACTCGGACTTCTCTGCAAGGGCCGAAATCTCTCCATGGCCTTGGAATTCACTCTCCACACGGCCAAAAGAAGCAAAATCCAAACCCAGCTCTTGCCAACTCCACCCTTTTTTCTTTCTCCCAAGTTCGCTTTCCAAAGACGTAGCCCCCAAACCCCTCAAACGGATCATCATGGTTATTTTGCAAACGTCAGTTGCAAGAAAGCAAACTTAGCCAAAAAGTAATGCTGGACAGGCGCAATCTTTCGCACACCCCCCTTGTTAGGAATGAAGAAAGGGACCCCCTTGACATAGAACTCTCCTGGTTCCCGTCCTTCTCTTTTCTCTTTTTTGCATTCTACATCACAACTCAACCCCCCCACCCCCCCCCCCCCCACCCGTTAACACCCACCCACCCCAACCCCGCGCCAACCCCCTCCCGCCCCACCAACCCCCCCGCCCTCTACGAAACAAGTAGTATTTCAGCGGAAAACCAGGTCTTTCAAAACATACCCCAACAAAGGTGGGTACTTGGAGATTACGGGCGCACATGGCCATCTCTTTCCCTTCAAGTTGCCGGGCGAATGACATCGATGCCGGCCTCGATTCCAGAGTTTCGGCTCCTTTCTTGGAGAGTGTTGCTTCCGTTGAAAAGGACCCGCTTTTCCCACCAACCCCCAACCCCCCTTCCCCCCATTGCCTCGCGGAAGTCCGCCTCCTCGATCCACCCGCTGCCGTTCAAATCCAGCAGCTCCGCCGCCCGCTTCGCCGCGCGTTTCGCCGAACTTCCGGAAGAACTTCCCAGCGCCTTCTCCGCCGCCTCACACGCGCGGTTTGAGGCACCCGCCGCGTGCGAAGAGTGGTGTTTTACCATCCCAAGGGGAAACTTTCATGTAGGAACCCCTGCCTGTTTGCTCTGTTTGCTGGAAGAACTAGGGAAGGCCTTTTGAAGAACTCAAGTCAAGGCTGGCACCCGTTCAGGAAGTCACATGATGACATGAAAGTCCAAAAGGAGATTTGTCTGCAACTGCATCTCCATCAGGCTATGTCCCAAAATCAGGAACCCCTCCAGGTGGCTTCCTTCTGGTTCCCTCCAAAACAGGGTGCCTTTACACAAACGAACAAACGGATTTTGAATCTTCACGAGAGTCAGCACGTTCCGGGTGCCTCCAATGCCAGCGGGGCCTTCTCGCGAGAAAGCTGCTGGAAAAGCCGTGCTGCGCCCACCTGGCGCTTTCCCACATGGCATCTTGCTTCGGCCAGTGGTGTTCCTCTTGCTTTTGTTTGGGTTTCCTTCGGGCTTCCTTCGGGTTTCCTTCGGCCCTTGCTGTGGCCCTTACAGTTGTCATCTCTGGCTTCCCTTGCTCTCCTCCGAGCCCCGCCTCCTGCGCCCGTGCTGCGAAGCCCGCCACCAGGAGCCGGGCCTGGAGCCAAAAGGCCCCATCCAAGAAGGAATCCCCAACACCCAAAGGGGGCCCCCCCCCCCAACAAGGTGCGCCAAAAGTCAAAATTGTCATCAAAAGTCAAGGGTTTAGTGGCTGCTGAGGGGCTGAGCGTTGAAACCTAAGAGCAACAAGACACCAAGATCAACGGCTCTCTAGCTATGGCCTCCGCTTCGGTGCTCGCTGCAAGCTCCTGGCAAAGAAATGGAGCGTGGAGCCAACTCAATTGTCCGAAAGTGGCGACGCCAGAAAGGAGCCGAGCCCAGAAATCAGAAATCAATGTGTCAATGCGTGATTGACCCCCATTCTGCTTTCAATCGCCCTGACGTCCTCGGCGGCTTCAGCCTCCAGCGCCTGGGCTGAAAGCTGCAACTGCCGCCGCGCCGAGTTCAACGCCTCTTCCTGGCGGGTCGGTTTAGGGCAACTGTGTGGAGGAACCTTCCGCAACGAGGCGACTTCCTCCAAAGCATACGGGGTGTCTTAATCAACATCTGCGGCCTGTCTAAAAGGCAGCGGCGAAGACGACTTCTGGAAGTGCTGTGCTTCTCTCAGGGGTCTCAACCATTTGGAGACTTCCAAATCGAGTCTTTTTGCCTTCCCAAAATGGGCGGAGACTCTTTAATTGGAGCTTGGCCTGAGTTTCCTGGTTCGGAACCCTTGCAATGGTTGCAGAATCTCAGAACTTCCGCTGGCATTTAGACAGGACACATTCCAAAGTCCCTCATTTCCCGGCCGCCACAAGTCAGCCAGCGGTGACGTTCCAAAGCAACCAGAGATGCGTCCAGTTGCCCTTACCCCCAACAAACGCACCCCCCCAGGCCAATTGGGAGTGATGATTCAAATATGTTCGTAACGACCAAATATATGTGCGCGTGTGTGTGTGTGTGAGAATCTAGGGAAGCCTTTGTTTCCCAGGAACCCAAAGAGGGTACCCTCAAAAAAGTCTCACCAAATAGTTCACCGACCGAAATTGTTGGGGGCCATGCAAGGAATCATGACGTCGCAACTTCCTTTTGGTTTAAACCAGCCCCAAGAGGTAGCCTAAGGGACGGCCCCGCCCCTCCCGAACCGACATACGCCTCCTCCTCCAAGGACGCCGCCAGCGTCCGCAGCATCTCCTCGCAGTTTTCCAGAGAAGTTACTGGCTCTGCGAAGATGCGAAGCGCCTGCTCCTGCAGGGGTTGGAAGGGGGGGGGGGGGGGGGCGGGGTTGGAGGATGTTGGTTCGGTGTGTTTCGGTTTCACGGCAACCCCGTTTGGTGGTTTTCTGTGGGGAAATCAAGTGCGACCAATTTAAAGAGCTCCACAAATTTGCAGCATGTAGCAGAGGTCCTCAAAGCGGGGCAGCCATGAACCTCGAAAATAGAAAGCAAAAAAAGACACCTACTTACGGATCCCCGAATTTCAACCCCGACACTCAACGTCGGCGCAGTTGAAGTGGTGGAGCGCATCCTAGGGTTCCAAAGGAGTCACTGTGTTTTCAAGAGTGAAGGTCGTCCCCAAACTCCCACAATGGATGGTGGGAGGGGAACCATTTTAGGGAAACTAACCATTTAAGGGAACCCAAGGGAAAGCTGGCGGTTTCACCAGGAAACCAACCATGTTGGGGAATTCGAAAAACCGCACCCGCCCAAGCGAGCGTCCAGCGGCAGCGGCAGCACGTCCGGCGCAGCGCAGCGGCAAAGCGGGCAGCTTGACCGCCTCAAGCAACCCCTCGAGACCGCGACCAGAACGAAGCCCCAAGCAATCAATCAATGCGAAGGCATGACATGTCATTTGAGTCCCCGAAGTCTTTCTGGCAACCCCAAAATCTGGTCCCTTGTGTTCGGCGCGCCTCCCCAGCCATCGCTGGATGCAGCTCCTGTGCCACTGGCAATGGCCGCAGGGCAATTGGATCTGCGCCGTGCTCTTTGGCCACGGCAGGAAGCAAATCAAGCAGGAGTCATCCGGCAACATCTCCATGGCTCCCGATTTTCTTTGGCAGCCCGATCGGCTGCTGGCTATACGCTGGTGCGATCCTAACCCGTTCTTGAAGTATTGAAGTGTGCGGAGTTCTCTCCTCCATTTCAATCAGTCTCATGCTGCTCATCTTGAAGGGGCTGAAACAAGGTCATGCCAAGAGTCTTTGTCCCCAACAAGACATGCCTCGTTCCAGGGAAGGTAAGCATCACCTCTTGGCGCAGAGCATGAGCCCAGGAAGCCATCGGCTTGAGACCAAACAGCGGCCTCTCGCGAGAAGTCGAACAATGAAGCAAAATCCAAGCCCGTGCCAAGCTCAACAAGACCAAGCCCTACCAAACCCACCGAACCCACGACACTGACAGCCGCACGCGGCTCCTCTTTTGCCCCGGTGAAGTCCAGGTACTCCGCGAGGCGCCGCGTGGCCAGCGGCCGCCTCCCCGGCCGCTCCCGCAGCAGCCGGGCCGCCCCAGAGCCCGGCGGCGTGTCTAGCGCGGCGGCGGCCAGGGCGAGGGCACCCAAGGAGGGCCTCTGGCGGAAACCCGAGTCAAAAAGTCCCGGCACGAAATCGGCTTCAAGTCGCCGGTCCAACCATGAAAAGGCCCACTGCTTTCACAGCCATCCTATCTCCAGCCTTTGTTTGGGGTAAAGTAGAGTGCACACACAGGCAGGCAGGCAGGCAGGCAGGCAGGCAGGCAGGCAGGCAGGCAGGCAGGCAGGCAGGCAGGCAGGCAGGCAGGCACGCAGGCAGGCAGGCAGGCAGGCAGGCAGGCAGGCAGGCAGGCAGGCAGGCAGGCAGGCAGGCAGGCAGGTAGGGGAGGAAGGGATGAAGAAGATGAGAGAGATCCATGAAGACGAACCCTGATCCACCCGTACCGCTCGGTCGCCGGAGCACAGGGCAGCGGCCCGGGCCACGCCCAGAGCGGCCGCCTGGAGCTGCCCGGAGCAGCCCACCGAGACCAAAGACAGCAGCCAGAACGTCAGCCAGTGGTCCGCACCCAGGCCTCGAGTCGGGGCCGGGGGGAGGGGAGGGGGAGGAAGGACTTGGAGCCGAGAGGCTCCTTGAGCATAAATTAATTAACAAATTACCTGATCAATTCATTTGAAAGAAGAAAAAAGCAACGAGCCAGTGCCACGAATCCACAATTTGTTAGCCAAACTGACGCAAAGGACACCGCTAAGAACTCGAAGCTAGCCAAGAACTCATAGCCTGGGAGCAGACCAAGGAGAAGGTTCCGGTCAGATGATCGTGCGATCACCCCAGGCATGGTGAAACCGATACTTTTTGCAACGACTGAAGGCTAACATTGGTGGACCTTTGCGAAGGGAGACAGGCCGCTGGCTGGATGGGGCAAACCACCCACAACCGCTTTGCTGCCGTCGCATGATGATTTCGCACAGAGGCAAGAAATACAAGCAAAAAGGGCAGGAATCTATGCGGTCTGCCGTACAGCGCCTAACTGCAAGTCTGGCATCCCGCATGGTGAGCTCCGATTGTTGCATCCAACTCAGGCCGACTCAGATGCTGTAAGGATTAAGGGATCAAACAAAATTCCGAACCGATCCTCACTGCCACCCACTTCCCTCACTTGCCCTCCAAACGGCCGGGAAGTTCGCGAAGTCGCCCGGGCCTTGAGCGGCACACTGCTCCAGCAGCTCCAGCACCGCGGCCACGGGGAAGTCCTCGCAGCTCGTGGCCTGCTGCAACTCGGGCACCAGACGCATGGCGGCCTCACGCGTCACGCGAGCGCGCGGCACGCGAGGCGCGCGAGGCGAGCTGGGACGACAGGGCTGACGCGGAGCGACACGGGTGAAACGAGCGTGGAGGTGCACTCACAGACATCCAGGCAGCCAGACAAGACAGCCAGCCAGCCAGCCAAGACAGCCAGCCAGCCAGCCAGCCAGACAGACAAGGCAGACAGACAAGACAGCCGCCGGCCAGCCAACCAGCCAGCCAGCCAGACAGACAGACAGGCAGGCAGGCAGGCAGACAGCGACAAGACCACGTTTGCTGTCACGCCTCCTCCAACTCCTGCTCCCCATCCAGGCGGTGGAAGGCGAGATCCTCACACAAACCTCCAACCTCGGACCTCCGACCTCGGGCCTCGGGCCTCAAGCTCATTGTCAGAGGCACGATGGACCCTCTACCAAGTCCCCAATCCAAAACACCAATTTTGGGATACCAAAGTTATACAAGGAACGAACAGGTGATAACCAAGTCCATAGCCAAGAAGAGGTGATTAGAAGAAAATGCACGACAGCCCAAACTCGGGGACTCCGCAATTACCAAGGTTCACATAGGCCTTACCTGTCAACCCTATCAACCCAAAGAAATCTGGCAGAAAGTGCAACCCAAGTTTGCCAATGGCACTCCGCCCAAAGGGCCCCACCCCCAAAATGGCGCCCTCTCCCCCCCGTTTTCCTGTCCACCATTTCGGGTCCATTAAGCACATCAGGCCCAGGTAACGCTAGTGCCGACCATTTTCCCTGGACCCCCCCGAGCTCCGGCCAAGCTGTCCAGGCTCCTCGGCAGCGCAGCGCGGGCAGCGGCACTCGAAGCGCCAGCGCTGCAGCACCGCCCGGCGCCAAGGCGCCGGCGCGTAGAGGAAGTGCAGCATCGGCAGCAGGTTCCGCTCCTCGGACTCGACTCAGGGTATGGGGCAAATTTAAACCAGAAAACCGCGGGTTTCTGGGCTGTCCTCAGACCCCGCTAAAAGTGACTAACTTTTAGTGGGTTAAACTAATAAGCTAAAAGGCTAAAAGGCTGAGGGGATGGCTGGGAACCACCAAGGTTTTTAGTCCATGTTTCCATTTCCCTGGATAGCACATAGTCCCCTCGGGTCTTCCCCCTCCCCAAGAAACTAAACCGGGAGCCAGTCGCCCGGGCATCTGTTCGCCTCACGAAACATTTCGGATCCGCCCCCATAGGCTCCACCAAAAATCCGCTGGCAAGTCATCGGGGAGCAAAGGGGAGCAAAGAATGTCCCGTTGCGGGGCTTGGATGCGTTTTGCCAAGACAAAGAAGCATCTGAAACAAAAGGACACAGAAAAAAAGAAGAAAAACAAAAGAAGAAAAACAAAAGAAGAAAAAACACTATTGAGAGTCGCAAAGTCTCTGGATAGCAGATGCACAGCTCCTGGCGCAAAAGCACTGCGACCAGATAGGGCTGCTTCCTCTTGACACCCATCCCTGGTCTTGTTTAGGGGCTGAGGCAATCCATCCAAATCATGTTTCACACATGTCACGTGCCATGGCCAAATGACCAAGACTTCCTGTGTGGGTCATGGGTGTAAGGCAATACACTCCTACGTGGCAAAAGGTGCCAGCCAAATCGTGCCACCACCACGACCACCACCTGGTGGTGGTGTTGGTAGTGGCGTTGTCCAATTCGAACTGGAGCATTTCCTAATGTGTCTTTCCTGAAAGCGGGAATCCATTGAGTTTTGTGCAGGCGTTTGAAGAGAAACCGAGCGGAAAACAAGTCCCTGGTCGAATGGAACTAAGGTCCCATCGCTCTTTTGAGGGCTCTACATGGGCAACCTGCAAAATCGGGGGGAAGGGGGAGAATCCTCTTTGCTTCCCTTTAGAAGAGCCCAAAAGAGCCCAAAAGTAGTACCCTCAAAAATGCCTTGACGCCCTCTCGGGAACAAATGATACGATAAAACGACAAAAAGCTGGTGAAGATTGCGCGCTCGCCTCGCTCTTCCTTCGTGCGCGTCGTTGCATGCGATGGTGTCGCCCCATGTCCCTTTAACTTCCCTTTGGCAAGCCAAAACATGGCGCCCTTGAGAATGACAACACCCACTTTAGACGCTGAACCCAAGTGTGAAGTTCGCCTGATGCTCTCTTCTTTCAGCACGCTTTTCGCAAACCCACATATGTGCAGTCCACGCGCAAACACACCAGATTACAAGCTCAGCTGCTCTTGCACCTGGCTGCTGTCTCCACCACATTCTGGATCACCCCAGGTCACAACAGCCCCAGATTCAACAATGGCAGCAAAAGCACGCCCAGTTGCTTGGATGTTCTGAACGTTCCTCAGCTGCCCTTGCACCTGGCTGCTGTCTCCGCCCGAGTCTGGATTACCCCAGGTCACGACAGCCCCAGATTCAAGAATGGCAGCAAACGCACCCGAAACTGTTGCTTGGATGCGCTGGACGTTGCTCAGCTGCTCCTGCACCTGACTGCTGTCTCCACCGTCACCTGGATTGCCGCAGGTCACAACAGCCCCAGATTCAACAATGGCAGCAAAGGCACACGCAGTTGTTTGGATGTGCTGGACATTTTTCAGCCGCTCTTGCACCTGGCTGCTGTCTCCGCCAACGCTTGGATCACCCCAGGTCACGACTGCCCCGGATTCAACAATGTCAAGAATGGCAGCAAAAGCACGAGCACTTGATTGGATGTGCTGGACGTTCCTCAGCTGCCCTTGCACCTGACTGCTGTCTGCGCCCCAGTCTGGATCACCCCAGGTCACAACAGCCCCGGATTCAAGAATAGCAGCAAAAGCACGTCTAGTTGCTTGGATGTGTTGGACGTTCCTCAGCTGCTCTTGCACCTGGCTGCTGTCTCCGCCATAGCCTGGATCACCCCAGGTCACAACAGCCCCGGATTCAAGAATGGCAGCAAAAGCGCCCACAGTTGCTTGGATGTGCTGAACATTCCTGAGCTGCTCTTGCACTTGGCTGCCGTCTCCGCCGTCACCAGGATCACCCCAGGTCAGCAACTCGTGGCGGTGCTTTCGCTGCCATTTAGGAATCTGGGTCTGTTGTGACATGGGGTCGTCCAGAATATGGCGGAGACAGCAGCCAGGTGCAATGGCAGCTGATGAATGTCCAGCACATCCAAGCCAATGCCGGTCCAGCACATCCAAGCAGCTGGCGGTGGTGCTTTTGCCGCCATTCTTGAATCTGGGGCTGTTGTGACCTGGGGTCATGCAGAATACGGCGAGACAGCAGCAGGGTGCAAGAGCAGCTGAAGAACGTCCGGCACATCCAAGCAACTAGCGGTGCTTTTGCTGCCATTCTTGAATCTGGGGCTGTTGTGACCTGGGGTGATCCAAAAGACGGCGGAGACAGCAGCCAGGTGACCAGGTGCAAGATCAACTGAGGAACGTCCAGCACATCCAAGCAACTGTTCATGGTGCTTTTGCTGCCATTTTGGAATCAGGGTCTGTTGTGACATGGGGTTGTCCAGAATATGGCGGAGACAGCAGCCAGGTGCAAGGGCAGCTGATGAATGTCCAGCACATCCAAGCCAATGCAGGTGCTTTTGCTGCCATTCTCGAATCTGGGGCCTCACTTCCTGAGTTGGTGGACTTTAAACTTTTTGGAAAAACAATTTTAGTGGTAAATAAGAAGTTCAAACTTTTTTTGGCCAGTCAACTTGGGAAGTGAGGGGCTGTTGTGACCTGGGGTTCTCCAGAAGACGGCGGAGACAGCAGCCAGGTGCAAGAGCAGCTGTTCTTGAAGCTAAAAGCGTGCTAAAAGCAGGAAGCACCAAGCAAACAGCGCAGAGTGTGCTTTGGACCACGGTTCCCTGCATTTTTCACCTAAGCGGCGGTTCCCATGCGTCCCCTTATGTTTTAGGTTTTTTAGGGTTTAGCCCAGGTTTCCATTTAACCGGTTTAGCGGGGGGTTCCATTTAACGCGCAAAAAGTGAACTTAGCAGGGGATCTGAGGACAGCCCAGTACAAACACCTGAAACCACGCCCCTGCCGCGTCAAAGGTGATGTGTTTGCACCAGGGGCAATCATTCGGCCCTTGGGGTTTTTGGTCCTTGCGTCAGGACAAAAACAAAAATCACGTCCCACGTCTTGGGAGGCCTCAAAAGTGCCCAAAACGAGAAGCTAAGAGCAATTCCCGCTTTTTCAACCCAGCTGGGTTGAAAAGTCGGAGCCAAAATGACTTCGGTTTTCCTCTTGGCTTCCCTTGTCTCCCGCCCAAGGGGGATCCTATCAAAAAGGCGAGGCATGGTGCTCAGGGCTCCGAAGCTTGGGATTCAGCTCGGAGCCGTTTCGCGCAAAGGTCACCCAAAACAGGGGGGGAGCCTACCTGGGGTCTCCTTCTGACTCTTTAAAACATGGGTGGTCATTACCCAAAATAAAGGTTGGTCATGGACCCATTTTTGCAGACATGGCTTGTAGCGGCAGATTGTTCTTTTGCCCAGATGGCTGCGCAACGTGTCCAAAGTCTGCACCCCCTGGATGCCAAAAGGGGAGCCACCTCTTGCGGCATCACCCTAAAACGTGAGCCCTTTGTGGCCCTTGCGTTCGGCTTTCTCATAGCCGAGCCGCATCAAATGATCCCGGAGCGTCACTCCGGGCTGCACCTTCGTGACGAGGTCCGCGTCGTTGACCGTGCCCTTCACCTTGTCCACCACCAGCAGCTTCTCGCAGACCCTCATCTGAAGCCAGACGTATCTGGCTTGCACATGTCTTGTGCGCCCAACTCCTTGGAGCTCAGACATCGCCTTCGCCGCACTGCTGTCTACCTTCAAGGTCAAAGGCTTGATCGCCCCCGTCCAAAACTCCGCCACGCCCCGCATGAACTCGCCCAGCGTGGCCGTCCTGCACATCCCATAGTACTCCGCCTCCGAGGACGACAGGGCCACCACCTTCTGTGTCGTCCCCTTCACCATCAGCGTGTGCTCGCCGTTCTTCACCACCGATCCCGTAGTGCTCCTCCGAGTCACCGGATCTCCGGCCCAATCACTGTCAGACCACGCCATGATCTGCGGCACCGCCAAGTCCTGCTCGCGGAACACCTTCTTCAGGTACGGGTACTTCACCAAGTAGCGCACCGCCCTCTTCAACTTCAGCCAATCATTCTCACTTGGCGATCTCATCTTCGATGCCAGGCTTCTCACCACATGAACCAAATCCGGCCTATCCTGGCTCAGGTACGCCATCCTCATCACCAGCGATCTGTACTCGCCCATCTGCTCCACACTCAGCTCCGCCGACTGGTCCACGATGACCATGTCCTTCGCCACCTGCTTCTCCTCGGGCATGTCCACGCCCTTCGTCTTGTCGTTGAACCCGAACGCCTTCAGCAAGATCTCCGCGTGCCTTGCGTCCGCCTCCACCTCCAGCTTCCATGCCGTTCCATCCGGTACATACCTGATGAGCCGATTCAGGAAGAACAGCTCCTTGTCATCGCCAGGGCTGTCCCCCATCTTCGCCTCCCACCTCGCCGTGTAGCGGGTGTTGAGGATCTTGTCCAGCTCAATCAGCTCCTCATCCGCCGCCGTTGCCATGAAATCATCTCCATGCACCAGCCCACATAGGTCCATGCCCTCGATCTTGAACAGGTCGCAATTCGAGTAGTCCTTCTGGAAAATGTGGCTTGCGTCCTGGGTCCCATACATCGACCTTAGAAGACGCCCGCACATAGGCACCCCAGCGTCCTCCTCTCGCGTCCGGTCCTCCTCCGGCAACTGGATGTAGATCTCCCTCTCAGCGCGCCCCATAAAATGGGCCCGGCTGGTGTCCCACACCCCAAGTTTCCTTTTCTTCTTCCCTGGCCTCTTCGTCATGAACATGCTCAGGAGTAGCTGGACGCACTCAAGCGGCGGGGTCGCCGCAAAGGTCTCCTCCACCCTCAGCTGCTCCTCCGGCCGCTTCGCCTTCTTGACCTCCTTGGTCACCAGCCTGCTCCTTACTCTGATAGCTTGGCTATCTCCTTTGTTGACGTCCAGCCACTTCAACTGCAGGGGCTTAAAGCCTCTCTCCTGGCAGATGCTCATCGGCACCCGTTCGTAGACTTCCTCCTTGGCCAACCAGTCGATCTCTTCCTTCCTGGCAGCCTTCACCTTCTCCACAGGCAGCTCCGCGCCTGTCACATCATCCACATACTTCTCAAACTCCTTCTGGTAGAAGTCCTCCTGCTCCACGTACTCATCGGGCGAAGGCCCAGTCAGCTTCTCCTCCAAACCGCTGATCTGCTTCCTGGCCCTCAGCTCTCCTCTCAAACCTGTCAGGATTGCCTCCACCAGTTCTTTTGGGTACATCTGTGCCATCTTCGCACGGTTCTTCCCAATGAGGTGCGTGTGGCGATGCACCTCTCCTCCAGCCAGCAAATTCTCACACTGGCCCTCCAACTCCTTTGCAATGCACTCCGAGTTGGTCATCCATCTCGTCTCCTTCCGGACGTGTAGTAGCTCACCGTCCGGGTTTTCCATCTTCATGCCAAACCGACACATCGGGCTTGTGACCAGCCATGTGCCTGGCCTCTCCAACATTGCCTGAACCTCCGGCATACTCCAGCTCGTCGATCTGCTTGGGTGTTCATGCAAATACACCCCGCCCTGGTCTGCCTGCTGCTTGCAGCAGCTCATCGCCTTTCTCACACGGGCCTTCCCGAGCTCCTCTTCCTCCAGCACCACCCTTGGATCCCGCTTTGGGCGGGCTGAACGTTGTGCACGGCGGGGAGCTCGTAACCAACCAAGGCTCCTCATGCCGAATCATTTCCCGCACGAGCTCATAGTCCTCCTCCCGGTCCAGGTCCCATCTCTCTTCACCTCCTGGCTTCATCTCATCCAGGTCCACCGCAGCTCCGTCCCGGAAGCCAAACCTGGCCAACTCCTTCGTCAGCCGTTCCGGGCTAAACACCTCGATGAGGTCCAACGCTCCCAGCTCCTTCACAATGCTCGCCGCCTCATCGCTCTTCATTTTCTGCCCTAGCTCCCTTTCCGCCTCCATCGAACGAGCTCCTGCTGGACCGGCCTCTTCCTCTTCGGCTTCCCGCAAGAGATCCTCTATGTCCCTCGCACCGCCTTCTCCTCCCTTCCTCTTGGGAGACTCACCACCGCCGGGCCCTCTGCTCGAGCTCGATGGCTCTTGCGTTGCCTCTCCTGCTGCGGCATCTCCTCTGCTCTCATCGATCTCAACCTCGGCCACTCGCTTCCCGGCTCTCTGCCGGTCCTCCCGTAGATCCTCCTCTCGGGCCTTGTCAATCCTTCTTTCGGTGTCCAGGCTTCCCGCAATTGTGACAGTTGCCCTCAAACTTCTTCGGGGAGCCTTTGCCGGCGCCAGGGGACTTTCCACCTTTTCCACCTCCGGTAGTAGGCTTCGACCAGCAGTCCTTCCGCCGATGCCCCTTCTTTCGCAGTTGTCGCACGTCCCCTCGAACCTGACGCCACCTTTGCCTCCGCCTTTGCCACCCTTGCCCTTGCCCTTCACCAAGGACGCAAGGTTGCCGGACACCGCCTTCACCAGCGAGTCCACATCCATGGGAACCGCATCACCTCCGCCAGTGTTCTTGCTGAAGTTGCTGCTCGCCGCCATCTTGCTCCCAGTCTTTGCCTCCATGAAGGTCACGGAGAAGTTCAGCAGCAAGTGCATCTCCATCTCTTTTGGGACCAATTTTCTAAGGCATTCATAGCGAGCGAGTCGGGCAAATCCTCGCGGCGCCCGAATTGATCCTTCTTCTTGTTGTAGCGGCCTCTCAAGGCCTTCCATCTCTCCAGGGCGGCTCCGAGGTTCTCATAACTGGCTCTCTCCGGGCTTGTCAAAGCTCGGAGCATGATCCGCTTTCGCCCACCCGTCGCCGGGTCGTACTTCTTGTGGAGCAACCTCCACGCCTCCAGTCCAGCACCCATCGGCGCGTTCCCGATGACGTCAAAGGCCACCCCCTCCGTCGTCGACCTCAGGACGGTGTAGATCTGGTGATCAAACTCCGTGACCTCATCCCACTGATCCGTGAGATCCGCCGCCACCCCAAACGTCGCATCCACCTCGTGCTCCGTGATGGCCAGCTCACTCCCGGCAGCCCATTCCAACACCTCGCGCCTTCCCACCAAAGACGCCCGCCACATAGTCCTCGAGCTTCACCGCCCAGACCCGAAATCTCGCCTCCGCATCTTCTCCCAAGATCTGGGGCTTACCAAGCCCTTTCTGGTCAATCAGGCCTCGACCCCCTCTGCTCATCTTCTCCAACGCCTCCGGCAGCTTCTGCAGCGCCGCGATCACCTCCATGGACCCAGCGCTCCCGGTGCCCCCTGACGGGCCTTGCTCAGCGGCCTGGATCCGGTCCCGCAGCTGCTGGTTCTCCGACTGCACCACCTGCAGTTGCTGCTGCACCTGTCTGAAGCCATTCACGATCTGCTCCATCTCCGTCATCGAGGGCCAACCCGATCACCACGTAGTGGCCGTCCACCGCGTAGAAACCCAAAGCCGCGAGGGCAGTCAGCCACCTCCAGCAGCGCCAGCTCCTCTTGGCTCTGGCTCCAAGCACCACCTCCTTCTTGTCCGCCACCTGGCCCCGTTCTCCCGCCGGGCCTCGCTGTGGCTCGCCCCACGGCGCTCTCCTCCTCCTGTTGGGGATCACCCTCGGAGTCCTCCTCCTGATGTTGGTGTCCTGAATCGTGCCGTAGAGCTCCGCTACCATGCAGACATGGCTTGTAGCGGCAGATTGTTCTTTTGCCCAGATGGCTGCGCAACGTGTCCAAAGTCTGCAATTTTTAAAGGGGCAGAGGGAGACTCCAGGTATATTCGAATTCTCTTGGAAGTCACCGAGTCGTTCCAACCACTGTCTCTCAGCTCATAACAATTATCGGGTGACCCGACCGCTCGATTCCAACTTGTGTGTTTCCTTGGGTCTTCTCAGCGAAGGGTTTGAGGGAGTTAGTGAAGTTTGTTTTTAGTGGCGGGGTGTCCGAATGGAAAAACCCACAAGTTTCCCAACTGCCCCGGATTCAAGAATGGCAGCAAAAGCAGTGTCAGTTGCTTGGATGCAGCGTACATTCCTCAACTGCTCTTGCACCTGGCTGCTGTCTCCACCACATTCTGGATCACCCCAGGTCACAACAGCCCCAGATTCAACAATGGCAGCAAAAGCACACCCAGTTGCTTGGATGTTCTGAACGTTCCTCAGCTGCTCTTGCACCTGGCTGCTGTCTCCGCCCCATTCTGGATTACCCCAGGTCACAACCTCGCCCCCGTGTCCGTGCCAAGCGAAGGCAGCATCAGCGGCAGCCAGTTTGCCAAGCTGTCTCCATCTCGCAAGCCAGCCTCACACAGCGTGGCTGTCAAAAATCGAGCTGCTGGCCTTTCGCAGTGAGCTGCAAGCGGCGCCGGAAATGCTTCTGCGCTGCAGCCTTCAGCTCGCTGACGCGCGTCTCCGGAGAGACTTCTACGGAGAAAGCATCTCCACTGCGCAACTGAACATCCACCTTCATGGCGCAGAGAAGTTTGTTCTGGATGGTCACTGCTTTGAACAATCCAAACCAACCCTCAGGTACTTCACGCCGTGTGCTTTGCAAAAGGCCTCGTGATCCTGCTTCAGGCTTCAAGCAGTGTCTGTGCATACACACCCTGCAAAGAGGCTTCCTTTTCAGCCACCACAACCCTCCCGATGTTCTGTTGCTGACCTGCTTTTTTACACACATCGACATCGTCCCAAAAAAAACTGCCCCCGACCCACACAAGCATAGCTTGTAGAACAGAGCGGTAATGGCAGATTCTTCGAACTGGAAACACGCCCATCTCTCCAGCAAGCGGCCAGGACCCCTGCAACGCATAAGGCTTCCATCTAAGGTCAAAATTCCTTGCGCCGGTCATAGCCATGGCGTCCTCAATGAGAACCCTTACATTAGCTGGCAAATCCCCACTTGGGCATGGCTCAAAAATAGGGGTTTAAAATGTAACCCTGGCAAATGGAAAGGTAGACTAAAACCTGCGTAACCCCATCTGTCTATGTTGCTCCCGATCTGAGGGCTCGCCCAAGAAGCTTTGGCTCTCCTCGCCATGAGAGATGCGCAGCGCGGCCACGGCCACGAGCTCCCCCGGCTTGCCGCTGGGCAACAGCCGCACGTTGGGCTCGCAGGAGTGGTTGAACCTCACGGAGCGTCAGCCGGGGCAAAGCGCTGAAGGGGATGCAGCGCTCGAAGTCAGCCGGGGGGGGGGGGGGACCCAGTCAAAGGCAGCAATCACGAAAAGCGCCAGCGAGTAGCTGCAATCACTTGCCCAGGGAGAAACAGACATGGTGAAAAAGCAAACGCGCCCCGGGAAAAACGGCAGTGAGTGGCAGTCTGACCACAGCCACACCGACAAGGAGCCAAGGTCCCATGCAAGTGGAGCTCCTCTGCATCTCCTCTCGCAAATCCAATGCCCACCTAAGACCTGTTTGGTTTTACCAGGATGGCGCTAAAGGCTAAAAAGGGGCCTTATAATCCCCACCACACCAAGCAATTGGTAGAACCCCTCCAAAACCGCCTTGGGAAATCGGCGCAAACTCGATTGCAAAATCGCGAGATCGCGATTTCGCGAGTTTCGGCGCCTGCTGATCTTCTCAAAGACGCATTGCTCGGGACCATTGCTGTTCACAAAGGAGAGCTTGTTGGCGTCCCAGACACACAGCAGCTGCCAGACCCACACGGCGTCCTTCTGCGCGGTCGCGGGCGTCCAAATCCCGGTGGCCGCCTCGAAAAGGTGCAGTCGCTTGATGTTCTTGGCATTCCAAAGGGAGACCAGTTGGAACAACTTGGACGGTGGGGGCAACTATTCACGCATTGCGAGTTGTTTGGAGAAGGAATGTCTTGAGGCGGAGTCCTAAATACGTTCTTGTGTTTAAAAATACAGTGGTCTTGACAGATTCTCTACAGCCCCACCAAAGCATGACAATGCCCAGTCCCACTGAGAAGCTTGGGAGAAGAGCGAGTCACTTTTCTTGCGGAAGGAGGGCCAGAGCTTGGATCCGAAAAGACCAAACAAGGGCTCCCAAAACTTTGAGAAACCTGCAAAGAGACCCAATCAGAAAGAATCTTAAAAAATGGACAGCCCCCGACTTTGCTTCGCCGAGAACCATTCATGTCACCCCGCTCACCCCCTCTCACAGCGCGCCATGCGCTCCAGCAGGTGCTCGCCGTGGCAGCCCAGCTCCGCGCCCAGTGACTCTGGGTCCAGCTCCTGGGCTTTCTTGGCCGAAGCTTTGGTTTTTCGGGGGCCGAAATCATGGGCTTTCGGGTCGAGGCCAGGACGGTCCCCCCCCCCCCTCTTTGCGGGCAAAAGCGAGGCGAAAAAAAGCCGACTCACACAAACCATAGTTGACAGGAAGTCCCACCTTCCAATCTTGGGCGTCAACGACTCTCGGCTATGTTGGATTTTGATGTGGGATGGGCAGACTCCAGGAATTGGGTGAGACATCACGGTGTTGGCGGCTGCCAAAAGGTTGAAGAGCTACTTCTGAAGGCACATGGCTGCTGCCATGTTGGTTGGTTGGAAAGTTAGTCTGGCCACACCAAACCGAAGGCGAGTTCCAGTGGTTGCAAAACGCATCTGGTCTCCGTCAAAGGGAATCCACATGGAGATTCAATCAATGAGGGACGAAGTCGCCGCTTGAAAATGTATGTGATAATGTGTATGTACATGTCTACATGTGTATATATATATATATACACATCAATATGAAGCCGTACTATATACAGAAGATAAGAGGTTGTATGTGTACATATTACAACACGTTATGTATATATGTATATATGTACATACAGACAACATATATATATATATACATATACATGGCTGTGGGTCAAAAATAGGTACCCAAAATGGAACCCTGGTAAATGGAAACGAGCACTAAAACCTGCGGTCTCCTGGTGGTTTTATTTTGACCCATGCCCATCCATACATATATATATATATATATATATTTCTGTGTGTGTGTGTGTTGCACCGTGTTTCCAAGGGAGCGTTTGCAGCTGAAGCATTCTTTGCACCGAGGTGCACGCTTGTCAAGGATTGCTGATCTTGTTTTTCCCAAAACAGCCATGCCCGCAGACATTAAAAGTGCTGACGAACCATGCTTCGCAACTTTTCTGCGAATCTGCCAGTTCGATTTTTGGCTATGTGTTGAGTTTTTTTCTTTCAAAGCAGGGGGCCCTCGGGGCCTGTGTAAGACAGGGGCCAACGAAGACGCTTACACACTGCCTGTGAGGCAGACTGGGACGCCAGTTTGTGTACCTGCGTATGAGACTGCGCCTGGGCCATTGCTTTGACAGCTGGCGGGTCCGTAAATGGAACGTGTGCTTCCATTTTCCACATTGAGTCGCTTCTTTTTCATGTGCCTCTTTTTATGGCACGTTTGGATTGGTGCAGACAGAATCGTGCACCGCTTTGCCTGATCAGCTTTCGTTTTGAACATCCGACACGAAATCCGTGGCGAGCTCAGATGTCACGACAACATTGGATGTAACGTAACATGAGACAAGAATTAGATACTCCAAGTGTGTGATAACGGGTGCCGTTCAGGCTCTCTTGAAGTGATGTGTTCTGTGTTTCGCTGCACCCTGCCAGCCTTTTCACCTTCCTACGACACAAGCAACCATGAAGGAAAGCACCGTCCCTTTCGTGAGTGTTGTCCATACTTCATAATAATTCCCATAGGAGCACGCGCAGCAACGTGTTTAGGCGAAGTTGGGGCACTCTCATCGCGGGCCGCATGTTCATGTTTACCACAGTGCAACACGTTTGACAGAACACACACGGCATGATGGTCACACACAGCATGATGGTAAGCACCCACGTTACACTGCATAGCACGTGCGACTCAACACACACACACACACACACACACAGCGCGAATTGGGTGGGGCAATCAAGAGGCGCATTTCTCCGCGTTCTGCAGAATTAAAAATCGTCATGTACAGCTAAACCTATGGACGGGTTGCTCGCAGACAACTACAATGCACATGGGTGTCTCTTTTCAGGGGACCCCCACAAGACAATGTGGTGGCTTTCCTTTTGGTTTCCCTTTAAAACCTCCAGAAATGGGGCTACCCGCATAAAAAGTCACGCCCACATTTGGCCATGGGTCAAAACCCCGTACCCCCAGTGAACATCCCAATCCCCACTAAAATAGGTTCTAAAATGGGTGGTGAATTCACCTACCAACCAAAATGGTACCAAAACGGTTTTGACCCGCAGCCATTTCAACTTCCAAACCGCTCGCATCCGACAGCCCTCCGCCCGCCTGCGCGCGATGCAGCAGTTCCAGACGCCGGCGCTGCGCTTTGCTCAGACGGCCCAGGGCCGCCAGAGGGCTGCCCCCAGCCACCGAGAGGATGGCCTCAAGTGAAACCCCAAAAAGGAGGAAGCCGAAAAACGAGGATGGTGCCAAAACCATGTTTAAACAAAGGATCAATTGAAAAACACAACGATTCCAAACGGAATGGGACAAGGAAGAAGACAAACTACAAAAACTAGGACAAGAGAACATATTGACATACAAATTACATGTTGGTGCTATGAAAAACGATGAGGATACCAATAAAGAGAGGACACCCTTGCACAAGTGGTCAGCTACAAGCAACGCAAGGATGGTGCTTAAAAAAAAAAAAAACAAAAAAAAAACGGCCATTTCATTGGTCAGCTCGTGGATAAAGTAGGGAGAGCAAGAAAACGGGGATACCCTGGATGCTGAAACACAAACACAAGGCATGGTCAAGGCCGGGGGGTGTGGCATGTAGTTTCGGTTGGGACCGCCGGGATAAGTCTCCACTAGGGCAAACCGTCGAAAGTAAGTTGCACCGATTTCATGCAGTCCCCTTCATTGCGCTGGGCCAAATCCTTGTGTAAACATCTTTGAAGGAGAACTGTGTCAAGGTTCCCTTGAAAGGTGGCCACTGGGATACATGAAGGGCCGACTCCAAAGGGGTCTCGCTTTCTTTTGAGAGGTTCAACTAGTTTTCAGCTACCTGATCTTTGGATACTGTCCATACTGAACCCATCTGAAACTGGCCGCCAACAAAAGACCAGGCCTCCGTTTGGAAAAAGTTGTCAGGTATTCACAGCTGACACAATCTCCAAGGCATGCATGGTCCGTCAATTTCTGGGACTGTCACCAAAAGGATTTGGAACCGGTGGTGCATCAATAAGCTTCCGGACAAGTACCGAAAGCCCGCGTTCAACGCATCCCCTGGCCTTCTCGGTGAGGATGACGCTCCCCGGCTCATGCGAGCCCCGTGACACCAAGATCTTGCCGCGGTTGCCGGTCTGCACCACCCTGAAGCCCGCGCCATCACCTGATCCCAAGCTGGCGCCTACAGACACCGCTCTGGGACTGGGGGACGCACATCCTGACTTTCTGACCCTCGTCGCATTTGAGGAACGCTCTATATTATGAATTGCTGTCCCCTGATTTGTCTCAGACCAGATCAGAGCACCCCACTCAAACCCGAACCTGCTAACCACCGCAGGAGGCGCAAGATCAGGCCGCCCACCACACCCAGCACCACCACAGCGATGGCTGGGGGCACATTGAGTCCCATTCCGGAAGCTGATGCGGCGTATTTCGCTTGGGAAGATTGAGAGCTCTGATGTGAGGGACCGGGACAAGTATAAACTGACCCGCACCCCGTGGTTGCAGGACATAAAATCCCCATGATGTCAAGCAAAGATTCCCCAGTTAAGACTCATACCTCATCGTTGGTGTCTTCTTGGCCTTGCCGAACATTGAACGGCCTGTCCCTTGTCTGCCCTTTGCAGAAGCAACAAAACTTTGCCACTGCAAGGATGTAGAGCGCCGTTGTGGTCGCCTTCGTGCCGAACGAATTTTGGTTTGAGGAAAGAGCTATGGTCACCCGCTGCATGGGTTGTTTCTCGAGCAAAGCAGGCTGCGTCGGCGGCTGACCCATGAATCTTAGCACCTGCTCAGCTGCAAAGCCTCTGGTCAACAAAACCATTGCGCCTCGATCTCACAAAAGAAGCCTGTCACCGCCATATGTGGATGTCAGTTTTTGTTGATGGTACCCTTGTGGCCTTGTTTCAAAAGTGAAACCAACGGAAAAGAAAACCACCCGTCTTGTGAGTTCCCCCACAAGACAAGCCCTTGCGATGCCACTGGCGCTCAAGGCTGTTTTTTTTTGCCAAGGGTCGGCAGCACGCTGACTCACGCCCCACAGTCTCGAACTGACCGCCCTTAATGCATCTCACGCACCAAGGGCCCTCCTCGGAGGAGACCCTCCGCGTTGCATGCTTTGACTTTGGGAGGGTCTGTCTCAAGTTTGCACCGGAATCATCGGCATCCTCTTGGTCTCCTTGTAGACCAACCAAAAGGGGATTCCCGTAAAAATGAGACACTCATTTTGTAGTGACTACCGACTACCTTGCCTGACTGAGCTCCTGAACCGTGCCAAACGAAAGGTCTAGTCAAGCGTCAACGCCAATGCAATGACATGCAGAAACCGTACAATCCGCTCCACTCGTTCAATTACAGGTGTACAAAGCCAGCTGCTCCAATACAGAGTGAGCTTGGATTAATTGGCATGCAAGGCTCGCATCGAGCGCTATTGGGAGCTTGTGGCACCACTGCAATGCAAACCAAAAACAATTGATCGTTTATAGTTGCAAAGTGTGGCTAGCTCTTTTTAGGCTGACCTCATGCTATTGTGTTCAGTACATGCTCTGCTCTTGTTAGTTTCACAGATCGGATCTCTCTACTCATAATCCTCGTCGTCATCGTCGTCGTTGCCCTTTGCCTTGCGCTTCTTGCCTTTGCGCGCGTTGTTGGGCGCGTTCTCCTTGGGCGCGTTCTCCTCGGGGCAACGCAAGGATTTGTGAACTCCAGTGGCTCCTCTCACTCGGCTTTTACATCCATGATCGATGATCCGCGCCTGTCGCGCGGGGTGCTCACACGGCCGTGAGCCAAAGGCTGACACCACACAATGCATACATGGGTTTGGAGGTGGGAGATCCTGCCATTTCACAGGACTAAACTTGCAGGACGACTGAAGAATGGCAGGCATTTCCAATTAAGCAGAACGGGGCAACTCCTCTGGCAAGCTCTCCAAGCACAAAATCTCAACATAACGCGGCTGTCTCTGCAAGTTCTCAAAAAGCACCTAAAAGCCACGAAAAGTAGTCCGTCTCCCTCTAAAAAGAACACATTGAAACCTTGGGTCCGGTCTTCGCCCCCTGGTTTTGGCTGCTCGTCCACAGCTCTCCGAGCCCCTCCCGCGTCTCCTTGTCCGCGCGTCCTTTGCCGCGGCCTCTGCCGCGCCCGCGGCCCTTCTTGGGCTCCTGAAGGAACAGAGGGCCGACCTTCCCCTTCCACAGACCCGCTTCTTTCAGGGTACTTTTTGGAAAGACCTGTTTCCCCACGGTAAATACAGCCAATACCTCCTTTTCTAGTGGGCCGACATACCCAAAAAAAAACGGCATCGGGTATTTGGAGGGGGTTTGACAAGGGCATCCCCATCTCAGGGGCTACTAGCCCCTGAGATTCCTCTGGGGCGCATCTGAAGCCGAAAGGCCGGATCAGCCAATTCAGTTTCAGTGGAACTCCACCTGCTGGCATATTGATTGCCAAACATGGATGAGAGATGTTTAGGCCAATCACCCAAAAGCCGTCTGAACAGAATATCGACAAATGGTATCTCCTAGATAGAACCTGGATGTGGAAGTTGGCTTCACCATGTCTTTCATGCCCATTTAAAGACTTGCTGCTGAAAGGAAACCGCCAGTTGGATGGTTTATAGGCAGTAGGGATCATTCCCTCACCACGCTTCATCCCTTTAAGTTCTCATCCTCGATTCGCACCTGCTCCGAGCAAAACCCAGCGGAGTCCACAAACCTCGGGCAGCTTTGACATGTTCTTTAAACCCCGCAAGTCCGTTCTGGGTCCCTGGAAGGTCGACGTGGCTGTCAGAAATAGGTACCTTAAGTGGAACCCTAGTGGAAACGTGGACGAAAACCCGCGGTCCTAATTTGGACCCCCGTATGGAAACCCAGGGGGCATGGGAGCCTGGAGGAGAACCACTTCCGCACGGCCGCAACCGGCCGCTCCTCGAAGCCCGGCTCCGCCTCCTCCGCCTTCTTCCGAACCTTCCTGGCGGCCACCGCCGGCTGGGACGCCGGCGCCTCGTCCTGGCAAGGCAGCGGACCTCGAAACGCCCCAAAAAAAGGGGGGGGGGGGGCCTCGAAAGGCAAACAGGGGCACAAACCTCCCTGCAAGAAACTTCCCCAAAGGCTGGGGACACGATTTGGACCAGATACAAGAGAGAATGGGAGAAGCACATATCTCCAATTCAGGGTGTAGAAAGAGATGAGGAAAAGCTTTGAGAGGTGGCACTGAAAGCACTTGCATGGAGAAGAACAACACTCTCAGCCACTCGAAAGAGATCAACGACATCGACTGGCCTCCATTACAAGGCATGCCCCGCCAACATCTGGGTCCTTGGACTCCTCTTTTCCGTTTGCCAGCGCATGGATGGTCTGCTCGATCGCCTGCAAGTCTGCAAGTCATGTTTTCATGCATGCTGCTTGCTGTGCGCCACGACCATGCACAGCGTGTGGTGCACACCGGCATGTGCCGTCGCAAGAACCCAAGCATATTTGTTAGCTATTGTTTTGAAAGTGTAGCACACACACACGCACGCACGCACGCACGCACGCACGCACGCACGCACGCACGCACGCACGCACGCACGCACGCACGCACGCACGCACGCACGCACGCACGCACGCACGCACGCACGCACGCACGCACGCACACAGACAGGCACAGACACAGACACAGACACAGACACAGACACAGACACAGACACAGACACAGAACCAGACCCAGACACAGACACAGACACAGACACAAACAAAGACACACACACACACACAACCACACACACACACACACCCTTCATGCATCGCCACCGATGCCAAAACCCTGGTGTTAGAAAACCCTGGCATTAGAAAGGTCTACCCAGAACCATGTGCAGAAGTCAAATAAAAAGGCGGCCACTTCAGACTTCGATTGCTCCCCTCCTCCAGCGCTGCGGCAGAGGCCTGACCCTTGCCAGGCTCGGCGCCGGCTTCGGCGCCGGCATCGGCACCCTCAGCCTTGTCCTTGCCCGGCCGCGGCTTCCGCGCCTTCTCCTAGCGAAAGGCGACTAAAGTTCATGAAGAACCCACATCCAAGGAGTCATTGTTCTGAATGACTTGAACATTTGAAAGGGCCAAATCTGAAACTAACAAAGAAGCATTGACTGTTATGTCTACCAACATGGCTCAAAAGGTCCACAAAGATCCAAATGCATGCCATAATCATCGATATCCAGAACGGCACACATCAACCCGTGCTTGCGTCAGAGTGATGCGACGTACACTCTAGACCAGTCCTTGCCTGAGCCGTCTTCCAAAAACCAAGCAAAGGGTTCCCACAAACCCCCTCTCCCCTCCCTCTTCCCTCCCATCACGGCTCCACCACGGCCAGCAGGCACTCCCGGACCACCGGGTGGTAGGACAAAGCCAACTTCAGCGCCTTCCGGACCGCCACCACGTCGTGCAAACGCAGCAGGCACCGCTCCGAGTAGTTCATGGCTCCCAGCGCGTGGGCCAGGCACGCCACGGTGTCCTGGAAATATAAAAGACAAGGAACGGGGAACTCATCTGCACCGTCAGGTCTCGACACCTCCCAAAATGGATATGCTACGCTCGTCAGACCTAACTCGCACCGCTCGGTCTCGGCTCGAAGTCTCCTCCACCTTCACCGGGCTTCCGCCTTCATCGTCCTGCGACGGCGCGGCCTGCTGGGCGGAAGCAGGCGAAGCTAGCAAGCTCAGCATGATTGCCAAGATTCGGGACCTTTTGGATAGCTCAAGGAAACCGAAGGGAAACCAACGTAAGCTGCGTGACAAATAATGTGTGTGTGTGTGTGTTTGGAACACAGCATGAACAGCATTCATCCTCAAACGAACTCCGGGCAGCAAACGGATACTCCTTGAGCTTGAAGCTGCCGCTTGTGTTGCAACAGTAAAGCAGCCGAGGTGCTTCAAAACAAAGAGAAACAAATTAACACCCAAAATGTATGTAGTCCAACACATTGCAGGCTGCTGGAACATTTCAGAAATGTGCGTGCAAAGGATGGATGTTCAGCTGTCGCCTTCCAGATTTGGCAAGGACTCCTCTGGAAAGACTCTCCGCACACCTGCACCCAAAAAGAGACAAACCTGGTAGCAACTTCTGCCAAAAAGCGAAACGACATAGCAGGGTTGTTGGAGGAGGACATGACAATCAAAAGCTTCACAAATGGTCATGATTACAACCCATTTGGGATGCGAACCTGCCAAAGCAGGAAAAGTCGCCAGGCCGCTGCTGTTGCTGTGCAGTGATTCGAGTGCTTTGCAACCAAAAAGCCCTGGGGTATCGTCTTTCCTCGCCAGGCAGATGCTGAAAAACTGGCATGGTGTCTGCGGCTTTACACTTTCTCCAACAAACTCTGGTCCCATTTGAGAACACTTGGGCTCTTGTTGGGCAGGGGATCATCTGCGCACACAAATCTGGATCATCTGTACACACAGGCTTTCCTCACTTGTTGCGCCATGCACTCTGGACCATCTGCGCACACAAGGTTTCTGTCATCTGGCTCATCTGTACACACACACACACTTTTGGCACGGTGGGGGGGTGGGGGGGGATTGGTATACCCGCACACAGCTCGTGCGGCTCAGCACTGTGGGGGGGGGGGGGTGGTGGGGGGGAGGGGGGAATGGTAAGCACACCCGCTCAAGTGCACCCGCTCAGCGCTGTTTCCACGCATGCGGAAGAGTAGCCCGAAGGGGTGGGGGGTGGGTGGGGAGGCGGGGGAATGGTAAGCACATGCCTGCCACCTAATAAGCATACCCGCTCACGTGCAACAGATGGGGTGCGGTATTGGGGAAGGGTGGGGTGGGGGTGGGGGCTGGGGCGGGGCGGGGTGGGGCACACCCGCTCACGCGCGTCCGCTTAGCGCTGCATCCACGCTTACCACCTAATAAGCACACCCGCTCACGCGCGCCCGCCCAGCGCTGCACGCATGCCTGCCACCTGATAAGCACGCCCACTCACGTGCAACACATGCCTGCCGCCTTAATGAGCGCCTGCTCAGGGTGGGCTGGGCTGGGGTCAGGCTTTGGGGAGGTTGGGGTGGGGTGGGGCACACCCGCTCACACACGCCCGCCCAGCACTGCGCACATGCCTGCCACCTAGCAAGCGCACCCGCTCACGCGTAACAGATAGGGTGGGGTATTGGGGAGGGGGGGTGGGGTGGGGGTGGGGGGGTGGGGGTTGGGCCCGGGGTGGGGCACCTGCTCACGCGCGCTCGCGCAGCACTGCATTCATAAAAAGCGCACCCGCTCACGTGCACCCGCCCAGCACTGCGTGCATGCCTGCTACCTAGCGCACACCCGCTCGCGCGCAACAGACGGGGTGGGGTCTTGGGGAGGGGTGGGCGGGGGTGGGGGGGTTGGGGTGGGGTGGGGTCCCTTCTTGTGCATAGCAGTAAGCACTGCGTGTACAAACGATCCGGGGCAAAAAAGGCCCGCGTGCAGAGACGATCCGGCCCCGCGTGTACAGACGATCCGAATTCCGCGTGTACAGACGATGCACTGACCCTCTTGTTGGTTTCTCAGAGGCGAAAGGGCAAAAAGCAGCCAGTGTGGCGATCCGGATTTTGCCAAGGATTCAAGAAGTCCCCACTCTTTGCACTTTTGACACCCATCAGCCACAAGAAGATGCTGGCCTCTCCCCCTCCGCTGGCGCACTGCTCCAATCGGAGAGTGAACTTCTCGATGAGGCCCTCGATGTGTTTCTCCTCCCCCCGATGGTTGCGGAAGAAGAGAATAGGCGCTGACGAACTCAAATCCGAGCACCATCCACTGATGAAGCAACTAAGGATTGCAAGGAGAAAAGCCATGTAGTCGACGTCGAAAAAGCTCGGAACTCTTCGGGATATCAACAAGCCACAAATCTATCGCCATTCCAAGTCTTGCGCACCGCCAAAGGCAAGACTCAGTGCTGGTCAAAAATGCATGGCAAGTCTCTAGCACGCGCTTCATAAGCTGCTGGGCGTGTTTCGCGCATCGAAGTAAATCGTAAACTGAATAGAAGCAATGCGTCCCTCTCAAATTACGTCACTTTCCACGAAACCAAATTTGATGGGCAAGGAGGGCAGGAGACAGCCTTCCAGTCTTCCTCTCTCTCTTTGGCTCTGCGCCATGCCTTCTCCACGAACTGCATGATGTACTGCACACGCCCGGTGGCACCCCCTTCAACGCCCTGCTCGGCCACGTGCTCGGGCAGGCGGGCCACGATCTCGGGAAGCAGGTTGTAGACCACGTTGGTGCTACGCTTCGCCAGCTCCTGCGACTTACCGAGATCTTGAAAGTCTGACACCGCCAAAATATTGGGGAACTTTGGCTGGCTGTGTTGCTTGGACCCCTTCGGTTCCAGCCTTGCCGCTCCCCAAAAGCAGACCAAAGGCGACAGAACCAAAAGCGGTCGACTGGCTCCTGGAAGAGGATCCGGGCAACCCTGGCGGTGGCCTCGTGCTTGCCTGCGCAAACGGAAGACGTTTCGTGTTGCGGTCGGGGTTCCTATTTCGGTGCTTGTCATGAGTTGCGAGCACTGTTGGCCACTGTTTCCAATTGACATGTCAACAATTCCCATTGCACTCTCGGTGCATGGCGCCAGAAAGAGTTGAGTCGAATCCTTGCCACCGGCTGCCTCTTGATGCAAACCTGTTGATGGCACATAGGCAGCAAGCCACTTGAGCCGAGCGGCAGGCAGTAAGCCAAAGGGCCCTGATGAGAAGCACTGGACGAGGCTTCATCATGTCGTTCAACACCAAATGCCTCGGCTGAACTGACACCGCAATGGGCCACCGGTGGTGCAGCCGCTGATTGAACATCGCTCTCTTTTCTGTTGAAAGGGCAAAAACCCGCAGTAATCCGGCACCAGCTGAAAATTATTGTTTCCGAGTGCTGCTTGTCCAAGTGATTAGAAACCCGTTGACCTTTGGTTCTACCAACATTGTCATGAAGTTACAAGGGTGAATCTAATTCGCCGCACTGTAAAACTGGCCACAGGGTTCCTGCTTAAATGGGTGTTTCTCAATTCCCGCAACTTGTGTCGCTGCATCCGGGGATAAAAAAAATAAGAAGGTTAAAGGTTAAGGTTGGTTTCCTGTTGGCTCCGTCTCAACTGACCATTGCCCCAGCCGCGTCAGCACCAGCAGCGCAGTGAGCCGCAAGTCCTCGCCGGCCTCGTCCCCGCTGGGCGCGCTCAGCGTGGCGTAGAGGCGCCCTGTCCTGGCGAGGTCGCGGGGTTTTGTGGCCCGATTTGTGCATAGCACCAGTTACCATCCCAAATGGGGGGTTCATCTCAGGCTTTGAGAGGCCGGAAAAAGGAGTATTCAATGGGTGTGTTGCTGGAAGAGAGCCCAACAAGGGGGCTTTCTTTGGTGGCTTGAAGCAAAAAATAAAAACCACCAAGTGTTGTTTGAACTTCAATGCTGGCGCCAACCGTTCAAGACAGCAAATCCCAAAAGTACACAGATTGGACTTCAAGATTGGGTGCCACCGGAAGGAACCCTTTCGCCGGGAAGGAGCCCTTTCGCCCGGTCCAGGGCTCCACCACGTTGGGATGCCTAAAGAGCAAGTCCCCCACCGCCACCAGCAGGGACTGCCGCAGCGTCAAGTCCTGCAGCGCGAAAAAAAAATCAAGGCCAGAAACTTTCGGGCAGGCTCAGAAACAAAGAAAGGCAAAGCAAAGGTAAAGCTGAGAAAGAAGACAAAGAAGAAGATGACTAGACACAAGGAAATGCAGAAGGCTCCCCCAGGCTTTTCATCCGACACAGTCCGATTCGTCTAATTCTCTGGGGCTCTCCCATGAGAATCGCTCTTGATGATGCGATCGCGCGATTTTTTCCCACTCCTCGAGGAGCCCGCCTTGGGCCAGAACGTCCTGAGGAGTGACTCGACCAAATCGCTCGTTCCACAAATAACACGGGAAGAATTGGGAGGACCCGCTGTGCTCATGTCAGCTGGTTGCTCATGTCAAAATTGGGGGGAGACAGCGCCAGCTGCCGCCAAACTGCCACTCGGAACAGAAACCAGCGCAAGATCTACGGAAACGGAGGCAAGCCTCTGCATGAAGGGCAAAATGGGGGGTTAGCAAGCGTGCCACATCCCTGCAAAAGCAAGGGGCCACGCGTCCGCGCAATTGCCAAGATCCTGGATTCTACACCCCAGACTTTCGCGACGAACAGTGGTAGCCAATCCCTGTCCCAGATCCGGCCTCCCCTCCGGCCAGCTGACTCTTGCCGTTCTTGGGGAAGAGCACTGAGAAAAGGAGCTGCAAGTTCTCTTGGCAGAAGCGCTTGGACACCTTGGCCGCTCCCCAAAGCCGAGTTCACGGCCCAACTCACCGGAAAAGGACCCCTCCAACCCCCGGAGCTGAGGGCTAAGAGTTGAGGGAAACCAAAAAGTGATCAGCCCAAAAAATCGAAATGCACCCGTGGCAGCTGATCGGGCCTGCGGGGACTCTGGCTTGATCAGTTCTCCGGTTCTGCACGCCTCGCTTGGCATTTGCGACACCCATACCACCCCCCCTCCGTCGTGCCGCTTCGCTTCGCAGCCCAGGCGCCGTCATGAACTTGCACAGGCTGATGGCCCCCACGCGCCGGATCAAGGGGGAGGTTCGGAGCTCCTTGTCCAGAAGGCAGGCGAAGAGCAAAGGCTTCACCTCTGTTCGGCATGTGAAGCGGGTCGGATTTGGAGTTGGCGGTGAATCTGGACGTCACTTAGGTGGAGATGTGTGTCCACCACTGGAGAAGGGGTTCCCTGCTAAAACTCATGCCTGGTTGATATGCTAGATGGATATAGAATGGTTTGGATTGGCGGTTGCTTTCTCTTTGGCGTCAAGCACCAGAGCTTCAAATCTCCAAACCATCAAGGCAGCCAAACCACCCAATTGGGGGGGTGCTGACACAAAAGTTCCCAGATTGTTCTGATGTCCTTTTCAGCACCCGGAAGCGTTGACTTGACGAGTGGGCACATCAGGAAAAACTACCAGATCACGGCAAGTGGCTCGATCCAAAAGGCGGTTGGTGCTGTAGAGCAGGCCATTCTCCGCGATTTGCGCGAAGGCCTGTCCAGGGCCCACGCCATTTTCCGCTGAAAGAGCCTCTGCATACTGCTTTGCAGTCAATCACTGGAGTGCTTGATATGCGGAGAACTGTTCAGGAGACCTTCGAAAAGCCATCCACATGATAATAACTTGATATGAAACTGACCTCCCACAATGTTAGTGAGACGAAGGGTATGCCAACAAGCTCCGTACATCCCCCTCTCACACACAAACACAAACACAAACACAAACACAAACACAAACACAAACACAAACACAAACACAAACACAACACAAACACAAACACAAACACAAACACAAACACAAACACAAACACAAACACAAACACAAACACAAACACAAACACAAACACAAACACAAACACAAACACAAACACAAACACAACACACAAACACAAACACAAACACACACACACACACACACACACACACACACACACACACACACACACACACACACACACACACACACACACACACATGGCCACCGTACCCCCCCCCGTGAGCATCCCAATCCCCACTAAAATCCCGACTAACATGCGTGGTGCACCGAAAACCCCAAAATGGGTGACCCATTGGTTTGGAACCATGGCCACATGTCGGGTCACAAGACATGCAGCGCCGCCTCCGCCTCGCGCTCCTCAAGGCCGACGCCGCCCATGCTCTCGCCGCCCTTGTCCTGCGGACGGAGCCTGGGGTGTCCCACGGGGGGGGACCTTGGATCAGCTGAAGGGGATAGGATTTTCAGCCCCTGGTGCGATGCAGAGCGTCCTTGTTTGAGAGGGATGGCTTCACTTTTGGGGGGAAACAACCGCCGGGTTCACGCAAAGCAGGTTGATTTATCCGGGGTCGACAATACATTTCCAATTCGGTCCAAAGCAAAAATCCGGAGTTCACATCCCGAACTAACAATCCAAAGTGCCCCAAGTATAACCCCAGCAACAGGCGGTGGATTCAAAAACACTGAAGATCAAAAAATGAAGTAGGCTTGGACCAAAGATGGAGCTTCCGCACAACAAAAAACGGAGGGGTTTGAAAGCACAAGTACCTGCAAAGCACAGAATTCTGGAGAAAGCAAAGCAAAGCTGATGGATACACGCAGGTGAGTCGTTTTCGCCTGGGTGGCCTGGCTGGGCCTTGGTGGCCTGGCTGGGCTTGATGCTTTTAGCTGGGCTTGTGGTCCAGGGCGGTTTCAGGGTCTAGGGTTGCAGGGTGGGCTTAGAATTGTGCGGTTGAAGCCGGATTCGGGTGAGTTGAGGATGAGTTTAGGATGGGCTTTGACTTGGTTTAGGATTGGTTTGGGACCCTATAGCTAGTATTGTTGAATACTGGTTCAAGGACTTTGGGTGGGTTTCGAGATGATTTAGGGTTGGCGAAGTGTAGGACACTCTTCCCGCCTGTGTTCCCCTGCCCTATCATTCCCGGACCCCCCCCCCCTTTCCTGCAGTACGGTCCGCGCCAATCCAACGACGGCCTACTCCCTTAGTTCACCAACGTCAACAGCACCGCATCACCGCATCCACTGCACGGCGACTCCCCGCGGATGTGGCATGGATTCTCCGGGCGGCCCGCGCCGCCGCATTCATGCTTTTATGCGGGTCTTTCGCACATATTGATGTAACTCTGTTGACGAAGGTGGCCAAGAAAATGAACTTTGCCAGTATGCCGCACCATTTCTAGATTTCGTCTAAATATTGTTTGGCCACTTGGGGGCACGCCAAGCAACCTATCAGAACCAAGCCAAGCTCGCTTGCGCCAAAAGCTCTGCAACAGCGCAGTTCCAGAAATCAACGCGTGCGTGTTGTCCCTAGCACCCATTCAGCTGCGGAGAATGTAGATCTTGTGGCTAGAGCGAATGGAGCTGTCATGTTCGGGGAATTGCTTCAGGAATTGCCACCTTCAACTTTGCAAGAATGAGCTGAAGGATCTTGCGGCGGCGTGCAGTCCTCCTCCTCCTCTTCTGCAGCAGCAGCCTTGCCTTTGCTCTTTTTGCCGCCCTTCTCCTCGGCAATTCTGTGCAAGCAAAAGGAACCTGCTTTAAGAATCCATCCTTGTCCCCCTGATTAGGGCAGGGCCAACCAGCTGTTCAAATATGTCAGAACCGTTCCCTAAAGAACCTCCTTGGTTTCCGCCCGAAAGGGGCGCAGAATTCTTTCCCTAATGAGAAGCCCCAAGATCTGGCCTCGAACCAAAAAGCCCCCTGCCCTTACGCCGCGTCCGCGCCTTCTTCTCCTTGCTCTTCTCGCGCTGCTCCGCCATCTTGGCCTCCTCTTGCGCCAAGCGCTGCCTGACATTTGGACACATTTGGACACATTTGGAGCCTCGAGATTGGTAGAAACCAAAGGACGGCATACAAACCGGATACCCATCAAAGGGCCACACCCCTGATCTCAGGCACCGTTTCTATCGCCTTGCTCCACCCGAGCGACCCCCCACCGACCCCCCTCCCCAATTTCGAGTCCGTGCTGGTCGCCTCTTCAGCGCAGACTGCAGGCCCTCGAGGAAAACCAGCATCCTGAACGCCGGCCATCGGACGCTTCGGATCTTAGGAGCCGATCCTTCGCAAAAGCATGGCCATGAAGAGGCGACAGTTTGCAGTTGTTAATTTGTCATGTTGTTTGTTGCTCGCCCCTATGGATTATGACAAAGACTTATAACCCTTGTGTCGATTTGTTTACGGCAAAACAGCAAATGGGTCTTGCACACAACAGCCATACGCAATCTTCGCAATGCGTCAACCCCCGCCCCCATCTGTTGGAGGAAAGGTGCCTTTCTAGTGCATATTCCTTTCTTCCTGCCAAACCCCCTTCAGAAACCTTGTTCTTTCATCTTTTCAGCTTGCAAATCGCAGGCCACTCTCTGGGCTGCCCTCAGATCCCCCGATACAAGCTTAACTTTTAGTGGTTTAAATGGAAACCTCCACTAAACACTAGAAAGCTAAAAGGCTAAGGAACCGGATGGCTGGGGGCCACTAAGCTGTTGTTTTGCCTTTGACCACGGTGGAGCAAATCGCTGCGCCGGTCCTCAGCGCCAGGTGGCCCGCCACAAAGCAAGCCCCCGCCAGCTGAGGCGCAGAGACCCGAGCCTTCCGTAGAGAGTCGATGGGCGTGGGGGACCGCCCAAATGGGCGCAAGGGGTTTGTTCCCTTTCGGTGCTCCTTCAAAGCGACCGGAAAAGGGGTAAGCCACAAAGAGAGGCTTTGGTATTTTGTCACCCAGCACCTTGAAATAAGAGGTGATCGCCTTGGGGGGTTTCCAATGTGTGATTTGGATTTGTGGTTTCAAGGCTAGGGGGAGTTTCCCATATCTACCAAAACACCACCCGAGGGGAAAACGCGCTGTGCACACTCCAGTAGTGCCTTGGGTGGAAACCATCTTAAGAAGCTAAGAGGGGTCCTTTCCTTTCTCCCCTTGGTATGTCTGTTCAAGCGAGTGGTTTGCGTTGCTTGGCATGGGTGTGCTTGTGTAAGGGTACTTGTGTTTGAAATACGTGGATTGAGAATTGCAATTCTTCGTAAATCAAAAGGCGGGCCTTTGCAGGGACTTGGATTTGAGATTTTCGCGAACCCCTTGTATAATTATATTTAACGGACACACTACTGGGGGGTCATCAAGTTGGCGCTCCATGTATTTCAGCCTCCTCCGGCTGGTTCAGAAAGCAAACCTACAAGCTCAGGTTCATGGAAACAGGGTCACTGATGCCTTGCTTCTCCCTTTTTTGGTGTTGCGCCTCCTCTTGTTTTTTGTTGCGAAAGAGCAACCAACTGCAAACCACGAGCTCCAAATTCCTTGGGCTCCGGGCCTCCTCCTTCTCCTTGGGAGTCGGGGGGCAGCCTTTTCGGATGGCTTTCAAGGGAAAACCGCGCCCATCCGGCTCTTTGGACATTCCGCCTGTTGAACACAAACCCATTTCAAGGGTCCCTGTGATTTGCACAAACAGTAGCAGCAGGGCATCCGAGTCGCAACTCGAAACACAGCGCGATGCAGGTCATGTGTGCACCTCCTCAAAAGCCCAGCGTTGGTTCATGCCGTTACTGCCAAAGGTGTGATGGCGTTGCCTCGATCTGCTTGAAAGACGTTGGCAAGTGCCGATCCGGTTGGCCATGGGCACACGTCACCTCGCCCATCTAGAAAGCAATAGGGCTGAGCATCACTATGGTAAACTCGACTTGGAGTACATGTTCAAATGCTTTCCACTACCAAACCAACTCCCAGAGACCACCCGGGGCGCCGGCAGACGCCGCAGCGCCTCGCGCGTCGGGGCGCGGTTCTGAAAAAATTGGGGGCGGCGATCCGTCGCGGATCGCGAGGCAATCCGAAGGCCGACGGAGCGAGAGAGCTGAGGGGCACCTTTTGGGGCATCGTGACGGTCCCAGGTGTTTTTGGGTGGGCGTTTCAGGCTGATAAGCAGCGGCCAGCCAGCCGCTCATCTGCTCTGCTCCATCGGCCTCCAAGGAGCCCGCAAAGCATGCGGTTCAAGATGCTCTCCCAGACCTGCCAAGAAACTGAAACTGACCTGTGGCCTGACCTGCGAAGAAAGTGTCGCTCATCAACAACAAAGTCCGTCTGAAGAAACTGCGACAGAACAACTGCTGCTTCCTTCCAGTTTAGGGACATCTGTGGCAATGCTAAGCTTGGCTGCAAGGCACCTCTGCGTCATGACACATGCGAGTGGCATCCATGCAAGACCTTCAAAGTCGTGAGGCGATCCACCTACTTTCACGAAGCCATCACACGTGCCACTTCACCCACTTCCAAGGAGCCAAGCCCCGAGCAACACGCCTTATCGGGAGAGCGGTGTGCAGGATCCACCGCAGACTTGCCGTGGCTGGCAAGTTCAAAGGAGAGGTCCTGAAGCCCAGAGCTATGGACAGACACTTCCCAATAAGAACCCCACAAATACTCAGCTGATCATTACGCAAAACTGCCCGAAAAGAGGGGACGTCCCTGCTCAAAGTAACTCCCTCTGGTAATTCTGGCTGGTGTGGACAGTTTCTGAGGTCGGCATGCTGCTTGCGATTCGACATGTGAAGAAAATGGCGATGAGAATGAAATCCTGGTGAGGGGAACTGTGTTGAGCACAATGCTTTTGCACCCAGGATAGGAGGTCCATCTCAGTAGGGGTTGTTTCGACTTTACCTGAGCGTGACCGAAAAGACCGGAGCTTACTGGCGAGAGAACTGCTAGAGCCCAAGAAGCTCAAAGGGTCTCCCAAGACGCGGGTCTTCAAGAGCAAAGAGACCTCAGAATCTGACCTCAGAATTGCTTAGGCCCCACCCTGCGCACGTCATCCGATCCCTCCCCCCGCTCCATCGCGCACATGGCGGCGCTGAACCACTGGGGGGGCACCTCGCCCTTCACAAAGTGCTGCACCACCAGGAAGGTGCACTGCTGGGACCTCTGAACCGAAAGCCGAAGAAATGACGCCTTTCTTGCGCCCAGGTCCAAACCCCTCTGGCCAAAAAAAATAAAAGGGCGCCCAAGCCGAAAAAAAATGAACTGAAAGCAGCTGCTGGCAAAGAGTTCCAAAACCAACACCCAAGACTTCCGCGGCTTGCCCAGTCGTTTCGCCCAGCGGCACGGCGCAGAGCCGCGCCACGTGGGCGTGGTCAGTGCCCGGGTTGGCGCAGAAGCGCAGCAGCAGCTGGCACACCAGGCGGCTGGACTCCAGGCGCTCCCCAGGGCTGCCGGGCCTCCCGGTCGCTCGCTTTGGGTTTGGCGGGGTTCCATTATTGGGGCGAGAGGTAGGGTGGGAAGGAACCTGGGGATTCTTAAAGGATTCCAATTCTCCAAGTTTCATGTGAATCCGCAGAGAAAGATCCGTGTTCATGAAAAGATTCTAAAGACTCCTCAAAGGGTATCTCTTCGAAAATGTGAGCTCAGTGTCTCTCCAAGTGAAGTCCTATCATGGCATCCTTGAGCGCGCACGAAGAGGCACCCGCAGTTTTAACACATCCACAGGGTGAAGAAGAACAGCACAGCAAGTTCAACAGGCCGCAAGCCTTCGGCTTTCCCTGAAAACCTGGCCCTACTTCTAGCGAACATGGGTACATCGCTTCATTCAGAGAGTGCAAGCTGACGGCCATGTCTAAAAAAAGTGTATCCAGCCACTTCCCTATGGCGAGGACCAGGCACAGAAGCTAACGGACAGCTGCAACGAGACCTGCGAAATGAGTTGTACTTCCTGCTCGGTAAGCATGAGGCCGTGACAGGTTTGCCTGGCCTCCAACACAATCATCCACACGGATGTTTAATAAACTCCCGCTTTGACGCGTGCGCACAACAGATTGGGCCTTTTTTGCCCATGGAACGCATCCCTAGTTGTCCCTTCCACTCTCGCTACAATTTCTTGCTACATTTCAGCAACACCGTCTTTGACTAGTCGTGCTTCCCAGGAAAAGATCCAAACAAAAGCAATCCCGTCTGCCCCAAAAGCCGGCTTTTCCACTTCCCTTCGGCTTAACGCCTTCCTCTTGCACAATTTCAATTCGCACCAAGCGAGCGAAACCAAAAGCACCAGGGTTCCCTGCTCGATACCTTTTAGGCCGCAATTGAGTTTCCTTCGTGACATCTTTTCCGAGGAATCACTCCTACTTGCAGCTGGAAACCAGATCCTTGGTCGTGCCCCACGGGTCCTGGTATATTGCTACCAAGTTGAAGAAAAAAAATGTGTTGGCAAACCAAACCCCCGGTCCGTTGCTCAGCGAATCCGCGAATGAACCCAGGCTTTGGTCCCCCTCAAAGGAAAAACCAGTTCACTCGAAGTCATTCCCATTCTCATTCCCGGTCCCCTTAAAGGAAAAACCGGTCCCCAGCTTGGATCACCACGAGAATTCACCCAAGCTTTCCCCCCCTCCCCCAGAAGCCGCCAGAAGCCGCCGTCGGCGCCGTCGGCGGCGTCGGCGCCTGGCGGTGTACTCTGCGAGCTTCTGCAGGCCCTGGGCCATGGCGAAGTGGCCCTGCTTCGAGGCCACCAGCGCCGTGAGCGCCCGCAGCGCGAAGCTCCCGGAGGAGGCGCCCTCGGACAAAGCGCCTAGGAGCGTGGTGACCACCTGTCCAGGGGGGGGGGCCTCAAGTGTCTGTGATATGTAGATAGATATATATATATATAATATAATCATAATTTATATATATATATATATATATATATATGTATGTGTGTGTGTGTTTGTGTTTGTTTACTTGTTTATATATATACTGTATATCTATATACATATGTGCAAATGTATGCTTTCGCTAACTGTCAACGGTACTGGCTTCAAATAATTGTAGCAGGGGCACTGTGGGCTCAAGAGCTTTCTCAGAATCAGCCAGCCGGTACACATGTTACTGAAGACTAAAACCGGAAGATGTGCTTTAGAACAAAATATGCAGCTTGCAGCGCGAGTGCCAAAGAAACAAATGTGGCACTCGCCTGGGTTGTTGATATGAGCTCCTTGTCCGCGGCTTGCTGGATGAGCTCCTGTTGACAGTAAACTAAATGCACGCCCTGTGGCCGTTTGCACCTTTCAACCTCTGCAAATAGCAACGACGGAGATGCCACTACCAATCACTGATGCAAAGCTGCAAATGCCCGCAAAAGCAGCGTGGGGGCCAAATCCACTTGCGGGAGTGTGCTCTGCGACTTTCAAAAACTGCTCCTGCACGCTGGCCAGATGCGTGTGCGTCAACGTGCCGGAGGCAAAGCCGTCCTCCCAACGCGGCTTCGACGGAACGAAGATGGCTTTGTGCGTTTCATGCTCGAGGTCGCCTTCTCGCACCTTTGAGAGCCAGGAGTGCAAGCGTTGCATTCCCCCGCCAATGCCTTTCCAGCTAGCTGCCTAAAATGCGGCAAACCGCCGAGTTAGAACCAGCGTCCTGGTAGATCTGAAGAATCGCTGCGGCGGAAGAGCGCGCATCGCGGCCTTCCAGGTGCATCCGGTAGAAAGCATCCACGGCGGCGTCCTGGCAGTGATCGAATTTGAATCATGCTCTGGGAGCGGACAAGCTAGAAGTCATGTCTTGAAGCGTGCGCTTTCCAAGAGCGCACAAAATGTTCAAGCTCGGCTCCCCGAAGCCAAGGGATCAGGGCACTCTGTAGCTCAATCAAGACAAAGCTGCCGCGTGCAGTCGGCAAAAGTGGCAACCCTCAAGTCCCCCCATCTTCCGTTTGTGGGTGGGGGGGCCGGATGAAACAAGGCCGTAAGGAGAGATATCAAGCAAGCAAACCCTGCCTTGATGGGCGCATGTCGGCTCCACACCAAGCCCAGCACTTGCTGAAAGGCACGGGTTGCCGCAGGCACACCTGGCATCACTGAGTTGATCAAGCCAGATGGGCCTGGCTTGTTTCCATTTCCATCTGGGCGAAATCAAAGGGGTTCGTGTTGAATTCTCGGGCCGAGTCTCCGCCCTGTTCGACTAAAATTGACCATTGCCAGGCGGGGTAGTTCGATTGTCTTCATTGGCTTCTCCTGCGGAGTCGTTGACTTGCAAAGTATGACAACCACACACTCAGGACTGTTGTGAATACACTATAGAATATGACTTCACAGCCCCACCATGTCGTGACACTTCAAAATGGAACCCGCGCTCTGTTAATGATACCACGCATGCCCCAACCACCCCCCAGTCAAAAAAAGGGACCGTTCAGTCTGGGTTTCTCGCTTGTGGCGGGGATTTCCTCCAGCTACCAGCCCGACGGATCGCGCGCGCCGCCGCTCGCCTCGCAGGCGCAGCTCCACCACCACGCTGATGGCCTCGGTGACGTCCGTGGGGGTCTTGGAGCTCAGCAGCTGCCGGAGCCGGGCCTTCGGATCGAGCGATCAGAAATCCGGCCCTTCGGCCCTTCAGCGGAGCGGTGAGACGAGGCCTGCGACGAGCTGGCTGTCTCATTCAGAAGAAGGAAGACAAACAAAAAAAACATATGACAAAGCCAACTCGTCTCAGCCCTCGTTGGGATCGCCGATGATGACAAAGCCATGAGAAATCGATTAAGTTTGACATCGGAATCGCCACCCGGCGTTCAAGGAAGACCATTCTCCAGGGCCATGTGTCCCGCCGGCAAGGTGGCACCGAAGCCAAAAATAAAGTTTGTACACATCCCCGACAAGTCACAAAACCGTGGTGGTCAGGTCCCACCTTTCCGGGAAGCAAACTGAAGAACTACAACAGGTGACTCCTAGCGCCTTTTCGTTGCAACGGAGCAGCGAGGAATGGATCAAGAGTTTGCCTCATGTTCTGCAGCTCTGAAAGATGTCTGCATCTGCCTTTCAAGATGATGTCCAGTGTCATGATTAGTGTGGTCAAAGTGTTGTAATCATGGGCTCCAAGGATATGCGTACCAATCACCAATCACCCATCGATCCACAACCAAATAGTATCTCCAAAGCACACCCTTGTGCAAACAAAAACCTCGCACCTCCTTTCTTATTGGAACCAGAATGCCTCTGCAGCATCCAGCAGCTCCACAAAGTGCACGCGCTGCGCATAGCACTGCTGCATTCGCTGCAGGGCCTGCGGGGCTTCCACAAATGCGACCGGACCCCTGAAAATCCTCGCCACTGGCCATGGTTACAAAGGTTGCCTAGTATGTGTAGTCAGGTTCCAATTGGGGGGCCCGATGAGCTGTAATTTGGGAGGCAACAAGGGTGAGAGTAACATCTGTTTCATTGGCGGTTTGGATTGGTCGGGATGTGAAACCGTTCAAGCTGCATGGTTTAGAGGAGGGCGCGCAGCCACTTATGACCTGGCACTCTTGGAAGAAAACATGAGGCAACGTGTCCTCTTGCGGAGCCTCAAGCGGGCACGTTCGAACCGGCTCACACCGGTTCAATTTTCGGCTCCTCTTCCCCTTTGAGACAAAGCCATGAGCTTGGTACTGACGTCCAACAGTCATGTTCGAGGGTGTTCCAACCACGTCAATTCGCACCCAAATACATCCACAAAGAATCCACAACCCCGGTGCCCCAAGCGCAGACTATGCCGAAGCCGACCCCATGTTCTCATGGGAAAATTGTCATGTGCATGGATTTGCCTTTACATTGGGGAACCCAACCTGAAAAAACCCACACCCGCACATCATACTCAAATTCTTGACTAAAAGGCTGACGGTGGCAATTGGATGTTGCTCACAGCTTGCTTCTATTGGGTACGAGTCCTGCTCACACTGGTGCTTTCACCCAAGAAACACTTTGGACTGCGTTTCAGCCTCCCACACATTTGAGTCGTCCGTTTTCAAAAACCAAGATTCAAGCTCAGCTGCTCTTGTCCCTGGTTACTGTCTCCACCACCGTTCACCCCAGGTCACGACAGACCCAGATTCAAGAATGGAAGCAAAAGCACGGTCAGTTGCTTGGATATGCTGGACGTTGCTCAGCTGCTCTTGCACCTGGCTGCTGTCTCCGGATGACCCCAAGTCACAACCTCGCCCCCGTGGGCATGCCAGACAAGCGCCTTCTCAGTGGCAGCCAGTTTGCCAAGCTGAACAAGCAGCTGTCTCAGAGGCAGCTGTCTCCACCACAGTTTGGATGGTTCTTCTGGGTAACTTCAAGCTTGCCAAACAGGAGCCTGAGACACAAAAAGCACAAGATGAATCCCACCCATTCATTTGCGAAGGTTCGAGTCCCTCATGGCTCTTGCACTGTTCCTCTTCTTTGGGGGACCATCACTGCACTTCAGCCTTCAACAAAATGCCGTCCGCTTGCGACTCCGCGCCCCGCCTCACGCTGCCGCTCGCGAGCCTCATGCCGCGCGCTGGCGTTCTCGCTGTCGGCGCCTCCCTGGTCGCCGCCCTCAGCACTAAGATCCTTGTCCACCTCCTTGGCAATGCTCATCTCCGTCTCCTTGGCACAGTTTTATGATACGTGTATGTTTGTAAATACAGATATATATATATATATGTAGATGTATGTATATAGTCCATTTACGTACATTACAGTACAGTACATTACATTACATTATCTTACATTACATTGCATTACATTACATTACATTACATCACATTACATCACATTACATCAACTTACATTACATTACATCAACTTACATACACTACATACATATCATACCATACCATAGTAGACCATGCAAAACCATACCCTGTACTTACATACATACATACATACATACAGTACATACATTACATAAATGCATTGCACTACATTGCGATACATTTCCTTACCTTACATTACATTGCATTACGGTACGATACATTACATAACATACTATACCATACCATACCATACCATACCGTGCCGTACCATACCATACATAGATACATTTCATTTCACATCATTTCAAATCATGTCATTTTGTTACATACAAACATACATACATACATATAGTACATTACATTACATTACATTACAGTACAGTACTCTACAGTACAGTACATTACATACCTACCTACCTACCTACATACATGCATTACATTACATTACGTTACATTACATTGCATTGCATTACATTACATTACATTACATTACATACATTACATGCATACATGCATACATGCATACATGCATACATGCATGCATACATACATACAAACATACATTACATTACATTACATTGCATTGCATTACATTAAATTACATTACATTACATTACATTGCATACATACATACATACATACATACATACATGCATACATACATACATAACATACACACACACATACATACATACATACATACATACATACATACATACATACATACATACATACATACATACATACATTACATACATACATACATACATACATACATTACATACATACATACATACATACATACATACATACATACATACATACATACATACATACATACATACATACATACATACATACATACATACATACATACATACATACATACATACATACATACATACATACATACATACATACATACATACATACATACATACATACATACATTACATTACATTACATTACATTACATACATACATACATACATACATACATACATACATACATACATACATACATACATACATACATACATACATACATACATACATACATACATACATACATACATACATACATACATACATACATACATACATACATACATACATACATACATACATACATACATACATACATACATTACACATACATGCATACATGCATACATGCATACATGCATACATGCATGCATATATACATACAAACATACATTACATTACATTACATTACATTACATTACATTACATTTCATTACATTAAATTACATTACATTACAT